CAAAGCCGGATTATCATGGGCGCAAAGTGATGTTGTCTTGCTGGTGGAATATCAATGGACTTGTTCATTTTGAATTATTAGAGCCCGGAAAAACAGTCGATTCATCTTATTTTATTCAACAACTCAAGAAGGTTGACGAAATTTTGCGTGAAAAAGGCCTAAATCCCTCAACTATCAACTTTCTCCGTGATAATGCTCCAGCTCACACGGCAAAAACCTCTTGTAAGGAACTAGATAAGCTAGGATGGAAGGTCTTACCACATGCGCCGTATAGTCCAGACTTAGCACCCTCCGATTTTCACCTTTTCAGATCGATGCAACATTCCCTTGAGAATTGCCAGTTTAAGAATGCAAAAGAAGTCGAAAATTGGGTGACCAACTACTTTGCATCACAGAATCAAGCGTTCTTTGAGAAGGGGATCCGCAATCTGAAGCAACGTTGGAGGGATGTCATAGATAATAATGGTGCTTATTGTTTTAAATAAATTGTTATCAAAAAAAATTTTGGATGACTTTAATGTTTGTAAAAAGCGAAATTTCATTTGCACCAACCTAGTAGTTTTAAATTTGATTTGACTTGACTAGATTTGACTCTTGTAATTATTATTTTTATTTTCATGCTAGGTTCTTCTTGTTTCAGTTTCCTTAAAGATTTTGTGTTTCTAATTATCTATGATGTTTAGGACTCGGATTTCCAAATATGGACAAAAAGCAAATTCGGACGATTCTTTTGTAGTAATTCAAACTCAGGCATTCAGCAACAAATGCAGACAAAAACATGAATCGTGTATTACGACAAAGCACTGTATCACTTCCCACTGCACAAGTTTGGTTCAAGCGATTCCACGAAGGAGACAAGGATCTTGAAGATATGGAGAGCCGAGGTGACTACTTGAAAATGAGGATTTGAAGCGTTTTGTCGAAGCTGATTCTCGGAACACGGAGCTGGAGCTTGTGAAACACTTTATTGTTGGAGCTATAACAGTTAGCAATCATTTGAAAGAGATTGGCAATTAAAGAAGCTGGAGAAATGGATTCCGCGTCTAGTGAATAATCGATTTCTCGCTTCATCTTCTTTGAAGTTTCGAAATGAGAAAGACTCTTTTTTGGGTCGATTGATAACGTGCTATGAAAAATGAGTTCTTTACTTAATTGAATTGAATTGAAAGCGAAATTCGGAATGGTTGGATAAGGGCGAAAGTCCGCTTCTTTTCCAAAACCGAATCTTCACCCAAAGAACATCATGTTGTCAATTTGGTGATATCAGAAAGAGGTGATACACTATTCGTTGCTAAATCATCGATTCGGAGATCTACGTGTAACAAATCAAGGAGATGCACTGAAAGTTGCAGCCTTTGAACTGCACGTTGATCAATCGAGAAGGTTCTATTCTGCTACAGACTCCTCACGTCTCTGTAACGACACTCAGGGTACTCAATGATTTAAGCATCGAAGTCCTACCTTATTCAGTCTATTCACCAGACCTATCGCCAATCGATTATCACTTTTTTAAGCATCTTGGCTGCTTTCTTAGAGGCCAAATAATGCCATAATGCCATTGACGTTTTTATCAACTCTAGAGCTTCTGATTTTTACATCCATGGAATCGAAAAACTTGCCCTCTTCTGATAAAAATGCATTGATTGAATGAATAATATTTAGTTAGTATTATAAATTAAAAAGTTTGATGATTGAAGTAGAGTATGAAAAACGTAGTTATTTTTTCGTAGTACCTAATGGATTAACTAATCATAATTTCTGAAAAACTTGGACATTTAAATAACTACCGTAAATACTGTAATAGTACCCCACCGCCCTCGTACAGTCTGGTAGTCGCAAAAGTTTTTTTTGGCATTTCATTTTTTTTAAAGCGCCCGTACTTTCAAAAAGCGTCTTTGGTATCAAAAAATAGCTGAAATTCAGGATTATTTTTTGATACCTAAGCCCGCATTGTAGCATAAATCAGCGTCGAGAAAAACTCGTTCAAAGCTAGACTACGCAACACTCCGCACCGTCATTATGGGCGGTGGGGTACTATTACAGTATTTACGGTAGGTTTAAACAAGCCTAGCAATTGTGTTTACCAAAAAGAAAGGGGCAAAAGTGAATACCCATAGGCGATGCAATGCAAAGTGAGCGAGTGTACTGAACAAACTTTTTACTCATTAATTACTGTCGATTACCCGTAGCACAAAACTGAGGTGAAACTTGTCGACATAAACCGTGAAACTGAAAGATGAGGCCGTAGTTGATTGGAATAATTCTAAGCTGGCAAAAGTTATGGAAAACTGAGTTTCACCTGGCAGTAGCCAATCCGGCTGTGAGGCCGAGAAAGAACTCGGATAGAGTGACACTGAAATTGTTTTGACTTCAAATCCTGACCATCTACTTTAATGGCAGTTTTCATTTGTCACTTTCATTTTCTTGTTTTTATTGTATTTTAAGTTGGATACTTTATTTTGGACACTTTAAGTTGAATACTTTAATTTGGATACTTTAACCAGTTGACTACTTTAGGTTGGATACTTTAACCAGTTGAATACTTTAAGTTTCTCGTACTACCCACAACCTTTTTACAGTCTTTTGCTTTACTAACCTTGCTAGAATTATAGAATATGATCGGAAAGATTTCGAGGTTTGAAATACAATGAGATATAGCAATAGTCCATTCATTCCGATTGAAATGATATCAGAGATCTGGTGAGCCGTTGTGAAGAGAGTCGCTCGGAATTGAGTAAACGGAAAGTCCATCTCTGGTGATTTGCAATGAAGACGACTTTTAAATCAAAAAACAGATTGTTGACAAGACTTTAGTTCGTGATATAAAAAACACTCGGAGCAAGTGGAAAGGGAATCGAGGAAGGGGAAATCGTGGCACAGTCACACAGCAATTTGGAGTTCAACTCGAGGAAAGACTCACACATATCAATTTGATTTTAATTTCTCACGAAATGATTAGCTGTTACTTAGCTGCTTTTTGATTTACTAAAGATTGACTGAAGGTTTTGGAAAGTACGCAAATTGCAAATTAAAACGGTACAGTTTTGATATCTGTTCAAAATCAGAAATCAAGCAGTTATTAGAAAAGATCGGGATCAGCTTGTGCCTTGTAAACCTTAACAAATTCCGTTCTGTACTTGAACTTGAACAGAACTTGAACTTGAATAGAACTTGGACTGTTTGATAGCTTAATGGTTGATTCGTTTTCTGGTGAAATATTAGGTTGATGCAAAAGTCTTTTTTTTTTTTTTTTTCCCCCCCCCCCCCCCCCAACCCCCCCCCAAAAACCCGATTGTTTTTTTTTAAAAAAAAAAAAAATTTTTTTTAAAAAAAAATATAAAAGGGATTTAAATATTTTATTTTTTTTTTTTTTTTTTTTTTTGGGTGGGGGGGGTGGGGGGGGGGGGAAATGGGGGTTTGGGTTGAAAAATTATTTAAAAAAAAAAAATATACCTTTATAATTGTGTATAGAGGGGGGGGGGGGGGTAGGTATTTAAAAAAATAAAAATAAAAGGGAAAAAAACTCATAATTTTTTTGAGGGTTTTTATTAAAAATATAAAAAGGGGAGATTTTAAAAAAAAAAAAAAAAAAAAAGGAAAAAAATATAAAAATAGAGGGGTGGAAAAAAAAAAAAAAAAAAAAAAAAAAAAAAAAAAAAAAAAAAAAAAAAAAAAAAAAAAAAAAAAAAAAAAAAAAAAAAAAGAAAAGAAAAAAAAAAAAACCACCAATAAATCGACTAAACCGGACAATCAAATCGGAAAAGTTTCAGAGAAAAGTTTCAGGTGAAAAACGGTGCTGCATTTCAAAAATTGCTGAAAAAACGATGAACTTCCAAAAAAAGAAAGCCTTATTTCTAGAATAATCTGCAATCATTTAAAAGTTCAAATCATTTAAAAGTTGAAAAATCTACAAAGAGTTTTTGCACAAAAGCAAATCAAAAATTGAATCATTTTTCTAACTTTCTTTTTCTTAAAACACTTTAACTTTGTTTTTCAGAAAAAACCTTGATTCGATTAAAGCCAGAGAAGTGAGAGCAGTCAAATCTTCGACAATGGCATCATCTACTCTTTTAACAAACCGAAGTGATTGGCTGATTGTTGTAAGAATCAAAATTTATTGTTAATTCTTAAGCTTTCCAGATAAACAACAAGATTCTTTCAATTATTTCAAACAAGAACAAGAAAAAGAAAATTTTCGACAAGCAGCTACGTCCGATTCCACTTGCCTCAATGGTTTATGATCAATAAATGGTGACAAGAGTCATTTGTTTTCTGTTTCTTTTAGAGATTTTATTTCGATGAGCATCAATCCTTTCTCTTTCAACTTGCTGCAATTCTACTAGTCCCTAACTTCTGTGTACGTGATCGCCACTCTGTGCCTCATTCTGACAACCATTCATTGTGTGCATGTTCCGGACATCAAAAAGGAACAGCTTGTCAAGGTAAAACACTATTTAGTTAACAATCAGCTACAAATGCTTTCTAATGTCATTTCAAAGATTTCGGCTCTTCCATTGTTGAGTGTTCATTCAAGTTAAGGAGCTGATGTATGAGCTGCTTTAAAAACTAATTTGCTAGCGTAAGGAAAAGAGTCAACAACTCAACAAGTCAACAAGTCAACAAGTCAACGACTGAACCCAAAATTAAAGTAGACTATAAGAAGAAAAACTTCGAGCTAACTAGTAGACAAATTCTCACCGGCAGTTACCTAATTGTGGAAAGTAACATAGACTTTTTGGTAAGACCTTGGAAACCAAAGTTACACTATGAACCTCACTTTTAGTCAGCCACGATTTCGTGAGAACTTGAGTATTTCCCTTCCTTGTCTACCGGACTTTGAGTACCGTCAATTCATCGTAAAATTTCAAATAGTTTACTTTTATTTTCGCTTTACCATCACTAAAATCCTATTCATTTCGAAAATGGACTTCCCGTTCACTCAATTCCGAGCGACACTCTTCACAACCGCTCACCAGATCTTTGATCTCATCTCAATTACGATGAATGGTCTACTTTTGTATCTCATCGTTTTTCAGACATCGAAATCTTTTCGATCATATTCTATCATTCTAGCAAGGTTAGTAAAGTAAAAGACTGTGCAAAAGTTTTTGAATGACAAAGCTTGTCATTGCTGTCTTGCATTGAGGATTTATTGATGACTCAAATGATTGATGAAGGACTTATGAAATACAAATCAAACATGGATTATTAAATGATAGCTTGGATTCTAACAAGCATATGGCATTCAGTGAAAAAATGATGAAATTAGCATTTGAATTAAATTTGATCGTATTCGGACGAACGGATCCGGATGTCCGTATCGGATCCAGACGTTCGGATCCGATCCGGATGTTTGGATTGGATTCGGGCATTTGCTCCGGACTTCTGGAATCGATCCGGACGTCTGGATCGGATTCGGACATCCAAATCCGATGTCCGAATCGGACATCCGGATCCGATTTGGACGCGTGATCGGATTCGGATGTAACATTCACTAACTAGCTGAGCTTAAACTCCACAGATCCTCTATTTCAGTGTCACCCTGTCCGAGTTTTTTCTTGGACTCACAGCCGCCCTAGCAATGACGAGGTGAGAAAACGAATCTTTTACCCAAATCCTCAAATTTAGACTTATCCCAATTGAAAACGGCATCGTTCTTCAATTTCATGGTTTGTGTCGAAAATTCACTCCTCAATTCTGCAATGACGGTATGTTTAGTGGAAAGACTACACAAAACGAAGTTTCAGTTCACACCATCACACTGCATTGTATTTCTTATGGGTATTCCCTTATGCCACTCTCTTTTTGGCAAGTTTAGAAATTGATTGAGTGAACTAGACCGACATAAACAATTAAAAACCTTGAACTCTTTAGGTAACATGTAGTCCTAAACATCATAGATAATTAGAAACACAAAATCTTTAAGAAAACTGAAACAAGAAGAACCTAGCATGAAAATAAAAATAATAATTACAAGAGTCAAATCAAATTTAAAAACTATGTCAAAGTCAACTAGCCGGAAAACGTGGTTATTTTCTTGTAGTACCTAATAATCATGTTTATTGTCCAGGTACCGTCACTACGTCCTCTCAAACAAAGCTCCAAGTCCAAAATTGATCACTTTTCTTTGTTTTCTCATTTATCTACCAGCTTTCATCACAATGGTCAGTGATTGGAGTAGCTGCTTGTAAATAACTGCTTGTAAATAACTGCTTGTAAATAACTTTTCGAATTTCTTTTTCAGTTTCCATTCGCTTCTTCGACCAGCGACCCAGCTGTGGCCAGACAAATGCTTATCGATCATCAAAACGGTTCTCTTTTTCCTGATGACCCAAAAATCGCAGCCATCATCGGCTATGAGTATCTTTATCAAAAAACGTACGTGTTTGGTTTGAAAACTTTAAATCTATTGAGCTGTGAGTAGAGTGTATTTTTAGCATAATGCCGTTGATGCTCTGGGTTTGTTTGCCGATTTTCCCCGGTTACACAGCAGCTATCATCTATCGAATTCGAATTCTGAAAGTTCTCGAGAGAAACTCGATGAGTCCGAAAACGAAAACGGCACAGAAGAAATTGGTGAAAGTGGGGAAAACGGAAATTTTATTGGCTCATGATACTGACCAGCTGATGAGCTTTGTTGGCAATAACCTGATCAGCGCTTGGTCCTAGTTAGATAAAGGATTTCCGGTCTGGATTAGGATAGGTCATGATACAAAAATCCAGGCTGTTCCAGGCTCTAACCCTCCAAGCAGTTCTTCCACTTATCATGATGAGTCAAGCTTCTGTCTACATGTGGAGACAATTTAAACTACCGTAACTACCGTAATCAACTTTTAGCAGCAAAAACCCTAATTTCAGATTTGCTCATTCGGTTCCATATTTCGAGGAATGGGTCTTCTTGTTGGTGGCCATTGTGAGGTTTAATTGTAACTATTGGGTTGGTGAATTGAAAACTGCCGGACTTTGAACTAAAATTTATTGAACATAAAACCATAAATTCATTCCAAATAATTTCCATTATTATTGACGACTTGTGCTCATTTTACAGGCAATTTGCGGATTCCTCTTTCGTAGTAGGATTTTGGTTTTTGTGTGAGACAAGTGTGAGACTCAAAAATGGAGGACTGGAGAGATGTCCCAGTTTGAGCACTTTCTTCAAAGAAACCCATTTTGCTGTCAATAGAAAAGTTGTAGAGAATCAAAAATGAGGCTTATAGCCAAATTTTCAAAAAGATACACTTAGTAGTTTCGCTTAAAATGTAAGTTTTGCGAAAATTTTGTAAACTTGGCACTTCTTGAAAACCAGCTTTTGAATCGTTCTGAAAATTTGGATATAAGCTTGATTTTTGATTCTCTACAACTTTTCGATTGACACCAAAATGGGTTTCTTTTGAAGAAAGTGCTCAAACTGTCACATATGACAATAGCCGGCAGTTTTCAATTCACCAACCCAATAAAATCAAAGATTCAGGTGAGTTCAATCAACCCGTGTATCACAATCTACTACGTGGCGCCTTATCAAGAAAAAGTTCTCAAACTTTTCTGCTGGAAACGAAAAAGTAAAACCTACAAGATCTACAAGATTCACGAGCATCTCCACTCAAATATGTCGATGAAAAAGACGAATGATCCACAAAACGAGGGCATTTCCTCGACGATTACTTCAAGAAATGACTTGGTTTAAACCCTTAAAATTGTTTTATTAAAACGTTTCTTTTAATAAACTAATTTTTACCTAAAAAAAAACATTATTTCAATGCTCTCCAACTGGCTTTTTTAGTTTAAAAGTTGAAAAAAAATCTTTGAAGCTGCTTTTAATGAATAGAGATAGAAAAAAGGTCAAATTTCAATTGTTCAATCTTTCAAAGAAATAAAAACAAGATTTTTCTTGGTTAACTCAATTTAACGCCTATTCAAAGACTTTAGTTTTAGTTTTTTCAAAGGTTTTTCTTTGAAAAAAACGAAAACTTTCTTTTTTCTTTTTCTTTTATTTTTAGTAATTGTAATTATTTTATTCTTCAAAAATGTAAGTTTAATGTTTTTTTTAGACAAATTTATCTTTAGTTTTTATGAATTTGAAATTCATTTGAAATTTCCATTTGAAAAGTGAGCCCTCAATTGCTGTTGTGGTTCTTGTCTACGATCAAGTTCATTTTAATGTAGTAGTAGACAAAGTTATCTTTAGTTTTTAGTATCCATTTGAAAAGTGAGCCCTCAATTGCTGTTGTGGTTCTTGTCTACGAGCAAGTTGATTTTAATGAATATGAAATTGCTCAAAAATCACTGAAATGCCATTGCAAAGGAAGAAATTTTGAGTATCAATTGATCGTTGTGATAGTACGATACGAGAGGACGTGAGATGAGTGATATAGTCTTCTTTCTTGATTGTCTTCTTTCTCAAGTTCTTTCTCAATCATGATTGTTTTCCTCGCGAGTAATGTCTTTTTTTTAAAGCGCACGCTTAAGAAAAATTACCGTACTTTTAGCGAAAATTATTGCAAAAAAAATGGCGCCAAAATCACGACTTCTTTTAAAGATATTCAACCGTTCGACTGATTTGGTGGCAAATTCCCTTCAAATGTAAAGATATTCAATTTACTCGACGTGTAAAGAGGATTACTCGTAGTTACTCGACCAAAAAACGTCGATTAATCGAGTAAAGATTACTCATGCAAATTTTACTTGAGTAATTACTCCCGTGGAACACACTCTAGTGATATCAGTGAATGCAGTGAACGTTGGCTGTCACTTTGAGCTAATCTTAATAACGATTTCTGCCTAGAAACTAAATTCCAGAAGTTAAAGTCGGTTTTAAGGCCTTTTTAAGCTTGATGCTGATGAAATTGAGTCCTAAAGTAGTCCTAAATTGAGTTTTGGTACTTTGACTTATTTGGAATATCAATTTCTGAAGAATCTTGATGACTTCAGGTTATTTGACAACAACTTTTATTGAATAGGTCTTTTTCCGTCTCTGTCATGATCATTCATGAAATTTTATTTGATCGTCTTCTTTTTTTTTCTCAAGACTCATCATCTCAAAATCTTTATTAAAAATTAAAGATGAAAGATGATTGTGCGAGATAAAAAGCAACGTAAAGTTTTCAATAAAACGATCAGTATGACAAGACGAACAAGACGATTAATGAAACCAAAAAATACAAAAAAACAATTGTGATAATACAAAAGTTTCTGATTCGATCAATATTTACAAAGAAGTTTGGCAAAGAAAATCATTATACGAAAAGCAAGGACCAGCATACCAATCGTTGCTAATCGGATTCATATAACCGCATTCTTTTCCATTTGCTGGTTCACCTAAAAACCTTGACTGTCAACATTCTAAATATCCTTCAAAAACGAAATTTACTTTTTTAAAATCAACTCACCTTGAGCCCATTTCTGATAGTCCATCGGTGAGCCATCTGACCATTTCCACGTCGTTCCATTCAACATCAATCCAATCATTACGCCTTGCTCGGCACCGTATTCTACAAAAATTTGATGAAGATATAAAAATCAATTGTTCTAGATATAAAGATATAAAGATCAATTGTTCGTCTTGACATACTCATCATTTTATTGAAAACTTTACGTCGCTTGTTATCTCGCAAAATCATCTTTCATCTTTAATTAAGATTTTTAGATGATGAGTCTTGAGAAAAAAAAAAAAAGACTTAAATAAAATATAAAACAAAATCACATTAGCAATCGTAATTTAAAGATCTTGAGAAACAGAAAAAGCAGAAAAAGCCAAGAAATGTCACCAACTTTCCGTGGCCATCTGAGCAATTAACGCATTGTAAAAGGCGTCATGAATCACAACCAAATTCCCTCCATCTAACTCGCATGAAGCCTCATTCACATCCCAACCATTTCCTGAAAACAATGGTCATGACTTGAGAAATTACCCATTTGATAAAAAAGAAAATTAAAATTAACACTAGCAGCAATCTATATAGTAACTGAATAAAATGCAAGCTGTCATAGTTATTGTAAAGTTAAAATAACCACTTTAATTGCTTTACCACTTCACAGAAACATTTCTTTTCGAAAAGACAGACTCTAGCCACAATATAAATCAAAATTTAGCCAATTTTGAGCACATAAACTTGTTAGCTTTATGTGGCAGCATCAGAATATTCAGTTTACAAGAAATAAAACTTAATTGCCGTATTCTCTCTTAATAGTAGTGCACTCTGAGCGTCGCCTAAATTCCTCGAAATCTCGAGAACCGCTTATCAGAACCTATCGATGTGGGATCGGAAAATGTAGCTGACGATGAGATCTAGTGGGGTATTAGTGTGTTGAGTTTCTGCAAAAGCTTGGAAACCGTAAAATAGGCATCAACTCGGCTCGCCGGGGTGCACTACTATTAGAGAAAATGCTAAATTTAGCGAAATTGTTTTGGTATTTGGCATTTAGCATTTAGCATTTAGAAAAGTTGCATTGTTAAATGTTAAACTGCTAAACCCGTTTAGCAAAATTGCTACCTGATAAATTGATAAATGCTAGATGTTTTGGTGGATCTAAATAGTTTAGTGGAAAGCCTCGAAACCGAATCTGTAATCAGAATCTAGTTGTCGGGGTCAGAACCATGCATGGTGCCCAGCTCGAAATCTTGGCTTCAAGCTCAGGGCCAAAATTCTGAACTCACCTTATCCGGTACTGGGAACTTGGCTTTGGCTTGGCTTGGCTTAGTCTGGAAATTAGTGAATCACATTTTTGAGGTGTACAAAAATAATGGCTCGGTCTACTATTCGAAGAAATACGGTTATCACGAATTTCCAGACTAGGCCAAGCCAAGTCAAAGCCAAAGCCAAGGCCTGGCCTCTTTCTGATCAATTTAAACAACCTGAAGTGTGGTTGCTTTTTCTTTTAGTACCCACCAAATCTATATCGAGGATTTCCAACGCATAAGCCCTTGTCTGTGACATATTCATAGCCATTCGGACACTCCTGACCTGGAATACTGAACTTCTGACTTTGCAAAAGCAAAAGTCGAATAAATATCGATCTGATAACTGTGATTTTACTATACAAAAAGACTCGATTAGTTCCGTAGATTTACATTTGCATTACACCATTCACTCACCTTCTGTTTGAGTAACTAGATATAAATTCAAAAGCTGAGATTAGGCTTCTGTTCCAGCGGCACTCACCAGAAGTGCCGCTGAAACAGAAGCCTAATCTCAGCTCAAGAGTGTATAGCAAAAACTTTGATGCCAGAAAACTCACGTTTGCGAGCTACGAAAGTAAAAGTGTAAATAGATATAAATTCAAAAGTTTACCATTGTAAAAGAAAACTACCAAAGAATATAACAACAAACCAAAGATTCGGCCAATCTTGTACTGCCAAATGGTTACTTCTCGGCCTGATTCTGTATGATATATCAATCCTAAACAAACTTTGCAAAGCTTTTCTTCTAAATAACCGTTTTCCGATGTATTTCCTCGAGCAAAAAGAAAGTATTCCATATCGCCATCTTTATAGTTGTAAATTTCGCTATTGACAATTGGGAGGTTGTTGATTTGTTGTGTGAAGCGGCAAAGAATCTCTCCATCAATTTCGGAAACACTCACACTTGTCAAAATCATATCGAAATCATTCTGCTAAAAAGGCGCCAAATTATTTCTATCGATTTGGTGATAGCCGTTTTATTGTTAAGATTGTTAAGACGTATTTAAACCATTAAGCTACAAATGTTCGGGAAAATCTTTCCAATCTTCACTATTAGGTTGTCAACTAAACAACGGACTTTTACATCAGAAATTGATTTTACCAATGTTGAATGAAGTACACCATTGGAAAGATCTAGATTTCCTCTATAAAATCGTTGTTAACAATTTGTTAACAATTTAGAAAACCTTTAGTTTTTCGGGTTTTTCGGGAGTGCAAAGTCGAGTAGGCAAAATTGATGAGAATCGACTTTAGTCAACTTTTGTCAAAGTCAACTTTTGTTTTTTTGATGGGTACTGACACTAACTTTATAAGCTAAAGAAAAATCAATATCTATTATACTTTTAATGAAATTTCCGATGAGTAAACTCGATGTCAAATGGCTTTCAAGACTTTTGTGACTGAAAGTTCATCGAATCTTGATGATTTTTTTTAATATTAAATCTAATTCAGGAATCCAGATACTTAAAAAACATTACTTACTTAAATGCTAATCATCGTTAAATTTCTAAAAACATTCCTTTGTTTACTCTTTTCGACAATAAACATTGACGAGTCTTAAAACAGGACTTTGTTTTGATTATAAAACATAAATTATAATTATAAATTATAAAACAAATTACTAGTTTAGAGAAATTGTTGCTTGTAAAAGGGGAAAGGTTTATTGATAATAGTGAAATAGTGAAATAGTGAAATTTTACGTGCTTCCATAAGGTGTCTACTAGACATGGGCATCGGGTCAGGTCGGGTCGAGTCAAAAGTGACCCGCTGACCCGACCCGGCCGCCAAAACTCGAAAATGAACATGTCTAGTGTCTAGTGTCTAGGGAAAATTCCAATCCAAACCTAATTCCACCTTCGTTTTCTTGACTTTTCTTGGCTTAATTTAAAATTTACAGATAGAAATCAACATTTTCACCATTCAGATAAAATCTCTGAAGAATCGGACAAGAAACGGTCGAGAAAACAAAGGTGGAATTAGGTTCGGCTTGGAATTTTGGAATTGGAATTTTTCCCATTTCTAGTGCTCACATCAATTGCACTATGTAGATTTCAATATAAAAAGAAAGCCAGCAAGATTCACGTGAATTCTACAAGTAGCCTAGAAAAGTAGCCTAGTTAGGCCTTTTCACTTTTTAGTCTTTTTCTTTTTCCAAACCTACCGTCATGTTGGCTATCCGCGAATTGTAGGGTGGATATTTTTGTGGATTGTACGAAAGTTTTGGGCTCATTCGATCAACTCCTAATGCCGAACATTCCGACACTTTTGATCCCATCTGAAAGCGGCTAATTGCTTTTTTGTATACTTTTTAAAATAAAGCTTTTACCGAAATACGTTTTAGATTCTTTAGATCTTTAGAACCATTCTTTAGATCTTTAGAATCATTCTTTAGATCTTTAGATTGGCGCGAAAATATCCGCATATGGGAATGCGCTAATGATACAGATTTTTAAGTACTTTAGGATCGGTTCTTGATGAAAATTGCTATAATATAAGTTAAAGTGTTTGAAAAGATTAAGGTAATGAAGGTAATCAAATGCATTTTGGCATATGGGATATTTGATACGCGCCCCGCCACCTTTGCCATTGCCAATCCAACTTTGAGCTCAAATTTCTCGTCATTGGGCTATCGAATTTAAATAGTTTTTGTATCAATCGACAGAGAAAGACTTGGCGCATTCAATGATATCAAGAATATTTAAATTGAACACCCCAACACGAAGATATTTGAGCTCAAAGTTAGATTGCTAATGGGAAAAGGGGTGGGGTGCGTTTTCTGTTTTCAATTTTCAAATTTCTGATAACCTTTTTGGGATCACAAATCGGCAGCGAACACCAATTTTACACTGAAAACAGCAAAAAATCTGACAACGCGACGAAGATCGATGTTTTAAGCACTAAATAGCAAATGTTTTAAGCAATGATTACCATTTCCTGGTCGGTACTGAAGCCTAGAGCAACATAGCTGTTTGATTGTTGAAAATTCCTCGTAAGTAGCTCGATGTCCAGATAATAAGTGCCACTTATATTTCGAAACTACATAAACTTTAAGTTATCTTCATAGACGGAAGAAAAAACAAACGTTTATCGAAGCGACAAAGTCGCATGTGTCCGGATTTTGATTGTAACAAGGTACAATGCATTGCTTCGTTTTCCCACATGTGCTCTTGTCAAATAGTTCTCCGAAGGATAAAATCTAAAGAGTTTCAAAGGAAAAATGATATAAAATATGATTCAAAATCATTACCAAGCAAGTGAAAAGCGACAAAGCAAAAGAAAGCGATGACCGCATTTCTGAATGCGAGAATTTCCCTTTCCCCTACCGTTTTTATCAAGCCTTTTTATATTTTTTCGTGATTTTTCTTGATAAGAAGAGTAGAGTAGACAGAGATTCTATGAAATCATAATGGAAAAAGTTTTTTCTCAGGTTTGCTTTTGGTTTTCTTTTGGTTTTCTTTTGGAATTGAAAATAATTGATGCCCTCGAGCTAAAGGCAAAAATATTGGCATCATCTTTTGAATACCGATTCATTCATCTTTTGAATACCGTTACCAATTCATCTGGATCACGATTCTATTTTATAATCCGGATAATTCGAAATTCTTCTATTTGGTGATTTTCTGAGTGGTTGATGCAAAATTAAGACAAAAATTTAGCCTTTTTTGACATGCAAATTGTAGTTTCGAACTAAAACTAGTTTTGTTTTTAATTTCAAATGTTTTTCAGGCACTTTTGTGCGAATGAACCTCTCGAGAAACAATTTCAATCAGACAATTTCAATCAGAAAATTTCAATCAGAAAATTTCAATCAGAAAATTTCAATCAGAAAATTTCAATCAGAAAATTTCAATCAGACAATTTCAATCAGACAATTTCAATCTTAGCTCCCTCAAAACCAAAAAACCCTTGCTTCAGCAGCTCTTCAATGCCCAAAGCCTTTTCTTTTGTCTCTAAATATTCACTTCCATTCATCGATTCTTTTAAACATACATTTGAATTTACAAAAATAATTTATTCTTTTCAACTTTTATATAAGAACAATTTATTATAAATCTCTCTTTCCTGTTCAAAAGTCTTCTTTAACAGGCGCCCGTTCCAAGAACATAACACGCAAAATTGGTGAAGGTGTGCTAAAAAAGGTTTTACTTTTAGGTAAACTTTAAGTTACACATTTTTAATCAAATGTTTGTTTTATTATAAATACCCCATGAAAGCGCCAGACTTTATCATTCCCGCAAAGAAACGGAAACATTTCCGGTTTTTTCGTCGAGTCCACCTAAAAAAAAGGTTTTAAATTTAAATATGACCTTTAAAATTTTAAAAATCTATTTCCTAGTTCCTAGAATATTTCTGTTTTTGTTAGTCAAGAGGTTGTAGAGAAAAAAATTTTCAACAAACATACATTTGGACATTGTTGTGCTTGTGCAACGGCTCCAGACCCATCATTCACTTGAAAGCCCATCTGAAGAAAAAGTTTCCTTTTTATTTTAACAATAAAACTTTGCCTACATTATCTCCTGCATTTCGCGAGCAATCCCAATCGGCCACCATGCAACAGTTAGTGACATTGATGCTGTAAAAGGGGATAGACAAAGTGTATTCCCGTAAATACTTTAATAGTACCCCACCGCCCTCGTACAGTCGCGTAGTCGCAAAAGTTTTTTCGTATTTCATTTTTTCAAAGCGCCCGTACTTTAAAAAAATACGTCTTTGGTATCAAAAAATAGCCCTGAATTTCAGCTATTTTTTGATACCAAAGCCCGCATTGTAGCATAAACCAGTGTCGAGAAAAACTCGTTCAAAGCTAGACTATGCAACACTCCGCACCGTCATTATGGGCGGAGGGGTACTATTCAAGTATTTACGGTAGGTTTAAAAAGTCTTCACCCTTTCTTAGATTGCTAATCAGCGTAGAATCAATATATTTAAATGAAATTTTAAACAGATTATTCTTTAAAATCTGACAAGCTTAATGCCAAAGTTATAAAGTTATTCGGCGATGAACGATCAAGTTATAGTTATAGCAAGTTACAACAAGTTATAGCAAGTTATAGACCAAATTATAACAAAAGTTTAACCCTCTTGAAAAATCAAATAAACTTCGCTAAGAGTTTTTGAAACTTTTTTAGAAACTATCTTACATTATTTTATTGTATTGTTTCCTCATGTGCTCGTATTTTTGAATTTAACACTAGTGATAAAAAATTGCTCTCGTAAAGTCTTTTGGCTATAACTTGGTCGTTAATCGCCGAATAACTTTATAGCTTTGACATTAAGCTTGTAAGATTTTAAAGAATAATCTGCTTAAAATTTCATTTAAATACATTGATTCTACGCTGAGATATTATCAATCTAAGGGTCAAGACTTTGTTTACAACCTGGAAAAAGTTGGAAAAAGAAACAAGGAATTGTTTTAAATCATTTTTCCAGCAATTTTTTTATTCAACCTTTTATAGTATAAAGCATCCACTTACGAGTAGGTGTAGGTCATTTGTCCAACCGGATATGGAGCCAGAGGATTCGGCTTAAAGAAGGCCGGCAGGCTGCCACACTGTTGGCAAGCTAGGAGGTTTTAAAATGATCAAACAATGAAAATGTTTGCGAACCTCTTGTCACATTCGGATTGCATGCTTTTTTCGTTGTGGGTGGGACTGTTGTCGTCGAGGTGGTCGGGGCTTCTGTTGTGTCGAGCTCTGTGGTCGTTGTTGTCGTTGTTGTCGTTGTTGTCGTTGTTGTCGTTGTTGTCGTTGTTGTCGTCGTTGTCGTTGTAGTTGTCGTTCTATTGTTGGGTTGGTGAATTGAAAACTGCGGGCTATTGTCATATGTGACAGTTTGGGCACTTTCTTCATAAGAAACCCATTTCGGTGTCAATGGAAAAGTTGTAGAGAATCAAAAATCAAGCTTATATCCAAATTTTCAGAACGATTCAAAAACTGGTTTTGAAGAAATGCCAAATTTACCAATTTTCACAAAACTTGCATTTTAAGCGAAACTACTAAGTGTATCTTTTTGAAAATTTGGCTATAAGCCTCATTTTTGATTCTCTACAACTTTTCTATTGACACCAAAATGGGTTTCTTTTGAAGAAAGTGCTCAAACTGGGACATCTCCAGCTCTCGATTTTTGAGTCTCACACTTGTCTCACACACAAACCAAAATCCTACTACGAAAGAGGAATCCACAAATTGCCTGTAAAATGGGCAGAAGTCGTCAATAATAATGGAAATTATTTGGAATGAATTCATGGTTTTATGTTGAATAAATTTTAGTTCAAAGTCAGTTTTCAATTCACCAACCCAATAGAATCTCGTAAAGATGCATAAAACATCTTAAATAATTATCAAACTTTTACATAAAGAAAAATGTTTTGAAAGTTTTGAGAAACTTACGTAGTAGTCGTGGTAGTGGTCGTGGTAGTGGTTGTCTTAAATATTTCAATTTTTCTACCTTTTAATTGCAAGCAAACACTTTTTGTCGTGCTGATTAAGTACTCACCGAAGTCGTAGTGGTTTTCTTAGTAGTCGTTGTTGCTTTTTTTGTGGTTTTAATGGTTGTCTTGGCAGTGGTTTTTATCGTAGTTTTCTTTGTGGTGGCTTTCGTTGTTGGTTTGGTCGTCGTTTTGGTCGTTGTCTTTTTTGTAGTCGTAGTCGGAGCAATGGTTGTCTAAAGGCAGACCTAGAAAACTGGTGATGGCTATCATACATACCGTTGGACAGGCTGGCAATGCATAGACGGGATCTGGGGGCAGTTGTTGCCCACATTGAGTTTGGTTTGTCGAAACGTTGATGACGAGGGTTTCGTTATTGCAACAAGTTGAGCCATCACAAGGGGTCGTCGGACAAGCAATCATTTGAGAAGATGCTCCACTAAATGGATTGTAAAAAGTCGCGCAAATGAACGTAAAACTAGCTTGGTCTAAACTTGATGGAAATAATGTAAAATTGTTTTAATTCTGCTTTGATTACCTTACAAATGCAATAATGCAAATGTACCAAATGCAAATGTGCAAATGCAATAATGCAAATGGAATATTTAGTGCCCACCTGCAAGCACAGCCATAACTTGTCGATTTGCAGGTTCGAGTCTGGTTTACCGTCCCACAGAGGCCACATGTGGCTGAACAAGTGCCCGTCGAGCTCCACGCGGACCAAATGCCGCCCGGTGGACACGGACAAGTGTTCAAAACTTCTGTGTTTCCGATTTATCAAAAAGAACTTTGAAAAACTGACTGTTGACTGTACAATTTGGGGCCACGTAGTCACCAGTTTCAGCACTATTTGTGATGTTTCCACAGACGTATCTCTTCAGCACTTGATTCGGATACTAAATTTCAAACGGTTTCTTTGCTAAAAGCTTTTTTTAAGGAACCTTTACATACGGACTCTTGCAGGTGTCCCTCGGAAAAGGACAAGGCGAGTCTCCACAAGGTTCCGATCGAGAGTAGTTTCCACTGAATTGAGGTATGCTTTACTGGTGTTTTCAGTGATCCTTACGTGCACGGGCATCCGAATTTCCACGAGGTGCAAGTTCTTTTCTGAACCTGCGTTCCGAAGAGGCCGCAAGTGTCCGAGCACAAAGTGTAATTCGACCAGTCCGACCAGACACCGCCAGCTGGACAGGTGGTACAATTTGTGACGGCATGCACAGAAGCCACTAAAGGTCAGGCAGTGTTTAGGGCAAGAACAGTTTAGTGTACAGGGTGCGTCACAATTATGGGCTCAACTAGGCTTTTCAGTATACAGGATGCGTCACAGTTATAGACCCAGATAAATCAGTCGATATTAACCGAAAAACAAGTCACCCAAAGATAACAACAGACGTGGGCGGAAGGCGTCAACTGTGGCACGCAAGTAGGCAACATCAAGCTCGTACCATGCGTTAAGGAGCGCTTTCTTTAACGAGTCAACTGTTCGATGTGGTTTAGCACACACCTTAGCTTCTAAGATTGTCCAGACTGAAAAATCAAGCGGATTAAAATGCGGCGAGCTTGGATGCCACTCGTTGAATGAGATGAAGTCGGGTAGGTTCTGCTCACTCCTGAACTATTCGAGACTGGAGCCGAGCCACGTGCTGAAATACCCACTACGTTGTCCAAAATGGTTGGCCCAGGGAAAACGTCTTGTTGCAAATAGTGATTTACCTTGACTCTTGCACGAAAGGGTCTTTCCATTGACGGATTTGTAAAGACTGAAGCTGGATGAAGAACGCGCGATTTGTGTGGGTTGGAAATGGCATAAATTCGGTCATTCTGCTTGTTTAGCACTTGTTCAACGTTGAATAATTTTTCATCTGAGGACAAAATATCACAACAGCTACGTTGGTTGAATCGCCTGAGAAGGCCCTCACATCGTTCTTTTCTTTTTGGCAGCTTTGGTGAGTCCTTAACATTTGTTCTTTTTGAAAGCTTTCATCTTGAGTTCGCGCCGCACAATTCGACGCAAAGAAGGCACAGAAATTCCTATTTTGCGTGACATGATCGTTCCGGGTTAGGACCCAACCTCCCTCGCATTTTTTTGATGTTGGACTGAATCCCTACAGAACGCCGTTTTCCTCGACCAGCTCTATCAACATTTGTTCCCAATTCCTTGAAGTGTTTAATCGTCTTGTTCATGAGCTGTGTAGAAACCAAATTTTGAGAAATTGCACGTGTCAAAAAGCCCCCATTGATGCAACGCTATGATCAAGTTCCGATAAATATTCGGAACATCTCCAAAAAACACTATAGAATCTTAGAAATGATATCAAATAACAAGGGTAAACATGAAAAAAGTAAAAGATATAAAAGAACATGTTATATGTGGCACCAAATGGTCATAGATAAAGCTGGCACCCCTAGGCCCATAATTATATCGCACTCTGTACAAGCTGATCTACATATTTAGGCTACTTAATCAAAATCTCAACTTTTCAACAATGCATGACAAGGAATAGTTAACAATTTAGTTAAGCTATACGAAAACTTCAAAAACTCACCGCTAATGACGAGGAAAATCCCAAGTTGACGGATCATTTTCGAGAGTTAAAGTGTCTCGTTTAAAGTGATCTCTTCGCTTTCTCGACTTCATTTTATACGGTCAATTTCAATTGAATCGCATCAAATGACCGATCACCTAGCACAGTCTATTGTCCGATTAGCAAAAGCTAACAAGTGTAAGTGGGGACAATGCCCTGCACACCCACACTAACCATACAAATTGAAATTTTCACTATTGTGTGTAGCTGTTTTCGCGTGGATCGGTCAATGGCGACGTCACGGGCTTTTAGCCTGGACTAAGCGTTTTTTTTTTTGAGTCCTACGTGCTATTTGTTCATCGAAAAGCACCGTCCGGTTCACTTTTTTGTCTACTAGAAAAATATATTGTAAAAAAACAAAACTCGAGTGTATTTTTGAAAGTTCATTAAAGTGTTCATTAAAAATTTTTTTAAATCTGCTCGAAAGGTTTGCAAAATGATATCGATTTTCGCATTTTGCATAAAATTCTGTTCAAAATGAGCTCATGCACACAAAATACAAACCAGAGAACGAGTTTTGTAACGGCCCAGAAGATGAGCCTTGCTTTCGTTGTTTTCATTCAACTCCCCAAACCCAAATGAAGACCAAAACTAACTGTAAAGTTAGTTTTGGTCTTCATTGTGATCGTGCTACGAAAAGTTCCGGATTCTCCACTTGGCTTCCAAATGAAAATAGATTGCTTTAGATGAAATAGATGCAATAGAAAATAGATGAAAATAGATTGCTTTCTCATTTCAAGGGGGTGGGACAAATGCGACTTTTTTTTGCGCACCTGGACATTTGCGCACCTTTTTTTTGCTGGAAAAGGCCTTAGGAAAGGTCGTAGAGCTTCAAAAATGCTTTCATACAACGGAATCGTATGCGTAGATTCCGAATTTCGACAAATCAGATCTCGCTGACACGTCAAATTTGAGCTAAAATGCAAAAACTGCGGAAAAGCGTTAAGTTGCGTAGTTTTTGCCTTTTAGTCCAAATTTGACGTGTCAGCGAGGTCTGATTTGTCGAAATTCGGAATGTACGCATACGATTCCCTTCTATGGAAATATTTTCGAAGCTCTACGGCCTTGCCTAAGGCCTTTTCCAGCAAAAAAAAGGTGCGCAAATGTCCAGGTGCGCAAAAAAAGTCGCATTTGTCCCACCCCTCATTTCAACACAAAATTTATCGTGTAAAAAAATACTTTCAATTAATTCAACAAAAAAAAAATGATTTGAAAACGAAAAAGAAACGACGACGCGGCGCTCCCATCGACTACCTCCAAATGGCGACGACGTCAATTGGAATGCTTTATTACCTATTTAATATTTAATTCTGGTAAATTACCTATTTAATTATGGTAAATTACCTATTTAATTCTTGTGAATTACAAACTTTTACAGCCATATTTAGGTTAAAAAAAGCTGAAAATATAAAACATTTATTGCTTTGCATTTCATTTTGAGTTAACTGTACTTTTAACTGACGTTTGCGCTACGCTAGGCACAATTTGAATTTTGAAAACAATTTGAAATTTCTTTAATCCCATCGCTTTCAGCGCTTTTTTACGAATGGTTTTGTTGAAGAAGAGGTAGACAATGGCCGGCATACCTGGAAAACATTTTTGAATTTAATCAAAAAAGAAAGTAGAATTTACAATGCATCAGAAACCATGCATTCGAACTGATATACATCATAAGCATAAAATAGGGAGAGCTGGCGAAAAGGCCCAACGTCGCATAGGCGGTGGCAGTGAGCAGAGGGAACACGGAGACGAGGATGGCCTGCTGAAGGACCTGTCATAGGGGAATCAGTATGTTGATTTGGTTATCGGATTTCCTCTAATCGTGAACCGGGTCAATTTAGAAGGCACTATTAGAAGAAAGACGGTAGGTCAATTGGTATGGATAGGGAGAGTCGACATTCTTCGTTCCAGTACGAGATTCCAGTACGAGATCAAACTCAAAACCCAAGCCACTCTTTCTTTTGCTTCAACAAAAACCTGTTTTTTGTAGGAAACCATTTGTCCATATTTCCTTTCTCTTCTCCATTGCAGCAGATAGGTTAATGGAGTGAAAATGCCCAATGAAAAGCAGAAAATCAAATTGAAAATCCCCTGCACTTTTGCCTCGAACTGAAATTGAATGACAGATAGGAAATCGTGTAAAGTATTAAAGCAAATTAGCGCTAGGAAAACACAGAAAATCGGGGTACCTGATTATTTGTGAGACCCGGAATCATCGGATCGAAAATCCAACTCCCGAAGTCGGCATTGAAAAGACCAGGTGTGCCGAAAAGATTGAGATAAACTCCGAATCCAATTGAGATTCCAATCGACCACAACGCTCGGTTTTCCTCAAAAACGATTTTGTCGTTGATTTAAGTGGTAAACCTTGAAGAGAAAGTCCTTCCATTTGCTGGCAGCTAAATCGAGTATTCGCGTGAGAAGAAGGAGAAATGTCAGAAGAAAGGACGTATTCGCCGATTCTGTAACGGATTCTCATGGGACAATCAAAAATTTACTAGAAATTAAACCATCATTCAGCCAGGAATCGATGCCGAAAACTTCAAAAACCTAAACGAAACCAAGACGGACAGTTTTTCAATTCAAATTGGCTCTTGGTTTTGGGCCTTTTTCACAAACATCGCCTCCCCCACCAGCCTCCATATTTTTAGGGTTTAAACTTTTATTTTATTTTTTTCATTTCAATTCAAGGATTTCAAGAGCTGAGTCATTATTTTCTACTTACGATTGCCAAAGCTTCCGAGACAATAAATCAATAAAGGATAATCACAAAACACGGTTCCGACAGCCACAAAATATCCAGTGAAATGTCCAGCAGTGAAAATAGCAAAACAATCACAAATCCCTAAATATCCTAAATATTAAATGTCTAAAGTAAAAGTTAAAAGAAGTAAAAGTTAAAAGAAGTAAAAGTTAAAAAGGTTAAAAGAAAGAAGTAAATGGTTAAAAGTAGACTTCGGAAAACAAAACTTAACCAAAACCAAAACCAAAACTAACCAAAACTCGCCAATATCTCGCGACTGGGAGGAGCTAGCGAAAATCTGTTTGCAGATTTGAAATCAGCATGCAAAAATCTATCCCATAGGCTCTTTTTTCGAAATTTCGAGGTCGTGTTTTGGTCCTTTTTTCGGCCGCGAGATTTTGGGGGGGCACATCGGCGCGAAAATGCGTTTTCTATAGGATTTTTCTGGGAGTACCTTTTTTAGATGCGGAAAATTGTGCTGATTCCGAATCTGAAGGAATTTTCCAAATCCCTCTGACAGAAATTTTTTAAATTGAGTTTTAGCAGTTTTTTGGTCATTTTGTATGGGAAATTTTGTGGTACCCTGCAGTTTGGAGCTCGTAACTCGACAACGAGGGTCTAGAACCAAAAACGAAGGAGTAGGTCTTATTCTAGAGATTCTTACGAACATTTTGATGCAAAAATCATAAAATTTGCTCAACTCTACAAAAAGTTATGAAAATTCCTTCAGATTCGGAATCAGCACAATTTTCCGCATCTAAAAAAGGTACTCCCAGAAAAATCCTATAGAAAACGCATTTTTGCCTTATTTCGCGCCGATGTGGGGGGGGTAGTCAAAACAGCGCCGTCAAATTTCTCACAATCCAAAAAACCAAGCCGGCTCAAGTTTTATATCAAAAAATTCCTTGCATTCTTGGCTACATGATGGGTGAAACAGTTTTTTAAAAAGTTAATATTTCATAGATAAAAAGAGCACTCAAAATGGGTCTCTAAAGATATTCAGTTAACCAACTGAGTATCACTCGAATTTTAAATTTACATGTTAATTTATATGCAAATTGAGTTTTGGTTTGTTTTGGTTTTGGTTTTGGTTTTGGTCTGGTTTTGGTTTTGGTTTCGTTTGCCGAACTCTAGTTAAAAGCAATTTAAAAGCAATTTAAAAGTAATTTAAAAGTAATTTAAAAATAAATGGTGGTTAAATCTTGATTTTGAATCTTAAATGGTTAAAAGATTTAACCACCATTTATTTTTAAATTACTTTTAAATTACTTTTAACTTACTTCTAACCTACTTCTAACCATCTACTTCTTTCTTTTTCTTTAAACTAAATCTTGTTTAAGACAACTTTTAAGATTTTACCGCAAATTTTGACATTTCAATTACGCTAGAGTCAAAAAATCTATTAAGGAAACAAAAAAAAAACAATTGAAGATTCAATTTCCAGCACCATTTCACTCACCCAAGGCAAACATGAGTTTATACGCAGAATACTTGAGAAGCTCTTTCCTTCCAATAATCGCCAAACAGATTAAGTAAAGAATCTCAAAGTTTAAGATACTTTTTCTCTTTCTCTGTATTTTGCGTTACCTGAATGAAAAAGCTAAAAATGATATAAAACAAGCCCAACGATAAATGGGCTTGTGATCTTGGTGAGACTGGAGTGTAGTTGCTGAAAAATAAAACATTTTAACATTCGAAATGCTGAACATTTTTTATTTGGTTCCTATTGGGTAGATATTTGGTTACTATTTGGTTTCTATTTGGTTCCTTTTTGGTTCCTATTGGGTAGATATTTGGTTACTATCTGGTTCCTATTGGGTTACTATTTGGGTCCTATTTGGTTCCTATTGGGTTACTATTTGGGTCCTCTTTCGTCCATATTTGGTTCCTATTGGGTTACTATTTGGTTCCTATTTGGTTCCTATTTGGGTCCTATTTGGGTCCTATTTGATTCCTATTTGGTTCCTATTGAGTTCCTACTTGGTTCCTATTTGTTTCCTTGTAGTTCCTATTGGGTTCCTATTTGGGTCCTATTTGGTTTATATTGGGTTACTGTTTGGGTCCTTTTTGGTTCCTTGTAGTTTCTATTTAGTTCCTATTGAGTTCCTACTTGGTTCCTATTCGTTTCCTTGTAGTTCCTATTGGGTTCCTATTTGGTTCCTATTGGGTTCATATTTGGTTCCTTTTTGGTTTCCATTTGGTTTCTATTTCCTAAAACGTTCATCACTTTAACAATTTAACAAATAACAATTCAATAAAAAAAAACAAATACAAATGCTAACAAAGTAACAATTAACAATTAAAAATTGATCAAGTATGATTAAAGCTTCAAAGCCAAACCCGCAATCGTATTTAGGATTCGCTTCTAGACGACCGTAAATCCAAAAAGTCTCCATTTAGGAAGACAAAAAAATACAAAAAATGATTTCAAAATGAAAGATAAAATAAATAATTTTCTTTCAAACGGATTCAACAATTTTCTTTCATTTCGGGTCCTTTATAAACTGCTAATTTAAGCGTATACATAATGAGCATTTTGCTTTTGCGTGGGGAGAACTTTTTGGTGTTTCAACGATTCAAAAATCTTTTTTTTGAGATGGCTTTTGCTCATTGGAAAACTATTTTTGAAAGTTTGACGTTTTTTTTGCAGAAGTTCTTCCCACGTAAAGACAGTACACTTTTTTTCAGCTTGATTTTCGAGAGAGTTAATGCTAGTTTCCCTGATTCTTTCTTTCTTGTGACTAGTCGATTTATGTTTTCTTTCTGTCGACTGATATGTTTCTTAAGCTCAGCTAATTTGTTTGTGCCACAAATTTGGCTTTAATTCCTCTTTAATCCTCTAGTTTGAGTTTGTGTTTACTCCGCTTCCCTTGAATGTTCAAGTTTGACTTCATTTTGAACTTTCATTACAGAAAACATTACAGAAATTCATTACAAAAGTTAAAACACGATTTTAATTGTTATTACTTTTGTTTTATTCTACGTTTCTGTTTTCTGAGGAATAAGCTGTCAGTCGACAGAAAGAATACATAATCGACTAGTCACAAGAAAGAAAGAATCAGGGAAACTAGGAATTTGATACCAAAGCGCGCCGAAATAAACGTACTGGTGTCGAGATATGAGCGGTTCTTTAAGCGTTTCCAAAATCTGAAATTAAGACATCACTTACAAGCCATTTGATGGTGTTTATTCAATTTGAAACATTCATTTTATGTTTCTCAATTTCCGTCGCAAGCTTACAGCGAATTCCTTCAATTCCTTCCTCGGCTAGATAAAGAATAGATGTAAACCTAGAACAAATAGCCTGGAAACCTCTTCATCCTATTAACTTTTTTTTGAGTAGACAAATTTTAATAAAACTTTCAATTTCTCTTAGTTGGATAGCATAGAAAAATTGGTATTGATCAGATTAAAAAATCGATTTTAAACCCGTTGTGGTGGTTAATAATAGAATCTATTATTTACGGTAGGTAATCACCCTTTCTTTTTCCCTTTCTATCGTAATCTTTCCCTCCCAACCTTTGGCAATTCCACAACATTCAAGATTTCATTGGCAATTTTTTTTAAAAGGCTTCTGAAAGGCTTTTTTTAGACTTTGAAGCTTTCTTCTCTTTTCGCTTTTACACCATCATTTATTGGAGTGGGATACTATTAGAGCTATTAGAGTATTTACGGGAGATAAACCTTTAAACTTTCCACCGTAATCTTTCCTTCGTATTTGTCAATTTCATTTGCAAGAACTCATTTAAACTTTATCGACTTTTAAATGTCTGCGAAATCTTTTTCGTAAACGTTTTCAATTTGTCCTTGTAGTTTCAGTTCCCCCCTTTTCTCGTAAACAAGCACAAAATAGTGACAAAGTTGTGCATGATCACAAATCACAAATGAATCATTTAAAAGATGTCTGTGATTTGAGGATAGAACGAGATTTCAGGTCTAGAGTTGAAGATGAGATCTGATTGGAAAATTTGAAAAAATCAAAAAGCAAGCTGATTGAAAAATTTGAAAACAGTACACTTCACTTGTTAATACATAATTTCAAGACAGAAAAAAGTAAACGCACCCTTTCTGGCACACTCAGCCCTCAATTTCTCTGTAAAAATAGCTCAATTTACGAGAAAACAAAGAGTGCAATAGAAAGGGTGCACAAAGTACAACAAAGTACAGTTTCAGGGTTGCTCCAAAAGCGATTTTATTGGATCGAGCAAAGTTTCAGCTAGAAGCCAAAAGCTGGCTACTCATCAAAAGTCAGGTCTAGCCTTGATCAGCCTTGCAGGTCACAAAGTCAATTTGAATAGCAAGCATTCGTTTTGCTCTTGTTTTGATCAAAAGCCAAGTCCTGTCCTGGCTTGACTTGCCTGGTTAATACAGGGCCTGATACAGGCCGAAAATGATCCCTTTGTGGTGTAGTAGATAAGGAGCTCGTATCAAGAGCAAGCCATTCACCTTTTTGCTCAGGTTCAATTCCTTTTGTAGCTAGATCTAGTCAGAGCTGGGTCTGATTTTTGATCAGACTCTGGCCTTGCCTTGATTGATCTGATCTGGCTCTAGGACCAAGTTGAAAGCCAGTTTGATCAGCGGAATTACCAAGTTTCTAAACAAAACAATAGTATGTGTTGTTTTTGATCACCTCGATTACTTATTTATCGATTTGAATGTATGAGATCGAGTGACGAATCAGCGATCTCTGCGATCCCTTTCCCATCTTTCCCTCGATTTCCCCCTGTCTGACCATATCCATTCAGCTGTGACAAATACCCAAAGAAATACAAAACATAACAATGCAAAAACCCTTCCTTCTCTTTTCATTTTCTCAGTTCTAAACGCACCGCCCCACCAGAAAAAAAAGCAAAGATTTGTCCTTGTCTTTTCCCCTTTTTTTTCAATCAAAAATTTTCCACCTTTTAAACCCAGTTTTTGCCCAACTATTTGCGTCTGCTTATTTTAGTATTGTGCAATGAGAATACTGTACTCTTTATCAACTCTTTGTTTTCTATTGCGTTTTGGTGAAGCTGATTCAGGTGATCAGCTCGTTGGATCGGTGGGTTCTTTAAGAAACACTCAAACACACTCAAAATTGACCGAATTTCGAAGCAAATTCGAGCTCGGCTTAGAAAATTCGTTCAAAGTAGCGGCTCGGCTTAGAAAATTCGTTCAAAGTAGTTCAAAGTAATTCAAAGTAGAAAATCGATCAAAGCAAACTCTTTTCTCATCTTTAACAAATTAGGACTTAAGTCTTAAATAGAATACATGTATTGAAGAAAATTGAACTATTCAGATAAAGATAGAATGTAAAACAAGTTACAATGCAATCGAGTAGTGCACTTGATCAAAGATTTTTCAAATCTAGCCTATAAACGAAGGCTGGCCTGTTCCTGATTCTGGTTTTATTTACCTTACTTACCCCAAATCAAACCCTACTCCATCAATCACAAAATAGTTTTATTCAAATAGCTTTATTCAAATAGCTTTATTCAAATAGCTATATTCAAATAGCTATATTCTAATAGCTTTATTCTAATAGCTATATTCTAATAGCTTTATTCAAATAGCAGTATTCGAATAGCAGACATTCAAATAACTTGATTCAAATAGCTTTATTTAAATAGCTTTATTCTAATAGCTTCTTTATTCAAAAGCGCATTTCTCTCGTGCCTTTAATTCTTCATTTTCACGAGAAAAATGGGGAATTTGATACGCTAGACGATGTGTGTTTATAGAAACAAAAGTACCAGTTTTGGAGCTGCACTTTGAGAGTTGTTTTCATCAATTTTCACCCAAACTTTGACCCGTTTCTTTTCCCGTTTCTTTTCCAGACTCTCTAGACTTTGATCATCTCAAAAAGGATATCCAATCCATCCAATATCGATATATTTTTTTTCATGTTTTCGTCACATCATTCGATTGTCTGAAAAAGAGGATGAAATTGATGAGAGAACGGAAAGTTCGAGAAGAAAAAAAAAATGAAAAGAATGACCTGGGAGCTCAAAGAGTTTAAGAAAGTATCCCTTTAAGAAATAACTGAATATCTGATATCTCAATTTAAACAATTTCAGATCACAAAAGACGGCTCAGATATTCTCAAGAAAGCGTCCACGGGTTTTGGGCATGTTAGACAGGTAAAATTTCATTTCATCTCATTTCAATAATACTAAAATTGTAGAAAATTGAATACTTGAAAGTTTTAAAATGCTTACTTTTGTTTAGGGATTTGTTAAATGCTAATTTATACCTTTCAATTTCAATTTTTCTATTATAAACGTGAACTCTAAATGGAAATCCATGTAAATTTAAATAATTTTGTTTTCTATTAAAAAGTACAAGCTTAGTTTCGGTTATTTTCTTCCTTTCTTCTTCCTTTCTCTTTTTCTCTTGCCAAGTTAAGGTACCGAATAGCTCAGTGGTTAGAGCCCAGCAATCTCGAAAAGCAAAGGTCGAGGGTTAGATGCCCTCTCCGGAAATCTTCTATTTCTTTTTTTTCTCCAATTTCTTCATGCTTCAACTTTTTTTCAGTGCTCATGCGGTGAACAAAGCGAGTGTGTAGCCGAGATGAAGCGACAAGCCACCGAGTGCAATCGACCGTGCTTCGAGCGTTTTCATAAGGTCATTTTTTTGTAAGCCTTATCAAATAATACAAAAATTGAGCTAATTAAATGAAAACTGGCGATATTACGACACAGCGACATGTCAGTGTCTATTCTGTAGCCTCTCTAGAATACTTTTTCCTATCCCAGCCACTACAGGGTGCGGCAAAAGTTCTGACACTTTTTCTGTAAGCAGTAATTTTGTTGGCTTCAAAAACCCGTGAATTTCAAAAAACTAACGCCGGATTCTAAAAATTTAGGTAGTTTCACCCCAATATAGCCATTTTCATAAAAAGATTTCAACTCTCAATAACTTTTTGACGAGAATTTTTTATATCCCGGTCTGGTCGCTGAAGATTTTTGCGAAAGTTGACTTAAACTTTGCAGAATGAAATTTTTTCCAAAAACTGCTGTTACCATTTGATAGAACTGAGTTTTTTCTTGAAAACAAGCCACAAAAAAGCTTTATATCTCAAAAACGAAAGATTTTCAAGCGATTCTACGAAGGGCACCCAAATCTCAACAGCAAAAAAAAAGGCTGTAACGACCTTTAAACATCCACATCAAAAGGTTGTTTAGATGGCAATTTTTGTGTAAAAAAGTATATTAGGGGGTAAAAATATCTGAATTTTTATAATCCGGTGTTAGTTTTTCAAGAATCGCGTTTTTTCCAAGTCAAACTGCCCGTTTACAAAAAGTGTCAGAACTTTTGCCGCACCCTGTAGACATGGGAAACGTCGATAGGTGTACAAAGGAAAAATGTCATAGCTTGTCCAATTTTGCCTCAATCTATTTGTCTTTGATTTGAATTGATGGAAAATGAAATTCTGCGTCAAATGATATCAAAATCAAAAAGATTAGAGTGAAATTGGCCGAGATATGTCATTTTTTCGTTGCACGACTATTGGCATTCACATTGAGATTCCTCAAGTCTAGTAGCTACAGCATTTATAGCTACAGCATTTAGAGCTACAGCATTTAGAGCTACAGCATTTAGAGCTACAGCATTTATAGCTACAGCATTTATAGCTACAGCATTTATAGCTACAGCATTCAAATACTTTAGCTATTATCATTTTTATTATCACTTTTATTATAATTATATAATTTCAACATTTCAGGTGACCTCAAGAGTCGACCAACTTTTCCAGTGTTTTGATGAGAAAGCGGGGATCATCGAGGGATTTCTCGGGTGTTTTGAGACACAAGTTGATGGGTGAATCTTTATTTGAATAGATTTTCAAAATAAATTTACTGCTACAGTCTCTTTTATTCTATTTTTAGTTGTGTCTCAACGATGAACGGTCCACAAATACCAAAAACAGATATCTCTTCAATCTTCACCTTTGCACAGAATGCCCTCGAGAGGAAAGATCCAACATTGGAGGTGCGGGATTTTAATGCTTTTTCTAAAAGATCGGAATTTCAGACTCCAGATTTTCTTCAGCTTTTCTCCGAGCTTCAGCTTCAGCTTTACTTAATTACGATTCCTTCCATCATTCGAAATGATTTCAAAATTAAGTAGAACGGAGAAAAGTTGAAGAAAAGATAACGGCAATTTTCTCAAACACCTTTTAGAAGGCGTATAAGGATTCTACTCTATTCCAGATTATTTACAGTTAACTTATCTGTGCTTAAAATCCAAATGCACTCTTTCTGCAAATGCAAATTGATTTTAGGCTCTCCTCTCACCAATCAAGCATATTCTTGACTCGGCAGGCGAGTGGGCGTTGTGTTTGAAAGAATGTTTCCTACAAAGAAATTCACATGGATTCTGTTTTGATCGAAAGGGGTGAGAGGATTGAAAATTAATTCTTTTTGAAAAGAGATTTCGATAATTGGCTTATTCCCTTACCGTAAAACCTAAAGAGAACTAAAGAGAAAGAGAAAAAAACGCGTTTTTCATCATCCGTCCTCTTTCTAGGCTCATATTTTTGTTATTTGTAGACCTAAGCAATTTATTTCTTTTTATTTCTTCAATTTATTTCAGGAAATTGATAGAATTAAGGTTATCTGGATGGGGTAAAATGTGTTAAAATCTCGGCTTATTACAGGTTGATCTCAGCCGCTCTAGGCAGTCCGTTCTAGGCTCATATTTTTGTTATTTGTAGACCTAAGCCAATTTATTTCTTTTTTTAAATAAAAATTCACATCGTTTACTGTACACATTCAAGATTTCATGATCATAAAATCAATAGATAATTTGTTTTAAGTTCATTGAAAATAGGTTGTCAAAAAAAATGAGCTCAAATTTAGGGGTTTCTCTATCGATGTTCTTATAGAAAATATTAAAGTATTTTATATTTTTTTTGAACCAAATCTACTTAAACATAACAAAGCCTAGCTTTTAGAGAAAAACTGCAAAGAAAAAGTGTTTTTTTTTTTTTGTATAAAAATCCCGTAAAAAAAAAAGCTCGCTATTTTTTTGACAAGAAATTTTTAAGGTTTCATAAAAAATTATCTATTGATTCTATGATCATGAAAACTTGAATATATACAGAAAATTATATGTATTTTTATTTTAAAAACAAATAAATAGTTTTCGTCGACAAATAACAGAAATATGAGCCTAGAACGGACTGCCTAGAGCGGCTGAGATCAACCTGTAATAAGCCGAGATTTTAACACATTTTACCCCATTCAGATAGCCTTAATTCTATCAATTTCCTAATCTAATCTTTCCTTTTCACCTCCTGAACACTAAAATTCAGTTGTCAACCAAAATTGGAAGAAAGGAAAGCGAAGAAATCGTTTAAACGTTGCACACACAAAATTCACTGGAAAGATCAAGCCGGCGATCTTTGTCATTGCTCAGCCGATGCCGGATTGGAGTCAGTTTTACTAGCAATTAAGAGATACACTTCTAAGCACACAAAATTCATCTCAAAAATCTCCCTATTTTACAGTGAACTGAACCAATATTGCCTTCTTTTCGATCACATGAAATCCTCAAGAAGATCGCATAGAAAACACGGATAAAATTTGAAATAAATAGTTGAGAAATTTTTCCACAAACTATATTTTCATCTATCAAAAATCTAATCGAAAAGTTAATTAAGATAATTATGAAATGTTATCGTAGTTGTAGTATCGTAGTAATCGTAGTTATCGTAGTAATATCAGAGTTGATACAGTGGGGTACCACGGGGAAAACTTGACGATGAAGGCCGGGTGAAGTCATCTAAAAATTTCAGTGTACTTTTGTACTCCAGAAAAATCTAAAATCATCCTTTCCCACTGGAATGCATAATAATTATATAAATTATATAATTATATAACAATTATATAATTATATAACAGCTATATAACATCACAATTATATAGAGCAAAATTATATAACAATATATAAAAGTTCTTTAACCTTTCTCAAAACTTCTTAACTAACCCATACTCGTAACTGGAGAGATCATTCTTGTCAACTCTGAATGCGCATTTGATTGTTGTGGGGGATTGGCAGGGCAGTAGGATCGAAGTTTTCTAAAATTTCTAAAGTTTCTGAAGTCATGATTAATAATTGGCAGTGATTGTTTAACCTGATTCTAGGCCAGAGTCTGACAAGTTCTAGTTTCTAACAACGCTAAAGCTAGGTTTGGATTGGACAAGGCCAGAACTAAAGGCTTTGGTTGGACAAGAAAGTCAGGCTTGGATTGGGTTCTGATTTTTCATGATCAGGCCGTAGCTAGGCCAGCTAGAATCAAGCCAGGACCAGCCAGCTTTGTGAAAATACTAGAAAACTTGGCATTGTATTAACTCTAGTACTTGATAGTACTTATTTAGTAATCATTGTTCATCGAACTCATTGTATTATTATTATTCATATTTAGTATTCATTTCAGTTTACTCGTAATCTAGTTTTTCATAAAACTTACGCCATAACGATACTTCGAAATCTCGGAGAGATGCCAAAAAAGACGTAAAATGGTAGTGAAAGATTGGAAAGAAAAAGGAAATGAGTAATTGAATGAAAAAGACAAAATTGGGGAAAAGAATTGATCTTCTCCTCGCTATTCCTCAATGATATCGTTTCAATCATTTGCGAGATTGTAGAGAAAAATTGGAGGCCCGTTGTGAGCATCGTGATCCGCGTGACACACAATTTCTCAGCACTGTAATTTCGATGAGCAATGAACGAACAATGAACGAAGCTTTTCTCAAATAAAGCCTTTTTCTAAAACGTGTCAAAAAGTATCGTAATCCTAAAGGCTAATCTCTTGAACTGAAAACAAGCTTGTTTACTTAAAATGTTTACCTAAAATGCCCGGAAAGGGGATCGTGTCTCAACAATTTTGATGCAATCGACGTCGTCATGTAAACCAAAAGAAGTAGTGGTACTGCTGGAATCATTTTTTTCTAGGAAAAACTCGACTTTCACAAACCTGCGCCTAGCAAGAAATTCGCGATCATCGACAAGAATACACAGAAATCAGCCAGAACTTCTGAACTTCACAAAGTGAAATTTCGATAAAAATCGAATACCCGGTTTCTTCGCGAGTAAAACAATCGCCTTTTTACACGAATCTATTGAAATATCGACTTTGACGAATAATTTGTGAATTGAGAGAAGAATCGATAGGATGAACATCGAGAAGAATGAGCTAAATGTTGTTTCGATGAGCTAAGTGCTGTTTCAATGAGCTAAATGCTGTTTCAATGAGCATTTATTCACACAAATAGTGTGATACAAACAATACACCAGCTCATTCTTCACAAGCACATCCCCTAATCCCTAAATATAAGAAAAATTCATATATCCGAAAAAAAGCCAAAAATCCAAGCGGCGGAATTGAACCGGCGGCTAGACTCGCCGCCTCCCTACTAAGATAGAGAGCCTTTAGCCATTCGGCCATGGCGGTCACCGACCTGGCTGCTTTGACTGGCTGTAGTATCTTGACAGGGCTGTGAGTGAGCTACCCAATAACTACAACAACAATCCAATAAAATTACAGTAACTAGCAAGTTATACAGTAACTACAGTATGCCAAGTTATACTGTAAACACAGTATAACAAATCGTTCATTTTTCTACACTACTGCTGGCTTCCAAATTAGTAGTGTTTTAGATCCTTCGACTTCAAAAAAACCCCATGATTTTTCAACTCACAGAAAAACATTTCGACTCGACTCGACACCCAAATCATCATTTGGATGAAAAATCTGCTTATAGCACACAAATGTCATCAATACCGTAGTCCTAAAAAAGTGTTTTTTTTAAATTCAAATTCAATTCCCACTCACCACACACAACACAAACTTAGAAAGGCCACAAAAAATTGCTCGTATGGCCAAAATTTCCAATAGAGTAAATCATTATCAGTGCCTTTGTTTTGTTGAAAAGTATCGCTCTTATTCACCGATCGACTTACCGTAATCCCAAAATTTGAGAAGTCGAAGCGACGAGGGGACAAGGGTAAGCATACAGAAAGAGTTGAGACACTGAAAAATGATTTTTCTTTAGCGGCTGAATATTTTACTAATTCGTAAAAAACCTACGGTTTTATCGCATCCAATGCAAATCACTCACCAATTTAGCGCTGAGCATTCGAATGGCAAAATATGAGCGTATGAGTTCCGAGTTGGAAATCATCAAATTGAGGACATTTCCAATGAGTGCGAGCAAGAGAAAGCACAAAAAACAGTAACCAGCAAAGAAACGATGGATTCCCTCATCATCGGAAATTGAATCCTAAAATTTTGATAATAACTGAACAAGCGATTCAATTGATATACTTTGTGCTTTGAAATCCAAACGCATCCTTTCTGGGGTACTCAATTCTTCATATTTCTTACAGAAACGAACAAGTATCACAAGAAAAATAAAGAAATAAGTGTGCCAGAAAGTGTGGGTTTAGATTTTTTTTAAGCGCAAAGTATACATGTATGCATAATTTGTAAAGCATAATGATCAGGAAAAATTAAGAATTTACCCAGAAAAGTTTAAAGACCAGCAGATTTATTTTCAAGAACGAGAGCACTTCACCTTTCCACTCTCGAGACAAATTATCTCCTGTAGGGTTTTCTCGATGAGTCCACGGTCCTCATTGGAAATCTCCTAACAAAAAATTTGAGGGGTTTTTACTTTACACACTCACATCAACCTTGATCTCAAATTGATATTGATCTGGGATTGTTTTGAAGGACATTTTTCTATAAATATGATTTCTTGTCACACAAAGAACACCAAGAGAGATTAATCAAGGACAATTACAAATAGGCTTGCATTCTAGAAGAAGTAAGCAGTTGTACTGGAACTTGTCAAAGTTAGTGTCAAATATTGTTCTCTGAACCACCGTAGTCATTTCCTATTCTATACAAAATTTGTCAATAATTAAAAGTTTGAACGTTATTTTGTAGTATGCAAACGTATGTAAAAATACATATAAAACAACGAGGCGGTCCTGATGAAATAAAACGCGGACGGGAGGAATATCGGAAGTGGACCACAAGTAGGGGTCCATTTCCCTCTCTCTTGCTCAACCCACAATTTGTTCAGCTGTCGATCGGCCATCAATGCTAAACGAATGGGAGAAAAAAAAGTTGTCGGAATTCAACCATGCATCAAAATTGACTAAATTTTTGCAAAGAAATGAGCCGGCAATTGATCTAACAAATCATCAGACTAACGCAACATTGTGTTCACTGACGCTTTTAGGTTTCCTTAATGTTGCATCCTGCAGAAGACTTTTTCAACGAGTTTTTTTGCTTGGCTACTGTACTTTATACAATTTAACAAAATTAATTTATTTCTAACCTAAAAAATGTTAACTAAATTTGTAACTAAAAACAGAACGAATCTAATCGAGTCGACTAGTAGATTGGAAAAAAGACGAGCTTTGTGGTGAATCGCAAAAGATTACATTGGATCGAACATTCGAAACACCATTGGTCACATCTCCTTTTCTACTTTTTTGCCAAAACTCTAAAGTATTTTGCAATACAACTCAATATAAGCCAAATCTCACCTGAACGACTCAGTGGTTGATAAGGCGCGTTAACAAGACGTGGCGTGTGATCGATTTTACCAGGTATACGGGTCAAAGGATTAATGGCCCTCATATAATGATCTAAAAGGAAATGAATTCTTGTTTGTTACGCACGGTTAGTTACCCAAACTATGTAGCTGTCAGATTATTTGACTATTTTGAGCCCTCATATCTACAGTAAGCTAGCAAAAATTTAGAACCTCAAAGTAAACCCAACTAAATCTTACCAAAACAACTTGTAGGTTGAGAAGCAAGTCGATCGATTGTACTAATTCGAGGCGTCAATGTCAAAGCTTTTTCAATAGTCCTCGTGCACTGGACTAAATAAAACAAAATTTTTGCTTAAGATAGTTTTTTCCGTTAATTGATGCTTAATTGTTTTTAAGCTATGCTACACTAATTTGGCAAGCATAGACTACTTTCTTTTAGGTTTAACCCCGTCTATAAACAACTCTAAAGCACACGTTTGTTTGCTTAGCTCAGCTTTTGAAACAACTTAACTATAAAATGCAACCCACTATTCGGCTCTGGCTCCGGCGGTGATACATAATGCAGCGTATCGATGTTCCACTGCGGATCTTCCCAAATGAAAGATGATTGAGCCTCCAAACTATTTCTTACTAGAAGCCCAGCTAAAACAGTCATCAGTTCAGAAAAGCAAAAATCAAAACTTACCCTTGTAAGCGGCAAATTTCGATACTTCGTAATGAAACGGGTTGATGCATATCTTTTCCTAAAAGGGTAAGGGTGATTTGTAACATGATAAGCTAAGCCACCGATTTTGCGCAGCACCGTAAAACTTCGATATGTCTTCGTGTCTTCAACGATGGCCAACGCCAAATCCGAACACTGAAGACTTCCGGATAAACCTAAAAGAAAATAGTTTCATGAATACAGTACACCATTAAACTAAAAAGCTCTCAAGCATATCACTAACAAGTTTACGAAAAAGACTCACGAATTGTACATTTTTTACCTTTTTACTGAGGACTTGCATTCGGCCATCAAGAGCAGTTGAAATGTTAACACATCCAGCCTCCATGCATCCATTTGATAATATCTAAATGATGAAAACTATTTTAATTGAGACCAAACACTAACCGCTTGCAACAGATTATCGATTTGAGCTTCATTTTCTACCTTTAGTTTTTTGATAACGGCTTTGAGAAACTTTCTGATAAAGATAATTTCCTCGGAAGTCTAGAAGAAACGTTTAATGAAATGTACAATTGCTCAAAGAATTTGAAAAGCTATAAAGCTTACATTTGTGTACATCATAAGCACGTTGATAATATGCTCAATTGAGTCTCGACTAGTCGCAGTTGGGCATTGAATTGATCCACTTAGATTAATCAAATGAGAGGCTTGAAGAATTTGCAGATTGTTTCTTGGTTCTTCCAGGACATCAGACTTTATTCTTTTTCGTCGGGGCTCATCGCTCTGATCGGACAACCATGACAAAGCCTAAATGATAAGCTTTCAGTGATTGGCAAGCAGTAGCACATTTCAAATTGGCAAACAACTCACCGGTATCTCAATTGAGCTGTCGTGAAAAGCCTCGCCATGAAAGAAGAGTGGCTGAGTTGGCGGAAAGTTGTAGCCCGGAAGCACGAAAGGAATCTCTGGCTAAAAACAAAGATTAACACGACGCGATACTATTTGACTAGCTGAGTTACTTGGCCTAGTGTCTAACCATGTCAAAAATTATAAAATGTACCTCTAGATATGGTGGATGCTCGAAAGAGTCGCCGAATGGCTCCAAAGCCTCTTCTTCTTGCTTTTGCGAACGAATGGGCGGCGAGGGAAGTGGTGGTTGTAGTTGATCGATCGAGTAGAAGAAAAAGGAGTCATCGAGATGTCGAGCCTCATCATCTTGAAGCATCTAAAGCATTACACATTACATGGTAGCCTGCAGCACCTAATCCCAATCCGAACCTGCATAAGTGCACCTCTAACTAAACTATGCGCTGTTAAATCCTAACTAGACTGCACCCCCCCCGATATTCATGTGTACTCCTGATAAGGGATAAGTACCATTACATTTAAAAAGTTTCAAAGAAGCACCACAATGGCAATGAAATTAAACAAACAAACGACTTTTGGGTATTGCACAGGTGTTAGAGCTAAAATAGCTTGCTTTATGCAGGTAATTTTACAACTTCTGCTGACAAAAGCCATACTTTCACAAGCTCCTAATGCAAAAAAAGATCCTCGAAGATCGCGCAAAAGTTTAGAGGCAATTTAGAATTACGTTGTTAGGCGCTTTCTGGCTTAGGACAGTGCTTACTGATCTAGAAAGCAATTTTGAAATACCTAAAATAGCTACACTAAAGTCGAGCTTTAAAATTTCTCACGCGGTGCACAACATCTTCAAAAAAATGAAAATTTTGCAATTATTGCACTTAAATAGTCCAAAATGACTCAACACAATTTTAAGATATTCATCTGACTTAGCAGAATATTTTTTGCTCATGGTCCACAACTTTTAGCATTATTTAATCATTTTTCTTTTTCCATTGTCATTTTCTCGTTTCGTTGTTCTCATGTTTCTTTTTCATTTCAGCGTATGGCCGCTCCCCTGCTCGACGAGGCGCCGGCACCCGAGCTCGAGCATGAAGTATTTGAGGTAACTTCAATGTTTTCCTTCTACATTCTATTATTTTTAGGTAGTTGAGCGCTTCTCCTACAAAAGCAAAATCTTCAACGGTGGACTAGCCGGGATCGTAGGTATTTTGTTTATCGCATTGAGTAAATTATAAGTAAAAGGTACCAATGAGTAATTGAGATTTCGAATGATTGCTTTAGATTATATTTTTAAGGAGTTTCGTGTGTTTTCCCGCTCGATCTAATCAAAACAAGATGGCAAAATCAGAAGGTGGACAACCCAAAATATAAGCAAGTTGCTTTCATTTCGTTCACGGTAAATTATCTTTTTTCGGGGGCTTTTCGATGTGGCGACAAAAACCTGGGAACATGGAGGGAAGTCAATGTTCACCAGAATAGCTGGATTTTATCAGGTAATAAAATTAATTTTTTTTTGCAAGTAATAGCATAAAACTAAACTGTTGATCTAGTTATCTGCTTATTTTTAGGGTGCTTCGATCAACGTGTTGCTTATAACTCCAGAAAAGGCCATTAAACTTGTTGCAAACGATTACTTTCGGCATCAACTCGCCTCGCCAGGAGAGAAAAATTTAGGAGCATTACGAGGAATGCTTGCGGGTAAGATCTTACATTTGCTAAGACACCAACAGCATAGACAATGTTTAGTTTAAGATCAAGCTATTTTATCGAATTGATAATTTGCAAAGACTCCTAATCTACATTTTTCTTTCAGGTGGTCTTGCCGGAATGTTTCAAGTGATCGTGACAACACCGATGGAGCTTCTAAAGATTCGAATGCAACAATCAGAAAGGCCAGTCAGTTTGCGGGACGTTTTTCGACATCTCTTCGCGGACAAAGGATTGTTGGGACTATATCGCGGAATTGGTCCTACGTTGGCTCGCGATGTATCATTCTCTGGTAAATGCTTATGCATTTAATTATAGATTCATAAGCACTAAATTTAGTTATCTACTTTCCACTTTTTGCCCAATTAGACTCCCTTGGGCCACGAAAAAATGATGGGAGCGGTGATGCTGTGTTTTATGCGAGGTAAAGATAAAGAAACAGCTCATTTGTGTCTTGTTTTTAGTTTCATTTCAGGATTGATAGCTGCCGGCCTTGCCGCTTTTTCAGTGACTCCAATTGATGTTGTTAAAACGAGGATTCAAGTGCGTTTTGTTATGTGTGTATTGTATAATTTGGATTTTTTTCAACATTTTAGACAGGGGGTTCGGGGTACACGGGAGTTAGCGACGCTTTGATCAAAATAGGACGACAAGAAGGCGTAAAAGCACTATTCAAAGGAGCAATTTGTCGAATGATGGTTTGTTAAATTAATTTTAATTTAGTATTTAGTAACTAATTGAAACTGAGCATGTCGGTTGAGTAGTTCAACAAGTTCAACATCATTTAGGTAATGGCTCCACTCTTTGGCATCGCACAAATGGTCTACTTTATCGGCGTCGCGGAAAAACTCGGAATCGGACAGAAAATAAAGGATTGAGCAAATGCATCAGTCTTTTTTTATATCATTTAATAAAATTTTGTACTGCATTTTAATTGTGTAAAAAGAAACTAACAAATAAACAAAGGTTCAAAAAGTTTTATTCTCCAATCAAATGGTTTAGTTGTCCTTTGGCAGGCTGCTGTTACGTTGAGCGGTTGTTTGCTAAAAAGTTAGTTTGTAAAATCGCAGGACAAGACATTTTATAAGTCACTAATTTTAATTTTTAAAAAACAAACCGTTTTCTGCATTTTGAACTGGCAGTGCTTTATTTCGAGACTTCTAAAAGAATTCGTTTTAGAAATAACTGCAAAGAATCTAAAAGTTGCTCACTTTATTTTCGCGCTCCGACGACCAATCACTCATAATATCGTCGACAGTCGGATAATCGCTCTTTTTGCATTTCAGGCCCTCTTCTTTGATTAGTTGCTAAAATTTCAAAGCATCAATTAGCAATAGAAGAAAATAATACCTCTTTTTCCGTTTTCCAGAGTTCTCTTGGTCTGAGTGGATTAGACGGCGATTTATTCATTTCTTGAGGGAAATGCATTGGAGAATCTTCTAACTGAAACGAAATAAATATCACGATTTGCCTCAAATCTTCAATCACAAGCGCGGTTTAACTATTTTAAAAGTACCATGAGTTTCACCTTTGATCGTTGAGTTGAATCGAGTGGAGACGCCGCTTCAACGAGTGTCCGAGATGGCTGATGGGAAAGTGGCACACTGGCGTATATAATTGACTCATCGCTTTTCTTTTTCTAAAGTTAAAAATAGGAACTTTAGCTATGAAATGGACTTAAAGTTATTGGTACTTTGATCCACCCAAAACCTATTTTACGCGTGTTTTTAGTCTGCTTTGGCATTTTCTGGGGTAATCAAATACGCTTAACCTATTGATGATATTTTTAAAGTTTTTTTAAATAACTTTTCACTTTCTATTTCATCCCTGACCTCATTTTCTAGCATTGCGATACTGCAACAGTTACTCTTTAGCTAGTTCAACAAAACATTAATAAAGATTGTTCAAAACTTTCTAAAAATATCACCAATAGATCCAGCATATTTGATTACCCTAGCAAAAAATGAAATAACATTGGTAAAACGGTCGAAAAATATGATCTGATCAAATCAGATCAAAGTGCCCATGAACTTTATTAGTGCAATATGTGCCTACGCGTCGAAAGAGAGACAAAAAGGGACACAAAAGAATCGACGTCAATCGCTTTTGAAATGACTTTTTCTTCTCAATAACCTAGTGCCCATGAACTTTATTAGTACCAAGCTATCAAATAACTGTTAACTCGGGGGTGGGACAAATGCGACCTTTTTTTTGCGCACCTGGACATTTGCGCACCTTTTTTTGCTGGAAAAGGCCTTAGGAAAGGCCGTAGAGCTTCGAAAATATTTCCATATAGGGGAATCGTATGCGTAGATTCCGAATTTCAAATCAGACAAATCAGACCTCACTGACACGTCAAATTTGGGCTAAAAGGCAAAAACTACGCAACTTAACGCTTTTCCGCGGTTTTTGCCTTTTAGCCCAAATTTGACGTGTCAGCAAGGTCTGATTTGTCGAAATTCGGAATCTACGCATACGATTCCCTTCTATGAAAACGTTTTTGAAGCTCTACGGCCTTTCCTAAGGCCTTTTCCAGCAGAAAAAAAGGTGCGCAAATGTCCAGATGCACAAAAAAAAGGTCGCATTTGTCCCACCCCCGTTAACTCTTGAATCCAAGATAAAAAGAAACAAATGCTAATGCTCAGCCAGTTTTTAAATAAAGAAAAACCCGCCTTTGCCGCATTTGTGCAGAACGCGACAGTGAAAATTGCAGCGTTGAGAGTGATGAGAATTTCGACCAGAAATCCGAGTATCGAGATTAATGGGCTCATCTAGAAATGAGAAAAATCGACTTGATGTGAAGCTAAAGATAAAAATTAATCGAAACAAAAATTACAGAAAACATCTTTTGATCTTTTTTTGTAAATGTCTTATAGACGAAAATTAAAAATCGCAAAACTTACTTGAAATCGAAGTCGAGTAAAAGCAAGATAGGATTTAATGAAAGAGATTTCTTTTCTTTTATTTCAGCTTTAAATCCAAATTTAATCCAATATGTAAATTTAAATTACAATGCAAAAACAAACAAAAACAAATATAAAAATATAAAAAAAGTTTGAGCTTTTTTTTAAAAACAAAATTCTTCTCAATTGTTCTCAATTTTTCACGCTCGCAATTAATTCAGCCACATCTTCTTTGCTCATCGCTCGCACAAAAGGAATCGATGGAAGATTTGAGGGAGATCCGTCTAGAAAATCGGCATTTAGTCGTGAGCCGTGAGCCGCTAGCCGAATCAACTCTTTACAAGGCTGTTATTATATTTCAAGCAATTATTCAGGCCTGCGTTGACTGTAGGTCACGAAGTGGCTGGCCTTAACCTAGTTTTTGGCCCTCTACCCTTGTCTGCTTGTACCTTTAGCCGTATAAATGAAATAAGTAGATGATACAACTTGCCGACTACTGTAACCACTCTACGGTAACGTGCCAAAAAGATAAGACAAATGATAAGGCTTATTTGCTTGCTCCCATTTCCCTCCTCTTCTCATCACTCACCAATTCCACTATCCGGTCGGCTGCAAATCTTTGCCTCAACAGTAAACTTTGTCGCCTCATTTTCTCGTGTTTGCACTCCACGCGAAGTTTTTGCCTTGTTATCGTAAAGCAATGCATTCTCGACTCTAATAATCAAATCATTAAAATATAAAACCCCGATCTGTTTATTACAGTAATTGAAATGAAGGGATTGACAAGAAAAAGTAGAGGATTAGAGAGTGGATTGAACTCTTCTGCTTTTCGGGAAATTTCTTTAACCACTGACCCATTCGGTACCCTAAGATGACAAGAGGAAGAAGGAAAGAAGGAAGAAAGAAAGAAGAAAAGACAAAGGGGAAGAAGAAAGAAAGAAAGAAAGAAGGAGACTAATCCAACTGGGATCCAGTATTTTCAACTCAATGAAACCTCAACAACGGTAATCCCCTCTCGGATGTCGTTCCTCCAAGTGGCAACAATCTCATCCAATTCTCCACTTTCTTTATTTCTTTCTTTTTCGATTCTTTCCATTTCCCATCCAATATCCGATCAGCAGCTTCGATTCGACCCAATTTTCGTTGTCTTCTGAAACAATAAAAAGAATTTCAATTCAATTTCCTAAACTCACCTAGCAGATCTCTCTGATAGACTTCCTTTGACTGTAAAATGATCAACAGGCGTGTACACGGGGATTTCTTCAATATCCTTTTCATCTTCATCTTTATCTTTATCTTTTTGTGTAATTTTCGTTGAAAAAACTCGTCGTCCAACGGTTGGTGGTGGGGAAAGTTTAGAGAAATCTAATCGCTCGATTGGTGGAAGATTCGAGATAACCTAAATGTTTTTATTGAATGAAAGCTTTTGAATTTAAGAATTTATGAAAGTTTTATCGAAGTTAAACTCTCTAAATACTTTTTAAGAAGTATTTTGTGTTCAGAAATGTAAAGAAATCCTTTCTGACAAAGTCGATGTTGCTAAGCCTTGCTAAGCTTCTCTTGCTTCTCTTGCTTCACTTGCTTCACTTGCTTCTCTGGCTTCTCTTGCTTCTCTTGCTTCTCTTGCTTCACTTGCTTCTCTTGCTTCCTTGCTTTACTTGCTTCTCTTGCTTCTCTTGCTTCTCTTGCTTCTCTTGCTTCTCTTGCTTCTCTTGCTTCTCTTGCTTCTCTTGCTTCTCTTGCTTCTCTTGCTTCTCTTGCTTCTCTTGCTTCTCTTGCTTCTCTTGCTTCTCTTGCTTCTCTTGCTAAGCCAATTCAAGTGTGTCAGAAAGGTGAAGTTTACATTCTTGATTGCATTTTCTTGATAGATAGATTAAGACTTCTGCTTGTCACCTGATCAATTTCTTCTTTTTGAAAAGTTTCCTCTTCATCTTCAACCTCAAGCTTATTGCGATTACTGATTGATGGATAAATGAAGGTTTCTCCCTTTTCCAAATCGGATTCATTTTCTTCCTAAATTTAAGTTTAAGCTGAATATCTTTAAATTCAGATCTCAGATCAATTCAGATCTCAGATAAACCTCTTTCTTCAAAACTGACCTCTTTCGTCGATTCTGTGATACTCGTATTTGCACTATCAATCGATGATCGTTTCTTTCGTTGACAAAAAAGTTTTGTGAAATTCTCGAGTCGTTTGCTGAGAATTTGGAGATCCGTCTGAAAGAATTATTCAATTTAAAAGAAAGAAAGATTTTCTTCTTTTCTTCTTAACTTTCTTTTTACCTGTATCATTTTCCCAGCTTCCTCCAATTTAATCGAATTTTCTCCTCGTAAATCCCCATCACTCAATGGAGATTTTTCAATAGCTCTAGGCCGTTCGGTGATCGAACCAAGTTGAGAAAGGAATGAGGTTTCCTAGAATTTGGGTTTTAGAAAATGGCTTCTAATCAAATCACTTTCTCTCACTCACCGAATCAACTTCTCTTTCTAACTCTCGTTGTGTCTCAGCCATTCTCCTCATTCGTTCATCAAGCCGCTTTCTCGCTGCAATCTGGAAATATCAGACTCTTTTAGACGCTTAACTTATGGTAAATCGCTTGCTTTTCAATTTGCAGCTTTAACTTCTTTATTCTTGAAGCTTTACAGTATACAACTTAAAAGATTAATGTCCTGGCTAAATGGGATTCTTTTAAACTTGGGTAATTAAACCGATTCTAGAGGTCTCTTTCTCGGTATCTATCTGCCACGTGTGTCAGAAGGCGAGCGATTGTGCGCTCCTCCAAAGCACTCACATTTCTAATAACTTTTTAGTTTACCTGTGTAGCATTGGGGCCAGATCGAGGCAAATAGCCTTTTCCCAGCAATCTTGATCCCTTCGCAGCGTATTCTGAAACTGTCACAATGGCTCTGGCTCTAGCTGATCAACAAATCAACAAACCTGATATCAAATCCTTTCCAGCGATCGGCCTCTCAAAATAGGTTGATGTTGATGGTCTGAAAACAGAATTTGGTTTAGAATATGCTGTTTCACTAACCCCATTGCAGCCAATGCAAATGGTTGATCAAAGGAAAGACTTCCTCGGACAATAGGCACATTTGAACGGCTCCTAAATTTAAAGTCCTAATTTTTCTTAAGAATTCAAAACCTTGGACTCATTTGCTTTGCGACACAGAGATCTTTTGGGTGAATTTGTAGAGTGATCGCTATAAGAGAACGATCCGTTTTTGGCAGTGATGTCCATGTGGTTGATAAGTAGGACATTGTTGAAATGATCGGCTGGGGAACCTGATAAAAACACAAAAGCATAAAAAAAATTCATTTTGGTTCATTTGTGCGTCCCTAGCGGAGACGCGTTCCAAAATTTTTTTGAGACGCTGTTGGAAGGTCTCGGGGTTAATGCTAACCTCAAACTTGGGTAATTAAACCGAGCAATCAGGTCTCTGTGGCGCTATCTGGACGCACCTTGTGCCAGATGCCGCTTTTTCTTACTAGACACACTAAAGGTACACACAGTCGTGTCGTCTCGTGTCTCTGATCGCAGGCAGCTATTTCAGCCGTCGCGGCAGAGAAGCCCGTTCGCGCTTACCACCTCCTACTTTGAAAACACGGCATCCCGTTTGATCTGCCAAGTTAAGCAGTGTTACGCTCGGTTGATACCTGGATCGGAGACGGCTTGGGAATCGCGAGCGCCGTAGCTTTTTGCATTTTTCTGGATCGGATTTGAGAATCAGAAAACTTGGGTAAATAAACCGAGCCTGTCGGTCACTTTCTCGCTATCTATCTGCCCCCTTGCACCAGAAGGCGCGTAATTGTGCGCTCCCCCAAAGCACACCTCCCGCACTCACAAACCTTGTGTTCAATTCTGATATGTCCTCGTAGCCATTCACCCTCATCTTCTCCCCGAATCGGTCCCTCTTTCTTCTCTTCGAAGAGATGCTCTAGCCAGATCTAAACCTCAATGCTTATGATTATTTTTGTGCAATTTTATATATGTCGTAGCCGATGAAGGATTTCAGCCGAAGAAGTCTCAAAAATGAGATCTTGAGTTATGTATTGACTCAAGTCAATACCACAAAGCGCCTTTTAGAGAGCTTGAGTTTGTGGTATTGACTTGAGTCAATACATAACTCAAGATTTCATTTTTGAGACTTCTTCGGCTGAAATCCTTCGTCGGCTACGACATATACAAAAAGTTTCCACCTCTCTCGTTGCCAAACAATAAGATGGGAGGGTTGTTTTCGGGGAAAATTTCTCCTCAACAAAGCGCAAAAACGTGGTAATATGTTCGAGATCTGCCTCGTCGGCTACAGAAAAGAAACTGAAATATTTTGATTGGAAATTTCTATAACTTTTGATACCTTTGAATGATCGTCTCTTCCGAGTTTTCTTTTTCTTCTTGCAGAAGAGTTTTGTATTTCTTCGCAACCATTTGCGAATCGGCCTAGAAATTCGACGTTTAAACCTGGTTTAGTTTTTCTAGCTCCAGTTCAACTCACAGTTGTTGTTAGACTAATTTTCACTAATTCACTAGCTCATTTACCCAATTCATGGCCAACGCTTGACTGAAAAGATCTCGATAGGTGAAACGAAGAGATAGCAGGAGGGCCCGCAATAAGCGGGGAGGGATTTGGGATGATGAAGAAATGACTCTCATCGCGCCACGAGACGAGAGAATGTGCGGCTAAAGAGTTCTTCATTTTGCCATTGATTTTACAATTGATTCATAAACTAATCAGGAGATGCCAGATCGATGAATCTGGCAGGCTGAATAAAGTTGACCAAAGTTTTGTCGAAAACTGTATCTGAAGATCATGGATTTCCCCACAAGGGAATGATCCAAATTGGGGCTGACGTTTCAGGATTCAGAAACACCAGTCATTTCCCAAAATCTAGTCAATTTTTTTTCAAATTAAAATCCTGGCGAGAAAAATGCATTTAAAGTGTCGACGAGTTTCGAAAAATCGCCCCTAGCCAATAAAAGCGTGTCACAAGCGAACGAACAAAGAGCAGTGGTGGCCTGGACAGCATGGACAAAGAGGGTAGTGTCCCTGCAAAACCCACAACCCCTTTTGCTGTGGATTCGAGTCCGGTCACCGACATCCTGAAACCCCAGCCCCAGTTTTGATCATTCCCTTGTCAATCAAGATGTTCAAAGCCCTTAGAACCGATAATCCCTTGGTCCTAAGTGCCCAACCGTAAACAGCCTTCAGAAAACAACTCTAAACTCTTTCCTTACCTGAAATTGCGTATCATATTGTGCAAGGATCGCCCTCACTTGTTCCATTTCATACTGTAAACGATTTGCCGCATGAAGACACTAAAATAAAACAAATTAACTGAAAATGAGAGATCGTAAAGCTCGTCAAACAATTTCCAATCTTACTTAAGACAAAACTTTGGTCAACTTTAGCCTATTCGATCTGGAATCTCCTGATTAGTTTATGAATCAATTGTAAAATGTCTCACACAAAAACATACTTCCAATAAAATATTTAGGTAAATGTAGAGATGCCAATGTGCAGAGATTTCTTCATTTTCTCCTTTTTTCGGCGATCCAATAGGCACATTTGGTAACAAATAAACAGGAGGTCGTGGAAGCTAAAATACTTCGAAATAAGCTAAATAAGCTAGCATCTTTTTCTCATATTACCGTTTTTGCAAACAAATTCTTGCTGTGAACAGATAGACGAGCAAAAAGGAACTCAATTTTCCCGAGAAGAAACAGCTCAAAGGCTGTGGTTCGTGAAGTGCCGAGAACTAAAATACATTTCGGCATTCGTGTGAGATTTTAGACTAATGTAGTCTAGCTTAGCAGTCACAAAGCAAGTCAAAAAGCTTTCAAGGAAGGTCCCAAATTGAGACCTAGACCTGTTCGACAAGGCTTTCAAGGAAGGTCCCAAATTGAGACCTAGATCCACCCTGTTCAACTCGTCATTCTTCACTCACCGACATCCAATTCCAGCACCGATTTTGCTATCGTTTTACAAAATTTCTCAATCTCATCATTTGTCAAACTTGACGCTTTTTCCAGAAGCCGATCAACCTAAAATCGTTTCTCTAGTGAGTTGAAATGAAAGGAAAGTTGAATGAAAAGAATTTTGCTTCAAACCTCTTCCGGGATCCCTTCATGCAACAAATAATAGATGTGATCGGTGGTGAGGGAAAAGCTAAAGTTCAGAATAGGCTCAGGCTTATGCTCAACAATTGAAAACACTCTCTTTCTAGTGCACTGCAGTCATAGTCAGTTCTTCATTTTGAAAGGATTTGTTTCGAAGTTCCAAAGTAGCAAAGTTGATCGACTTACCCAAAAGATGAATCAGCAAAAATCCTCAAGATTAACCCGGATCGTACATCGGAGAAGTGATCGGCGTAAAGGATTGCCTAAAAGAAAAGACAAATCTTTTCCGTTCTTTCTATACTGAGACGGTTTGCCAGATCACGAGTGATTATATGGCCGCTCAAAGGACACCCCTTTAAACAGTGACTCTATTGTTCTGTAAATGATTCTCAAATGAGATTTAATGCTTAAAGTTTGTTTAGGGGTTTTTAGGGTTGTAGAATCTATTGGCAGAGTCTATTTTGTCCCTAAGTTTCGAAAAAAATCCAAAGAGATCGAATTGGTTTTGGGATTTTGAATAGATCTGTTTGAATAGAGCTTAGGCTTAGGCTTAGGCTTAGGCTTAGTGCGTAGGCTAGCGGCCAGCGCCTAGCGCTAAGTCTATTTGGGTTTGGGCTAAACCCCGATTTTCTGGATCTCAGCCAGTTCTCGGAGCTAAGGGACACCCGCTTGGCGATGCTCATCCGCCCCCCATAGGAGCATCCTGGCAAATTTTCAGGTCACTCTCTTGTCTGGAAGTTGAGATATTAGGCTTAGGCTTAGGCTTAGGCAATGTTTGAATTGTTCAAAATCTGTGTTTTGTCAAAGATCCGGATTTCCTAGAAGAATCCTTTTTTATATTTCTTTTTAGCTTACCTCTAATGGTAATCCAAGATGTACAAAGATGATGATCGGGGATTTCGGGCCGAATTCATGAGAGAGACTTTGTGAGATCGAGAAGCGATCGATCAAATGAGTGGATGGGGGTAGAGCTGAAAGGATTCCCGAGATACATTTCGGCATTCGTGTGGGATTTTAGACTAATGTAGTCTAGCTTAGCAGTCACAAAGCAAGTCAAAAAGCTTTCGCGGAAGCTCTCAAATTGAGACCTAGACCTGTTCGACAAGGCTTTCAAGGAAGGTCCCAAATTGAGACTTAGATCCGCCCTGTTCGACTGGTGATTCTTCACTCACCCACATCCAATTCCAGCACCGATTTTGCTAGAATCCCGAGATCTAGAATCACAGAACTTATCCAGAACTTGAACCAACCGTCTCTTTTCAATTCGCACCAAACAAAAAGCGTGGGCAACGCTTCACCGGATTCGGGCAAGAAAAGCGGGAGATCCAGAAAGAAAGCCGATAAGAGACGAACAACGTCGCGCACTTGATTCGAGGCAATCGATGAACCTATTTCGAGTCTTGTTTATCGCCTATTTTGCCTATATTTTGTATTTTATCAACTGGTATGGCGATTCAAAAATTACAATTGATATTTATGAGAGACTGGACTTGTTTATGACAATCCAATCTTTTCAAATCGATGATATTCAACTAAGCCAAGTCTAACGAAACTTTGAAAGCTATAAGCCATTAAAGCCAACAATCTATAAACCATTAAAGCCAATAAACTAACACGTTTGACTCGAGCGCGAAAGCTCGCTGCTTCGTTAAGTTAAGCTAAATCGTAAAGTTAAGCTAAAGCTAAAGTTAAGCTGAATCTGTAAGACTGAGCCGAAACTTTTTAGCATTAACACCAAAATCTGTGCAACTATTTGAGTAATGATTTTCATTTCAATTTTTTTTTCAATCATAACATTCAAATCTCCATTCCATGCTTTACCATTATGCGCTTCTAGTAACAGATTTCGAAATCGTTGAGCATGTAGGAAGTCGAGCAGTGAAGAACCCGTTTGTGTCATTGATCACATTAAAGAATAGCAATCCTAAACAATGTAGAATCTTAAAGGATCTCCATAGCGAATTTTGAAAAAAACTGGATCAATGAAAACTCGACTCTCTAGCAGATTTAGTCTAGTAAAAAAGCTCGCTCGCTTGACTCGAGCGCGAAAGCTCGATTCTCGCTGCTTCAATTTTCGCTGCTTTTTCAAACTTTTGCTTTTTACACTAAAATCGCTAGCAATTCACGACTGAATATCTTTAAAAAGATATTAGACTGAATATCTTTTAAAAGATATTCAGCGCTTCGCCATCTTTTTGGGATCGATGATCTTCTTTAATTAATCAATGGATCACGATTTTAAACGGAAATCCGTGTTTTTCCTTAAAAACAGCAATAGGGAAAAACAGCAATAGTAATATCATTTTCTAATGTCATCATCTCGATTATTGAATCAAAATACGTAAATTATGTGTAATAGAAATTTAAGAAAGCTAAAGTTTCTAAAAAGTCAAGAGTTTGATCAAAATTTCTGAAAGAAGTGCCAAAAAAAAACAAAATTTCTACGTCTGAATCAAGATTGACCGATTGATTGACCCGGGAAAGCCAAAAAGCCAAAAAAAAAACATGGAACGGACGAGAAACGATTACGGATGAATGATTTCGGACAAAAGGTATGAACCCATGAATATATTTTGGGTCAAAAAGGAGTTGTCCTTTCCCCCTTTTTCTTCGATTTGTTGTCTCTATCCTTTCCCTTCCCTATCCACAGCTGTTCCCTCACCATGACAACCATGAAAGGCGAGATTTCTCTTTCTCTTTCTCTTTTTCTCTTCTCACCATTTTATCATGTAAATTATTTCATTGTTCGAAAGAGATTAAGGAAATATCGGGAAATTTGAAAAATATGTTGGTGGCCGTCTATTTCAGCCATCTCTCACAGCCGTGCAACTCTTTGTGGACTTCCCAAGAGGGAAATCCGTCCCAAAATTCCTCAAGACACTTTATCTGGGCCTCCGGGTTTATACCAACCTTTAACTTGGGTAATTAAACCGAATCTCAATGTCTCTTTCTCGGTATGTATCCGCCCCGCGTGCCGGAAGGCGCGCGATTGTGTGCTCCCTCAAAGTACACCTTCCACACTCCGATTTCATCGCCATTTCAGCTAAAGTTTCGAAATTCGAGTTTCCAAAAGCAACTACCCAAAATCTCACAAATCTCACTCATCTAAAAACGACAAAACGATGCTGGGAATCAATTTTCATCACTAGAAGAACCTGTATTTTTCAAAATTTTCTCCACCATATAGTGGACGACCTTCCGTGTGGTTCCACGCCACCGTTTCACTGCAAGTGAAGTGAAGGGTTGACACATTTCTTGATAAATCAAGATAAAAATAAGAGAAAGCATGAAAGCTTCTTCAACTCATTCCACATTTTCAAGGTCATTTGTGCATCCCCTTGCGGGGGACGCGTTCCAAAATTTGTTCGAGACACTGTCGGAAGGCCTCGGGGTTAATACTAACCTCAAACTTGGGTAATTAAACCGAACAAACAGGTCCGTGTCGCGCTATTTGGACGAGCCGTGTGCCAGGTGCCGCTTTTTCTTACGAGACACACGAAAGGTACGCACCGTCGTGTCGTCTCGCGTCTCTAGCATCTGGTGTAAATAAATTTCGAACACTTTTAAAGACACCTTCAAACAGCTTGGGTGGTCTAGCGTATGCTCCCCAATAAAACTTGTGGATTTTTGGCTTGAGTTCGAATCCTTCCCTGGCCAGGCCTTTTTGCTTTTTTGGAAAATTCTTTTTCTGGTGTCTTTGCATTAAATATTTATGTTTTATGCACCTTTTGACAACTTCTAACGGTGTTTATAAAACTTGCAATTCTCAAAATAGTTCATCGATTTCAACGTAGACGTATGAACTTCAAAATGCAAAGATAGATGCAAGAACAAAGAACAATGCACAAGAACAAAGAACAATGCAAAACAAACACAAACAAACAAACAAACTACTCTGTTTTACAAAGAAGACTGCTTTTGTTAGCAGAGTTAATACCAGAGACTTAACTTTATGAAGCTGCAAAAAGGATTCAAAGTGACCGAATAAGCGACTATGAGATTTTTGGACTTCCCAAGAGGGAAATCCGTCCCAAAATTCGTCGAGACACTATATCTGGGTCTCAGGGTTTATACCAACCTCTAACTTGGGTAATTAAACCGAATCTGACGGTCTGTTTCTCCCTATGTATTTGCCCCGTTTGCCAGAAGGCGCGCGATTGTACACTCCCCCAAAGGACAGCAGCCATACTCAAATTTCACTGCCATTTCCGCTAGAATTTTCTAAGTTTCAAAAAAAGTACGATATACGGTAATAGGAGCAATAGCAATAGAACAATAGAACAAGGTAAGCAATAGGTAAGCAATAGGTAAGCAATAGAACTACAAGAATTTTCGTCGACACGCCAATGAGTGGTGATTGTAGAAGAACAATCTAAAAATTGAGTACATGAAATTGAGTACATTTATGTACAATAGTACAATATATCCAAAACACTCGATTACCTGTGATGCCAATTCTCATGCGGTAGTTCATCATGTGCAATGATATAAGATCCCTCGGCGATTAGCCTCTTCACAAAGGTGTGCACGGCGAGTTTTTGCTCGTGATTCAAGGGTCGATGAATTTCAATGTTAATCTGTAAACTTGCTTTTCGAATTTGATTTGATCACAAATTAGCATTCAGCTTTTGTAAAACCATAAAGTTTCTAAGTTTCTAAGTTACCTGACAAAAAGTGAAACCGTTAAGCTCGGCACGGCCAGCCTGTAACAGGTCGAACATTGCATACTCGGCGTATTCAGTGTCAACGAATAGGAAATCGATCACGGATCTAAATTGGGGGACTACCTAAATCAACGCCGAGCGAAAAAAGCACTGAAAACGCCCATTTCAGCGCTGAATCAACTTCATACTTTTTTTACTTTTTAGCATGTTTTTATGGTTTTACGTTGCCTTTATAAAATTTTTATTTTTTCAAACAACAATAAATTAACAAATTCGTCAACAAAACAAAAAAAATCACCTACAATGAACAAATAAACAAAAAGATTTTACATGATCAACGGTTGATTTACCTAAATGACCATTTTGAAGAGCGATCTTTCGACGTCGATGACATTCTCGAATCCCTGGCGACTGTAAGAAGATTTTTGGTGTGTTTGCCCACATCCTTCTCGTTTTAAACTATCAAGTAGACGCGCTAAAAGAAAGTTATAAAAAAAGTTAAAAAGAAGAAAAAAGCTAAAACTTGCGCATGTCAAGTTAATAATGTTAATAATGTCCATCAAAAAGCGCTAAACTGTGGCAAATCTTTGTGCTTTTTGCGTAATAACTACTCCTAGACCTGTTTTATGTGTAAAAAAAATAAAACAACCGCAAAAACACGAGCAAAAGCGCAAAAAAAAACATGCAAAAACATGAAAGTAGTGCGAAAAATTCAGCGCTGAAATGGGCGTTTTTAGTGTATTTTCGGCTCGGCGCTGAAATGAGCGGCGCTGATTTGAGTAGTAGTGAGTAGCCGAAATTGAGCTCATTTAACGTAAACTGGTACGATTACGGTAATTTTCGAGAATAGGTGCCTTTTAATAAGGGTAAGTTGAGAGGAATAGGTGGTGACTACTTTGCGCCAAATTTTTTTGCGCAAATCGCCATAACTTTCTTCTAAGTCGGCCAATCTTTATGATTTTGATGTCATTTTGTAGATCTCAACAAGTGCAACAAAATGACATCAAAATCATAAAGATTCGCCGACTTAGAAGAAAGTTATGGCGATTTGCGCAAAAGACCTAGTTGAGCAAAAGACCCAGTTGCGCAAAAAATTTAGCGCAAAGTAGCCACCCCCAGGAATAGCTCTGGAAAAACTTAACACCATAACTTTACGCAATTATGATCAGTATTTTATGTATTTTATGTTCAGTTAGAGATCTCAATTATTATTATAGAACTAACAAAGAAACTATTCAGTTTTTTCTAATTTTATAATAATTAATTATAATAATAACAGTTCTATAATAATTATCTTTTCTGAACTTACTCTTTAACACTTTCTCGAAGAAATTTGTACAATGGCACGGCGGTCATCGTTTGAATTTCAGTGTAATTCCCTGAAATAATGGATCGTTTTCAAGAATTTGAAAGTTTTTTTAAATTTTGTAGAATAAAGCTTTTGATTTTGACCAATCATCTTCAAAAAATATTACCTTTTGTGAGCATTTGCGATTTCGAAATGTCATTTCCCGATACAGCGTACTTGAAAAAAGTGCCAAGCTAAAAGGTTAAAGCTTTTTAATTTTTGATTTTCCAACTTCTTCATATTTTTCCTTGTTTCCCTCATCGATTGGGTCGGCGCCGAAGAATTGACATGACGGCATGAGAGTCTGAAATTCGAAAAAATTGTGCCCTAGCTACCGAAAGCCTCGGAAGACTGGCTTTAGATTGATACGATAAATTGATATAGTGTTTCGGATTGAAAAGTTGTGCACTAACGACTAAAAGACTAACTATCGAGATCCATTCTCTCACCTTCACTTGTTGTTCGGCGCTCACATCCTGCCCGACTCCTAGCGTGACAAACGTGCATTTATCTGACTAAAAACCATAATGTAGCATAAAAAGTTCAAAAAAGCTTACCGATTCCTTCAACGGAATCACTTGTTTCACATCGTTTGTGTTTCGAATTTCCACCAATTTTGGCCCAAATCGAAGACATCTTTTCAACGCTTTTTCGGGTCCACGACTCCAAGTCTAATAAAAAAAAGGTTTTCAGAAAAGTACTAGATTTTTCTAATGACATCTACACAAAGTTAAAGTTTTTCATATTGCTTCCTAACCATAGCTACAGCTAGGCTACTATTTGTCTCCTACCGTAATTCCTGAAATAGAGCTATGACTGGGCTAGCTTTTAGCCAAAATTGGTTTCACAAGAACCAGTTGGGCCGCCACTTCCCTGTTTTCTTGACTCAATTGAAGCTTGAATGCACATCGATGCATATTTTGCTCTTTAGAGTTTCTATAGGGATACAGGGAGAGAACGGTGACGATTTAATAAAGTTTTTAACACATTGATGACGTAGAATGAAGCGTAGAATCAATAAGGGAGATAGAATTGTTTATACTTGCTTCCAAACAAATCTGGACATAGTCCACTCGCCATTGCGCTACAACTGAGGGGTAGGCTAATTTCCGCAATTTTTTTTTTGCGTAACAGGGTCATTTGCGCAAATTGCCATAACTTTCTTCTAACTTGGCGAATCTTTATGATTTTGGTGTCATTTTGTAGATCTCAACAAGTGCAACAAAATGACATTCAAATTATAAATATTGACCCACTTAGAAGAAAGTTATGGCGATTTCCGCAAAAAAATTTGGAGCAAAGTAGCCATAAACTATAAAACATTAACATTTTACTAGCCCACCATTTGTTCATTTTCCAAATGCCAGTCATTCATCATGCATTGCCGATAAATCGCCGCATTTTTCGTTAACTCGTTCACTGAAAGATCTTTTGTGTATGAAAGAATTTGGGGAAACTCACCATCCGAGTGGAGTCGGATGTTCCAGAACTGAAAATTTGTCGAATATTTGTCATGTTCTTGACATAATCAGTTCAAAAATTACCCAAAATAGGTATTAGTTTTAAGAAAAACTCACAATCGTGACCAAAGTAGCCGTCAAAAAACAGGAGATCACCAAAAACGGTGTGGAATGGGTCGTTCGTCGAAGATTCATATGAATTATGGAAAATTTCGATCGAATTGATTGAAAAGAGTGTTCAATATTGATTTTGACGTGTGTGAAATCCTATTTTATTTTTTTTTTGTGGTAACATAGAGAAAAATAGAGAAAAGAGAAATACTCTGTTTTTTTTTTGTGATCAATTTCCCATTTCTCTCAAAATCAAGACCAAATCTTCTTCCTACGCGAGTTTTCTCATTTTACCAAACATCATCACTTGTCTTAATCTTTCGCTTTTTAAAAATTGATTCTCTTACCGACAAAATTTTCAAATTTTTGTCTGGGGATTGGATTCTCAAAACATGACCTATTTTTCATCTTTTTCATAACAACTAAAGTTATACAAAGCACAAAACCCCTAAAAATTTAGAGCAAAGGTTTATTGGACAAAGCACAATGTAGAGAACAAAAATATCGAGCACATTTTTGGTGACATCATTGCATTGAATAAAGACAGAAGAGACGTCGAAAGGCGGTAGTCCTCCCGAAAGTTACAAAAAACCGAAATCGCTTCTCGAAACTCTAAAGTTGGAAATGTAACACTTGAATTAAATTATATAAGCTAAAGACTTGTTTAAAAGGAAGGTCTATTCAATAAAAGCTGTTGTAATATGTTGTAATTAATCCATTTCCGGGAATTTACTTGGCAAGCACCATAAAAAGGAATGCTCACCTTGTGTGATGATTATATGAACGCGAATAATCTAGACACGGCGAGATGAACGACGTGACGACTTCGACGAATGTCTTGCAGATGGGTACGAAGAGGATTCAGCGTGGGATTGTGGACGGGTTTGAGAACAGGTACGCTCTTGGAATCTAAAAATGGGTAAATTGAAAAAGAATGAGCACTCATAGATAAATCATATTGTGTTACTCTAGGTAGGTAATGGAATCTCCCTTAGACAGATTCTCTTTTCTTATCCAAGCAAAAATGTACCTCTTCTCTTTGCGAATAGCCTTCTTTTGAGCCAGCACTGATTCACGCAGTTGCTCCATTTCCTTTTCCTTCTTTTGCATCATCATCAGACTAAAAAGTTGAGCTTAAACAATGATATAGTTGTAAAGTGCTCACCAATAAATCATGACAATACAGCCCACGCAAATACCAAACACACCGCACGCGATCATCATGAGTTTGATGGCTAAAGTTAATAAATTTAGGTACAGGAGCATCACAAAATCCACCAAGCAAAACTGCGAAACCTTTCCAGGAGAACCAAAATTTCACCGCTTCAGATTCCTCGGGATTTACCACTGAGTGGTACAGAACAGATTCACCACTGAGTGGTTCGTTTTCCTCAGTTGTAGAGAGAACATCTAAAAAAACTTAAGATAATTGTAACAGCCAAACCTTTACAAGTACTACCTAGCAGCTAAACCTTACATGAACTACTCAGTTGTCAAATAGTTATTGAATCAATCAGTGTTAAAGTCAAAACACCAACTGACCGTGACCAGCTGGTCGTGATATTGAACTAATAACCGATGAGAGAAGACGAATTCCGACAAGGGGCTCTTCCTTCTTATGACACGTGTTTACGACGAAATGCAAAACTTCACGACTGCATGGGCATTCTTTGAAGAGCTCAACCGTGTGGCTAAATCAAAAAGAATTGATGTGGCTATTTGAAAGTACCAACTTGCAAATGAATGATACCGCTTTCGCATTGGTTACATTCTGAAATCAAGGAATTAGTTTGCAACAATCAAACAACTCACTTGTCCCCAGAATTTCTCGTTGTAGCCCTTTTGAATGATGGAGGAAAGCACACATTCGGTCACATTGTCGATTTGTTGACCAGTCAAACGGTGGCAAGAGTTCGCCGTGTTTCCTAAAGAGCAAAGTTTAGAAGTGTTCCCCAACTGCTGAAATAAAATTTTTAAGGAGAAACCGGCTTTTATACTTGGCAAGTTCTAAAAAGACCTCTGAAATTCGGCCCAAAGCCGGTCCTTTTTAGGCACTTTGGCAGCAACAATGTATTTTGATGTCAAAGGCAAAAAGAAAAATCACATCTGTTTCTATAATTAGCTAAATTTTCAGACCGATCCGTTCAACCGTTTGTGCTATATGATTTTTTTGAAAATTGTGCTCAAAAAGGATTTTCGCTAAATTTACTTAAAAACCATCAAAAATCGCCCTTTTTTTCAAAGATTGCCCTCCAGAAATTCGAGAGATAAAACTGGCAGCTTCCCCCGCATAAAACTGGCAGCTTCCACATAAAGTTTAGATGTATCTCCATCGAATTATCACATTTTCCGAGTTCTAAAGCGAGAACCCGCTGAACGGCAGTTCCATACTTTACGGGGTTTCAAAAATTGAATCACCCAACGGTTTGCTTCCAAAAACCAACGTTTTTGCGAGCAGAGCTCTTTGAGATTCACACAATTGTTGCCCAGAAGTCAACAATTATTTTGGCAACTAATTTAACTTATCTGAAAGTTTAAAATAAAATTTCCGTTAGATGAAACTTCTACAAAAAGCGCATTCATAGTAATAGCCAAGCTAATAGTAACAAAGCTCCAACAATTTATGAGCACAAGTCACGGTCTAGCGCGAGCAAAGGGCAAAATTAAAAAAAGAATCAAAATTGATACCTTGAACGATGAGCGAAGAGAAGATAAACCCAAGGAGAAGTCCGGAAAGAAGCATTGTTGATGAGAAGAATGATCAATTTCCTCCATGAGACTTTTTTAAAAGACGGCTAAATGTAAATTTCTACCGACTACCACTCCAACCCAAACTCCAACTACTTCTCCCACAGCTCCCAAAAGAAATAAAGTTAGTTTTTTTGACAATACGGCAGTGATACTCAGCAAGTTCTTTTTTCCAAGTGCTGAAGGCTTTTCATTTAAAAATCACGCACAATTTCTTTAAGGAATTATGTCAATAGCCATCTAAATAGTTTATCTTTGAAAATTTTAAACTTTTCCTTTATTCGACTCTAAATTTAGACCGCCCAACAAGCTGCCTTAACGGCTGAACCGACTATTGGGCATCTTAGCAAGAAGAAAAAATGATGCTGTACAATTTTATGATTAGAGTGCTTTCCACACAAGTACTGCGTTTTTTTTAATGCACACTTAGGAATAACTACCGTACTTTTAGCGAAAATTATTGCAAAACCTTGGCGCAAAAGTCACGGGCCTCGCTTTATTTATGTCACCTTTTAAAGATATTTAGCCGTTTAACTGATTTGATGGCAAATTCCCTTCAAATGTAAAGATATTCGATTTACTCGACGTGTAGAGAGGATTACTCGTAGTTACTCGACCAAAAACGTTGGGAGCGCCATGGCGAAAATAGCCTCTCCGCGGTTAAGTTTCTACGCGTTTCTTGTTTTTATTAGATGCAGAATAAAATTGTCTACATTTTGTATATTTTGGGATCACTTAGAACAGTATTGGTGTCGAGAAAAGCTCAGTTAACCCTTTTTCGTTTTTTTTTGACATTTTCTCATCCCGGATTTGTTCTAAACGGCTCCAAAAAATTCAGCAGATAGCTAATTTTTTTCTGCATCCAATGAAAATAAGAAACACAAATAAACTTAAGCGCAAACGCATTGTTTTGGCTGGCGCTTTTTTGATCGCCTCACGATTAATCGAGTAAAAATTGCAAATTGTACTCGAGTATTTACTTACTCGCGAGAAACATACTCTATTTATGATTAAATAAATCGTTTAACTTTATTTTTTATCAGTTTTATCGGAGAATCTGTTCTTGAGACAGTCGATTTTTTAATCTCTTTATGTCAATTCATGTTGCAGCAAAGGGGTTTATGATTTGGTGTTATTTTTGAGCAATTAGAGAGAAAATGCGGGAATGAGTGGCCGAAAGGGGTATTGTTGTGTAGATTTAGTTGCGGGAGTGTGGGAGAAAAGTCTTGCAGTCTCGGTAACATTAAAATGTTTTAAATGCCACTTTAATGGATCATAACGGTATGTAAATTGATAGTTGTAGTTGTTTTGTGAAAAAGTACACAATTTTATGCGGAGGATCTCAATTTCTTTAAATTCGGGTTCTTAACAATGTGTGTTTTTTTAGATTCTCAACCTTTCGCTGAATGAAGTGATGAAGAAAGTGTTGAGCTTGAAGCAAGGAGCAAATCTCCTCACCTGCGAGGGCTCATCGGGGAAAGGTGGGACGAGAGTTGGAGCAATCGATGAATCGAAAATGGCAACAACAACGGTAGTGAATTTTTTGCACGTATTTATTTCACCCAAACTTTTAAGCCGGCCGAAACAAGTGTGACAAAGGAAAAGCCGAAGGACGTCTTCCCGATGTTCAAGAAAGCCGTCAAAAGACCAGCCAGTGTTAATGTTGAGGAAGCAGTCAAAAGACCAGCCCGTGTTGATGTTGAAGAATTCTTCAAAAGACCAGCCGGTGTTGATGTTGAAGAATCCGTCAAAAGACCAGCCAGTGTTGCTTTTGAAGAAGCCGTCAAAAGACCAGCCAGCGTTGATGTTGAGGAAGCCGTGAAAAGACCAGCCAGTGTTGATGTTGAAGAAGCCGTCAAAGGACCAGCCAGCGTTGATGTTGAGGAAGCCGTGAAAAGACCAGCCAGTGCTGATGTTGAAGAATCCGTCAAAAGACCAGCCAGTGTTGCTTTTGAGAAAGCCGTCAAAAGACCAGTAAGTGTTGATAAACTAAAATTCACCCTACTTTTTTAACCTTTAGACTTTCGTTTCTAGAATATCTTTTGAGTCATAAAATTTTATGAAGTTTTTTGTTATTGGGTTTAATAACTGACTTTAGATGATGGAAGACGGAGAAAACATGCCGCCTACCTCATCAACTACTTTCACCCTCATCAACTACTTGAAAGAACCTCAATGGAAAGCCGGACTTAGCAACGAATTTAAGGCGCCCTACATGAAGAAAATCGAAGAATTTCTACAGAAACAATATAAAATGGTTGCATAATTTTATAGAAAGCCCTTCATAACATTGCTTTAGCAAATAATAGTAAGGCCGCCAAAAGACGAGATCTTCAATGCCTTCAATTTGACTCCACTGAACAAAGTGAAAGTGGTGATCCTTGGACAAGATCCCTATCACGATACAAATCAGGTATTTTTGTACTAATAATACGCAAATTTTTATTTTTTAGGCACACGGTTTGTCGTTTTCGGTAAAGAAAGGGGTCGCCATCCCACCATCGCTCGTCAACATCTACAAGGAATTAGCTGCAGATATCGAAGGTTTCCTTTAATACAATTATGCAGATTGAAGCGGCAAAATATTCTAGATTTAATCTTCTCCTATTCAGGTTTCAATATTCCAAAACACGGCAATTTGTTGGGCTGGGCTACGCAAGGAGTTTTCATGTTGAACGCGGCGCTTTCTGTCGAGTGAGTATCCAAAAATGCTTTTTAATATAGTTTTTAACCAATTCTGTTTTTTTTAGAGTACATAAAGCTAACTCGCACTCGCAGATTGGTTGGCACACTTTCACGGACAAGGTTTGTTTTTTTATTTTCATTACTGTGAACTTTTAAAGTATAACATTTTTTTGTCATTTAGGTAATCCAATTTATCTCGAAGAATGTGAAACACTGCGTCTTCTTGCTTTGGGGCGCGTATGCACAGAAAAAGGTCGAGCTGATCGACAGAAAGCGACACACGGTGATTATGGTAGGTATTTTACTTCAAACTTTTTAATATTGAGTAGTGTGTATTTTTAGAAGAAAATTTAAAACGGCAAAATAATTTTTGAATTACTCTATAGCGCATTATATTTTTGCATTTAGACAGCCCATCCTTCACCGTTGAGTTGTCATCGAGGTTTCACAGGGAGCCGATGTTTCTCGAGAGCCAACCAGGCATTGAAAGATCACGGGATGAAGCCGATCGATTGGAATAATTTGCCTTAAAAAATTTTCTAGTCGGAATTTCATTGGTATTTGTTAAACAAATTTGTTTTCTTTTTGTACAGTGTGTGTGCACAACTCTCAGTTTATCCACTTTCTGCTCAATTTGATCTCATTTTGCCTTATTTGTTAAAAAAGTTTATTTCGAATAATTAGTAATCACAACTGAGAATCAATGAGAATCAAAAATCAATACATCAAGTAAGTGAGTAATGTTGAGAGAATCGTTGCACCTAAGAGGAAAACATCGATAATTATTAGTGAGTTTTGTGAATTGATGAGGCAATTCGTTCAATCGTTCGATTCTCCCCAATAATCGCTCCTCTTTCGCCAGTCGTCGCCTCAACTTTACCTACGATCCACGCCGGGAAACCGTCCAGCTGAAAATCTTGCATAAGATGCATTACTTTTAAATCTGGTAGCCTGGTGTAGAACGTTTCAAGTATAAGAAAAAGAACCAAATTTTGAAAGATATCCACTTTGGTTTCCGAAACTTTAGACTACTTCAACACTTGTAGCTTTTAGCTTGCCTAGCTATTGAAGTTAAGAATTGGAATATGCTAACTCCGATTTACCGTTTCGATCTCCTTCTTGTAGGCAAGCGCATCAGCCTCAGAAAGTGCAATCAAAAGACCGCCCGAGGTTTCGGCTGAGGTTCCTGAATCGTTTGTATGGTTTTCGTTGACATGTGCTTTCTAACGTACATTTGTAAACTAGCGGTTAAACTACAGTAATCCCTTGTAAGCTCTTGGATAAAATATAGTAATCGAATCGATCTCCTACCCGAGAACAAATTGAAGCCATTCCCATTGGGCATCTTTAACGCGATCTCATCCATGTACTCGACAATCGGCAGATGATCGATCACGAAACGGACCTTGAAATAGATGATAACAGAAATTTGGACATTTCTTGACTAATACTAAATGTAATTTGACCATGACTAAATAATATTTTAGTTAGCTTTTTGAACTACAAGATGTATAAGATTCACCTGTGCTTGCTGAGCTCGAGCCAAGTTGTCGGCATGACCTAAGATTTTATCGTTGTAAAATTGTTGACAAATCCCAAATGACAAATCCCAATGTTTCCCCTCATCAAAATCACAAATCATTACCAAGTAGCCCAAATCCGGTGACATCGGTGGATGCGTGAGCGTGGTGTTTGTGGAGGAGACGAGCCGCGTTTCGATTCAAACGACACATTTGCATGGTCACCTAGGTTAGAGAGTTCGGGAATTCTGCAATCTGATCAAATAGTTTGGCCAGGCGCTTGAAACTTTTTGAGAATTCGGTGCCAATGCACTTAGGGAGATCGAATTTGCATTTATGCTGTTTAAACCATTTCTCTTTTTCTAAGCTGTGCGAAAAATAGCTGTCATTCGAGGTAACATTCTTACTGTTAGCCCGACCTTGGCATTAGATAAATAAGAAGTTACCTAGAAGTAAGAATGCTACCTAGAATGACAGCTATTAACCCAATCGTGGCATAAAATGTGCACGATTTATCTCTCCATAAATTAGAAATTTCACAAAACTGATTCACTAGTGGCATAAAGAGTTTTTTTTTTTTGAAGCTCTAATAATCTCTAATGATAAATGATATCATTTTATGCCACGATTGGGTTACTAGCTGTCATTCTAAGTAACATTCTTTCTGTTAGCCCGATCTTGGCATTAGTAGAATTGGTAGAACCTTGGCTAATAGTAGAATGTTACAAGTTAAAAGCTTATTACAACATTTACAATGTTAAAAAAGTGAAAAAAAAATGAAGTGAAAGGCTTGAATGCAAATTCGATCCCCTAAATGAGCGAAAATTGCTGATTTGAGATAAACTTCAAAAATTTCTCCCAATCTACTCGAAGTTTAGATTCGAGATCTAGATAATCTATAAAATATCTGTTTACAAGATATATCTAGCACAAATATTCCCTAGTTTTTCTCGTACCTGTTGAAATGCTTTTACAATCCTCTCCCCATCCAATCCGAGCTCCTCAACGCGACCGTTTTTCTTCTTCAACCACTCGTACGAGTTCACAGAAACCTGGAAATGTTTAAAAAATTTAAAAAAATTAAGTAAATCATATTTCACGATTTTCTTAATATAAAGAAGTTACGGCTTTTCTTTTTGCACAAACCTGTCCGCCAATCGGTTTCGTCAAGAGGAGAACGTCGCCCGGTTTCGCCTTGTCAACGCTAAAAATTCATGAATTCATTTCGATTTAATTTCGATGAATTCATCAAGAACGAATTTCAGTTTTCGTTTTTCAAACATGTCATTCTTAATTTTCAATCATTTTTCTTTACCGAATAATCTCCTCATCGGTGGCCACACTCGACGCCACGCCGCCGAGCAAAAGCCACGGGCACCGAACCTAGAAAATTTAAAATTTTCATCTAGAATTTCAAAATTTCCATTTACCGTTTGTCCCCCGCGCACTTTGGTGCCAGCCAAATCGGCATTGTCCTGAAAAATTGCTTTGAGGAAAAATGAAAAAAATTTCGGAGCTCCTGGACTTCTTCCCCAGTGGAACCCAATTTTTATCTTCAAAATTTCAGCTTTGAAATCGAATCCTAATTACCGTATTTATTCTAGGAGAAGCGTATGCGCTTCTATTTTTCAATAGCTAAAAAATTGATTCAATAGTTCGTAGAAAGAAAACTTTTAGGTAAAATTCAATTAAAAACAAATTAAAGCTGTTTCTACCTAATTGCAAGAAAAAAACATCAAAATTGCCCTTGCTTATGCAAAACAAATGATAAAGAATGCAAATTTTTCTCAAGGAAATGTCTTATAAACCTTCTTAAAGTCGCAAAATTCGGTGAATTCAATCTACTAAGCTGAACATCCATATTTATTGCTTCTATTAGAATAAATATGGTATAAGGAAGCAAGTATTGAACAATTTAGTTTGCACCTTGTTTTTCGCGGGTTTTCAATATCTCCCGGAAACTTGCCTAACCTTGAATCCCTGCATGAACTGCCCGATGATGATGTCTCGCTCTTTATCAGCCAAATCGACAGCCACCTGAAAAAATGTCGATTTTGTAATTCAAGTGTTTTTATTTCTCTTAAAGCCAATACTTGTACTTCTTTCAATTCAACTTTTCCCAAAACTTACCCCGAGCAACATCAACATGTTGTCGCACTCGGAAACGCCCATCGCGTACAAATCGGAAAGCACGTTGGCGGCGGTGATTCGTCCCTAGAATCAAAAAAAGCTTTAGGCTTGAAAATTTAGAATCCACCATCAAATACGGATCATCGACAAGTGGATAGAAGAAATCCGTCGTCTGCACAAGGTTAAGTCCTTTATGGCGAAGCGGGATCACACAACTGTCCAATCCGATGCCTAGATTGGGGAATTGGATTAGAAAATTAATCTTTTGAAAGATAAAACGATTTAAACAATTTCTACAACAACAAAATTTTTAGCCTAATTTCTCAAAAATCTAGACAGCCTCATGTTCATCCGTATCTCAATTTTCCGTCACTCACCCACTCCAGCATCACTGTCAATGACCACATCTTCACCAAAAGTCTTCAGCAACTCGAGAAGGGCCTGGAAAATCTAGCTTTTTTAATTTCATAAAATCAGTTGCAGATTATCTCTCTGAATTTGTAATCGGTTTTAAAAATTCACTTAAGTCTAGCTTAAGTGAATCTTTATCTTGAGAAAATGGCAAAGTGTTTTGAAATTTTATATAACCCACCGCTCTCGGCACTTTGCATCCACATCCTTTCATAGCGGTGAGTTTCGTGAGCACGAAATCCGACGAGAGCCCATGTTCTTCAGGATTGAAACCGGCCAGCACCCTCTCAACCACCGAAAGTGCCGGTGTCGTCATTTCCTTCTAAAGTTTTTCAAAATTTGAGTAACTGGTAAAGCGGGGAATAGGCTTGAAATAAGAGATTAAATGTAAACAAAAACCCCGGCATTTTTGTCTCTGTTCATAGTTTGTAGTGGCGGGGGAAAGACTATGAAAAGCAGAAAAAACAAAACAAGATGAGAAACACATCTGCCCAGCACAAAGAACGATCAGGCAAATCGCACGGACAAGACCGCCATGACAAAATCAAATCAATGCTATCAACATTTCCATCTCGCAAAACTATGTGCTGCTGGCAAAACCGACAATTCTCCAAGGAATTGATCGTTTTTGTACTAACAAACTGACAATGCATTAAAGAACGATCACGTTTTATTCTGACCCATAATGTATAGCGGTGACATCAAAAAGTGCACATTTGCCGGGGGAAAATCAACTAAAGATTAGCCAGAATTACACGATGAACGCAATAAAAGACGAAAAAGAACGAACCAGTAAACAAATAGAATGACATTAAAAGCATGTATCGATGAAAATCCGAGGATCAACACGTAACAAAATTGGGAACGCAATTGGAATGATCGAGATAAAGAATAGAGATTTAGGCTAGACATTACATGAGAAAAAGACTATTGGGAACTAGAGGGAATTTGTTATAAACCTTATAAAAAGGACAATTTGACCAAAAAATATACATTTGGTGAGAACTCGGAAAATTTTGAAAATGATATGTAGAGACAAATGAACAAGAGAAAATATGATGAGCAATATGCAAGAGCAAATGCAACGAGAAAGAAACCGAAGAAATTCTATTACACAACAAATAAATTGATTCTGGCGTTCGGTACTTTGTGGTTGACTAATGACCGTTGGGTAGAGCTGATCCGGATCGCTCAAACAACTAAAGGAAAAGTGTTTATTTTTATTTGGGTTAAACTCACTAACCTCACGATAAGAAGCTAGACGAGGTGAGCGACGAGTGCCCATTTGACGTTGTTGTGCAACTCGACGACGCCCTCCCCTCATGCGATTAATCGTTCTAAAATCAAAAATTAATAAAGAAAATGGCGTTAATCAAAACTCACACATCATCAGAGGTGTCAATATCATCAAGCATGGAGAAGTCCAACTTTGGAATTGGGCTTTTCAATCCTTTCTCGCGCAATGGTACTCGAGGCTTCGAGCGCAGACTGTTTGGTGCCGAAAGCGATGTGATTGGCAGGCAGGAAAAGAAGTCGTCTTCCAAGTCGGCATCATCAAAAGCGAGACGATTATGTTGGTAGTTTTCCGTCTTCCCCCAATCGCCAGATGCATCAAGTTCACTAAAACAGTCAAAAGTTAAATCACAAAGACAAAGAAAGTGACTAACTTTTTCTTGCGTCCTAATGGAGAATCGGTGTAAATTGGAGAGTTGCTTATAAATCTAAAGTTTTTCATTCGAAAATACACCAAGTCTAAAAAACCTTGGAGCCGTGCTTCTGTTATCACTTGATGATGAGCCAGCAGTGTCCGTATTCTCCGAAAACAGAATTGGCAGCTTACGCTTGCGATGATCATACTCGTACTCTAAAATCATGCAATGTTAGATATTCTGTCAAAAGAATTAAGCATCAATCTTATGTTTAACCGCTTACCGTCGTCACTGAAATCGTGATCAAACTGAATTTGTCTTGGCATGACGAGACGAGGTGGTGGATCAGGCGTAGTCTAAAAAAATAAGTTCTTAACCGTTTACGATTAAAAGACTAACCTGAGGCTTTTGTTCATTATGACCAACAACCTTTTGATATGGAGATGTGTGCATGCTGATTTCATTCTTCTTCTTGACAATTGCATTCTGAAAATAACTACTAAGTCAATCAACGGGAATTCCAAACTTTTGCAGTAATAAAAGGTGTAAAGCAGCAGTGAAGAAAGGCCAGTATGTACAAATAGAATGTTCCCATGTATGTCCGAATGGCGATACGCTATAAAAATAGCTTAGTGGATTCAGGAAACTGGTGTAGTTTAAGTTCTTTGCAGAAAAATAAAACCCACTGTGTTAATCATTTGTTGGTGTATCCGACGAAAGAGTAGCTTTGAACTGTATTGCTTCAGGAGTTCGCTTGTCGATGGTCTGTTGAGGTGATTGGCATCAAGCATCGAGAATATCAGCGAGCGCAAATCAGAGCCGAGATCTAAACCAAGAATTTTCATAACACAAGATTGGGAAAACGTACTCTTCAAAAAGCGTTCTGGAATGTTTCCATTGCGAATACTGTGCCATGCATCACCTTGACTCGGCAAGTCCAGATCGGTACCAACCTATAAAGATTTATTAGATTATGCTGACCAAAAGTCAAGCTACCTCCAGCAAAGTGATTCCCAAGCAGAAAATATCTGCAGCCTTTGTAGGTCCATGATTCAAAACCTAAAGAAAAGTTTGGAAAAGGATTATTTAACAAACAAGTATACCTCAGGGGCCAAATACTTGCTGTCGCCTTCATCGTAAGTTAGCGTTTTGTCCTTGACCAAGTCGAATATCAGTCCAAAGTCGCCGAGCTTGAAGATTGTGTCCTTTGTGATGAAGATGTTTTCCGGTTTGACATCAAGATGAATGAGATTTCTTTGATGAAGTTCGTCCAAGGCCATCACGATATCCGCAAACACTGTCCATATCACCGATTGTGAGATCTCGTGCTTTCTCAGGATGTAGTCAAACAACGATTCCTCACAAAGTTCCGTCTAGAAACAACACAATAATTGAACTAGACTAAAAATGCTTACTTGTATAAAGAGTCGTCCGCGCTCCTCCCATGCTTTGATGAATTCCACCAAGTTGTTGTGTTTGGGCAGCTTCTCATGTTTGTAAACCTCTCTAAACAAATAAAAATCGATGTTTCGAATTTACACTAAAGTCACCTCAACTTCAGCTCACGGTCTGCCTTTGCTTTGTATGGATTAAGAGCAATCTTAATCGCATATGCTTTGCCATCATCAAGCGAAACTGCTCTTACAACCTAAAAGTAATCAAGTTACTGGTAAAAGTGATAACTAAGAACCTCTCCAAAAGACCCTTCGCCAATTTTCCTTTCCACTCGGAAGCATTGCTCAAAGAAAGAAACGTTGCGATTTGTTGGATCGTAGACATTTGTAGTGTCCATCACTAAAAAGATAAGTTTAGCAATTACGGACGTAACTTTCAAACTTACGCATTTGTTGAAGAACATCCTCGTTTTTTTCCTTGAAAGTGACCAATCTGGGTGGCTCTTGAGCAAATCTAAAAGAAACAAAGTTAAACTAAATGCAAGATGTTTTACCTTCTTGAAGTTTTGTTCTTGTAGAGTGGCGGAGCGGTTTGCGTGTGTCTGAAAGGCATCGATCCATAGCCGCTGTACATCGGCGTCATCTTTCCCTAAAATTAAAAATTCAAGAGTAAGTCGACTGCCGAACGTCAATTTTTTGGCTTGCAATCAAATTAACCCAAATTTGCTCAATAAAAACGTAGTATAGGCTCATTATGTCGCACACTAACGGAAAGATATCTAAAGGTCTTATAAAATCTAGTCATTGCTCATACAACATTTTCATATAGTTAAACCAAAAAACCAAATCCGAACCCGGTGCGCTACTACACTTAGGGGGAGAGGGCAAAATTATAGTGACCGTTTTTGATGAGTTAATTGCTTTGTTTTTCAACTTTTTCTAGGGTAATCAGTCGCGCTGAATCGAATGGTGACATTTGCAAAGCGTTTATGAGAACTTGAGCTAATATTTGTCTGTTTAAAAGTCACGTGTCGCCATGTGGTATCTATTGAAAGGGCGACAGCGTTACCGAGCCTGAAGCTATATAAAACTCTTAAATTTAGACTAAAAAATCGAAACAAAACGGGAAATGGAATACAAGACGTGAAATCTAAGCGTTATTAAAGACTTTGGTACTTCGGAAAATTGGGAATTGGCCTCGAGAGGCGAGAAAACGGTCACTAAAAATTTTGTCCCTCATAAGTGTAGTAGTACCACTAACCCTCTCTCTTTTTGTCGACAAAACCGAATCCATAAACATCGGTCCAGGCGGCGGCGAGCTGAACGAGCTTATTGGCGGTCCGGTTTGGGTAGGTGGAGAATACTCCATTCTATCTGAAACACATAAAATTAGGATTTAGATGTGTAAGCAAGAAAATGAAAAAGAACTAGTAAAAAAACGAAGATCAAATAAATGTGAATGGTCAAGAAATAAGCGTCAAAAGGGAGGTACTGTGTAGTTTCAAAACATCTGCCGTCAATTTCCCGTTCATTCGCGCGTTTTTTGGTGCAATTACACTGACTGATAAGGCAAACTAAAGGAAGAAAGCAACAATAATTGTTAATCGTAAAGATGTTAATTGTAACGCGAACTTGTGAGAAAGATACTTGGAAGATGCAAGAAATGCATTAACGTGAAAACCATTTTTGAGTGTCCCGCCTTTGTTGCCGCTTCTGTACACTTATTACTCGAAACGGTGCAATGGTGGCGGCGCTTGAGAACTAATTTCTTGTGGGTGTAATTGTTTTTACGGGTTTGGACCAGAAAAAACGAAGTGAATAGGGTTTTTAACTTCTCTTTGTTGAAATCTTATCAATCAGCACTTGGTCAGGGCTATTTAAGGCTTTTGTTTCAACTTTAAAGCAAGAGCATCAAAAACCTTTGACTAAATGAGAAAAAATGACAGAAAGTTGCGAACCGTAAACTTGCTTATCGATAATATCTATACAAACGGCATGCTCATGTTTGACCGTTCAGATCTCTGTTTCTAGAACAGCTATCAATATGCAAATTGTTTCGTTGGAAAGTCAAGAATTTCAGCTTTTGATTGTTATTTTATACAGGTTTATACTATTTGATTGCTATTTTATGCTATGGGGGCTTTTAATGTGTGCTTCACATCATAAACCTTATCGATACTTATCGATATTTGAGTATCGATAAGTATTGATAAGCTTTTTAATGCACTTGCTTATGAGAATTTGCTATTTATAAAGTAGCAATCAAAAGCTGACATTCTTGGCTTTCCAATGAAACAATTTTCAGCTTGATAGCTGTTCTAGAAACAGAGACCTAAACGGTCAAACATGAGTTTGCCATTTGTATCGATAATATCGATAAGCCAGTCCAGCGAACCGTTCGCTTTCAAATCTCTTTTTATTAATTGACAATATCAGTCAATGACTGAATATCCTTAATTAAGAGTAAATCTGCATTAGTCTTATAAATAATGAATAGTTTTTGAGAATTTTGAGCTCTTGTTATAGTCTTATTTTTTGAACAATACCTTCAGATGGCTTCCGTAAGCTTGAGCAGGCGTCGACAGCGTCCCACCGGGAGTAATCTAAAGTTGCGCCGGCTCACGCAAGCCTATTTGGCACCACTGCGCAATGTTTCCCCGTCGCAGGCGAGTGTCGTCTCGAAAATGGATCAAATCTATGAACTGGGTGAGTGAGAAAGGCAAAAAAAAGAGTTAGCCACTAAAACTAAACTTGATTTCAGTGGAATACCTGGTTCTCGACGAGCAAAGTGTGACGAGTGGCCTCTTTCCTCGATATTCGAAAGACAAAGATGTTGGCTATGTGAAAGACAGCATTTATGCGGCACTCGCTTGCTGGGCTTGTTCCATCGCATACAAGTGAGTGAATATAGGGAAACAGTGACTGTAAACCTTTGAGTCAAAGAGGAAAAGCTACTGCAACTTACAGTCCTTAAACATTGAGATTTTAGAAGATTGGATGATGACCGTGGAAGAGAAACAGAATTGCGGCAAACTGCCGTAAAAACAATGAGAGGAATTCTCTTCTCGTGGATGCAACAAGCAGAAATGGTAATCTTTCTACAAAAGCTATTGGATGGTTCAAAAATTTGAGCAAAATAAAACCCTTTGAGTATGAAAAAAAACAAATTGAACCTACAAAAGCTATTGGATGGCTCAAAAATCCTTTTTGAGATTCCATTCCAATTCCATTCCAATTCCAAACCAATCCAAAAATATTCAAAATCAATCCCTCTTTCCAGTTGAACAAGTTTAAATCGAACAACTCTGTCACTTTTGCTTTACACTCAAGATTCGATCTCCAGACTGGAATGACCCTCACCACACCAAATGATAAGGTACTAGATATTTTTGATGTCTAGATATTCCACCAACAAAGATGTTTAGCATTACGGTCATCTCCAAATGGATCTCGTCGCCCTGTTCATCTTAGCTATGGTGCAAATGATTGTCGCCGGGGAAAAGGTAAGAAGGAAAAATTTTTTGAAGCCAAACAACTCTAGGTAATCTATACGCAACACGAAGTGCAATTCGTGCAAAATCTCGTCTTTTACATTGAGAGAACCTATCGTACTCCGGATTTCGGTATTTGGGAGAGAGGGACGAGGTACAATAGAGGAACACCTGAGCTCCATGCGAGCAGTGTAGGCATGGTCAAGGTAGGCTTTTGATTTTCAGCTTATTCAGATGTTAAAAGGCTTGATCAAGAAATACCATAAGACCGCTAAAAAGCTAAAAAGCTGTAAGACTATGCATAAAAAAAAATTTCAGGCAGCCCTCGAGGCAGTGAACGGTTTCAACGTGTTTGGTTCATGCGGTACTTCGTCATCGGTGATCTACGTCGATATCGATGGTCACAATCGAAATCGGACAACATTTGAGACAATTATTCCAAGAGAGTCTGCTTCAAAGGTTAGTCTAAAAAAGCCAGCAAGTATAGTCAAAATCTCTAAAAACCAATCCAATCCAATCCAATCCAAATCCAATTTCCATTTTAGACCACCGATGCCTCTTTATTGCTGACAGTCGGTTGGCCAGCTTTCGCCACTCACGACTCAAAGCTCTTCAATCAATCCGTCGAAAAAGTCGTGAAACATCTTGAAGGGAAATTCGGTTTCAAGAGGTAATGGGTAAAGAAGAAGAAGAAGAAGAGGAGGAAGAAGAAGAAGAAGAAGTAGAAGGGGAAGAAGAAGAGGAAGAGGAAGAAGGGGAAGAAGAAGTAGAAGAAAGAAGTTATCACTAGCCTAAAATTACTAAATACTAATTAAATGAACAACATTGTTTAGATTCCTTCGCGATGGATATCGAACGGAGATCGAGGACGCTTCTCGGGTTTACTATCACGAGCACGAGACTTCTCACTTTCACAACGTCGAATCGCAGTTTCCGATGTTCGTGGCAGTGATGTACATTACAGGTACATATACTAAGCTTATTGAAAATTTTGGAGCCAATAGTAAGCTTACTTACAATAGATTACTGTATATTTCGCAGTATATTACATCTAAAGCAAGTATTATCGTTAGATCTTACAAGTACTTTGATATCTGTAGTAGTAGCCAAGTACTGTACCTAGATTCAGTACTTGTTCTAGCTTGTACTGTTAAGTAACCAGTGCCAGCTTCAAATCTTTACCTCTGCTACACTACTATAATAAAATATAGCTAATTATTTTTGATAATACTCATTGGATTTATTTTATTATAGTACCCAAATTCAGCTGTAATCCGCGGAGAATCGACAATCGCGGAAAGATATTGGGAAAAACTGCAAACACTTCTAATGGACGATGAAGATGGTTAGTTATTAAATTTTAGATTTAGATTTAGATTTAGATTTTAAATCAAAAAAAGTTACAGTACCTGGTGGAAAACTTCTACCCGAATGCTATGTGGTTGATGAATTGAGCTATCGTCAAGAGAAAGCCACTCCCAACTCCACCGAACTTTATCCGCAAAATCCGCAAGAATTCGGGCATCATGTGTGGAGTAATTCGATCTACGTGATTGCTTTGTTGTTGCGTGAGTTTCCTTAAACCTTTCCAATCCTAAGAGGATCGCTAAATCGCTAGATAGCTTTCCAATCGCTAGATAGCTTTCCAATCGCTAGATCGCTTTCCAATCGCTAGATCGCTTTCCAATCGCTAGATAGCTTTCCAATCGCTAGATCGCTTTCCAATCGCTAGATCGCTTTCCAATCGCTAAATCCTAGACAAAAAGTAAGCAAGCAAAAGTAAGCAGAAAGTAAGTAGATTACAGGTTCACAGATAGTTTTATCTTAGAAGAAAATCTCATATAATATTCTGGGAATTGTTTACAAGTAGTAAAGTGATGAATTTTCATTTCCAGACGAGAGTCTCCTCCATCCGGGCGATATCGATCCACTCAATCGTCACCTCCCAGCCAGTCATCGTCCAAAAATCTTCAACAAGCACAGCGCTTTTCAAGTGGATTAAATTTATGAAATTGAAATTTGCAATTGTCTTACAATTGTCTTAGTAGTCTTGTCTTCAGTCATAGTAGCCATTTTTGCAGTCAATATGTTAGTAGAAACCAATCAATTTTCAGGGTTCAATGGAAGGCGATCCGGTTGTGCAAATCGCATTGATCGCTGAGTCGGCTCGTCTCCAAATGACCCTTTCCACTTACGGAATCTCCACTCAAACTCCACATGAAGTAGAACCCGTACAGATTTGGCCAAGTTGGAGGCTTGTCAAAGTAAATTAAATTTGAAATTTCAAGATTATCAATAAGTTTAGGTTTTCGAATGTTTGGGTAAAGATGAAAAGCTGAAAATCGACGGTCGACCACCGAGGCCTTTCGGTCCGCTTTCCACTTCAAAAGTAAGTTTTCAATGTTTTTTGATTTCTCGTGAATAATCCTTTTTGGGCTACCGTCTTTTCTTTAGATTTTTTTCTGTTTTACGTAATTTTGATTCCATTTGATACCGTTTGATTCATCGAATCGGAATTCCTGATCGAAAATCAAAACAAAAGAAAAGATTACCGATTCCTGATAGAATAAAAGCTAAAGGAAAGATTACGGCTTAAAGAAACTAGCTTTTTGAATTATACAATAAATTATAAAATAAAATATAAATAAATATAGATAATAAAATAGCTTGGGAAACGGAAGCGATCTTAATGAAAGATGTTTCATTAAGATCGCTTTCATTAATGATTCAGGGTTGTGTGTAGAACTGTTTAACTCCAGATTTGACTAAGTTTTTACATTTATCTGTAACTCATATCTAATCTTATCTATATCATAGCTTTCATTTCTCCAGGTGTATCGTGTTTTCGGCGACACCGTCCTATGCTATCCACTTCTGTTCGAAGTCGCCGATTTCTACGTGGCCTCGGATCCAGCCGTGCTCATCGATGATATAAAAGTATATCTAAAAATCTGTAGATAGTTAGATATAATCTACCTAGAAAAACAAATCTAGATCTTTATATCTTTATATCTTTATATCTTTATAACTTTATCGTTATATAAATTTATATATCTATATCTTTATACTTAAGATTCCATAAATCGATTCTATAAATCAATTCCATAAATCGATTCCATAAAGATAGAGATTCCATAAAGATTCCATAAAGATTCCATAAAGATTCCATAAAGATAGAGATTCCATACAGATAGAGATTCCATAAATCGATTCCATAAAGATTCCATAAAGATAGAGATTCCATAAAAATTCTATAAAGGTGCCATAAAGATTCCATAAAGATTCCATAAATCAATTCCATAAATCAATTCCATAAATCGATTCCATAAAGATTCCATAAAGATTCCATAAAGATAGAGATTCCATAAATCGAATTCCAGCGTGAGATCGAGTTTATCGCTCGCCGTTGGAAGCTCTCCGGTCGGCCAACGATGTGCATTTTGTTGAGGTAAACGATTTATCAACAAGATGATTTATTTAGATATAAAAGTATATCTAAATAAATCATCTTGTAGATAAAATGTAGCTAAATTATAAGAATTTCAAAATTTCAGAGAAGAAAACGTATTGGGTCCATATTTTGATCATATGATGGATCTGCTTGTGCAGTTGAAGAACGGCTTTGTCAATGGAATACGCGTGAGATTAGGAAGAGTTCATGTAAGTCTACAAAATCGAATTTAAAATATCTACAAAAGATTTTAGCAACTGTTAAACTCATCTTGCATTGAGCATGTCGATTTCGCAAACTCGGACGATGTCGAGTTCGACATTGGACGATTAGAGGAAGCTGAAGGTTTAGAAATAACGAATAAAATGACAATTTAGCTGAAGATCTTTATCTTTATCTTTATCTTCCCTTCTAGAAATTCACAGATTTTTGTTTAAAATTCGATTTCAGGACCGGGCGATGGAATCCGTTCTCGGCAAAGCCTCAAAGAAGCCACCGATGATGAAACGACGAAAGAAGTCAGGTTTTGGTTTGATTAAATCAGAAACTCGTGTCTTACATTAATCAAACTACATAATCTAACAATACCTAAGCCAGAGGGGGTCAATGAAGGCAAATACCTTCTCCAAAATGTTTTTGAAGAGGCAAAAATGTATAATTTTCAAAAAGTTTGCCCCTAAAGCAAGAAATTTTTACTTCCATTGCCCATTTTTCTTTAAAAAATTTGAATTTCTATCAAAAATCTGCGTCAAATTTGGAAAATAGCTTAAAATTTGCGAGAATTTGACTTAAAATCTGCAATTTTTATGTTAAATCTGTAAATTTTTGGTCAGGCTTTGGCTTCTGCTTACTTCATAGGCTTAGGCTTGGACTTAGTGCGTAGGCTAGCGCTAGCGCCTAGCACTAAGTCTATTTGGGTTTGGGCTGAACCCCCATTTTCTGGATCTTAGCCAGTTCTCGGAGCTAAGGGACACCCGTTTGGTGATGTGCATGCGCCCCCCATCGAAGCATCTTGACAAAATTTTTAGGCTTAGGCTTAGGTTAGCAATTGCCTGGAAAGGAAGGAAAGCCTCATAGGCTTTAAGCTCTCAATCTTCTGCTTACTTCTGCTTTAAGCTCTCAATCTTCTGCTTACTTCACAGGCTTTGCTCTCAATCTTCTGCTTAGTTCATAGACTTTAGGCTCTCAATCCTACATAATCTAGCTTTTCTCAATACAATATTTAACTGTTATTGGTGAAACTTGATTGTTATTTTCAAACTTTAGTCCGATTTCCATGCAATGTCTGATAACGATTTGTACGAATTGCTGACAAGAGATGAAACGGAGAGACTTCGGGGAACGGCTTTCGCGATCGCCGTTCTTTGGAAGAGACACGGGCCAGAGTTTCAAGTTGGACACGGTACGCTTTGAAAAGTTAAAGTTTAAATGTCAAGAAATGATAGCTTTAATAGCTTACTATAGAAAAAGCTTTGAAATCTATTTCAATCATATTTCAATCTATTTAAATCAATCCCTTTAGTCACCCTCCACGATCGACTCGAGCGTCTCTATCGAGTCGCCTGTCAATTGAGGATGTGGTGGCTCGTTCGGTGAGTTTTATCAGCTATTTTGCTAGAATTTATTGGTTAGTATTAGTTCTATTATAACTTATTTATTCATAACTTATTTATCATTTTATCTAAAGATATTGTGCTGGTCGACTGCAAAAAACCGTAAACAGTTTGGCGCCTTCGATCACAAATCTGCTCGTACGTGGAAAGCAGGTTTGTTATTTGAATTCAAATTTCAATGCAATAAATAATAGACATCTAGCTGAAAACTTCAGGTAACAGTGGGCGTCCGATCGATGCGCGAAGTGACCGTCTCAACCCCGATGGCTCCATCCGATCTTTTTTCACTTCTTTTCTCTTGTTGTCCATCCGATGAACCACAAATGGCTTGCATTCAACAAGAGCTCATCATTGCATGCGCTGATTTGGTCAGTTGAGTTGTCATTTGGTCAGTTGGTCAGTTGAGTTGTCAGTTGGTCAGTTGAGTTGTCAGTTAGTCAGTTTGTCAGTTGAGAACAAGTCAAGAGCTAATTCTCATCATTTGCTGAAAATTGATTCCTTTTGCGTGCAAAATGAATGATCCGCTTGTTTTCAGATCGGGCAAACACCGGATTCCTTTTCGGGAGTGTTGACGGTGCGGCTTGCCTGGTTGGCGGACGCTATTCAGGTAAAAGGTCTACAGAATTGCTAGAAAGGGAATTTTCGAGTCAGATTTGTTCTCGACTGAGTAAGCTTGGCTCCAGTCTCTAGAAAAAGCCAGCTGACATTGTCAGTGCTGTTCCAGCTTGGTTGTCTGGACTGCAATCGATCCAGTTGGTCCATCCCTGGTTATACAGGAGTCAGCTAACTTGTAAAATCTTTAACCTTATCCGACTGTAAAGAAATGAAGGAATTGGGAAGAAAAGGGAATTGAATCTTTGACCTTTTGCTTTGCAATTGCTCTAACCACTGAGCTATCTGGTGCCTTAACTTGACAAGAAAAAGAAGGAGGAAGAAGAAAGGGAGAAAGGGAGAAAGAAATCTCTTCTTCAGATGTTACTCTCCTACGTGCGTACCTCGGAGCTAGTCGGAAACTCAGGGAAACAAGAGACTTTCTACAGTCCGCCAACACCAACAACAACTGGGATTCCAAATGGTGGGTGGATAATTTTGCTTTTACATTCGAATGCAGTGCCTTTTGATGACATCAAAGAAATCCCAGGGTTCCCATTTGTGCTGAGATTTGTTTAAATGAGTTTATGGCTCAGTGAGTCTTTCTTGAATTCTTTCTTTGTCTTTCTTGAAGTCTTTCTTGCATTGACGTGGGTTCAATTTTTGTACTCAAAATATTCGAATTAGATTTTGTATAGATAAAATAGAAACATAATTGAATAGAATTGCTTTTTTAAGAAAAGTTTTTAAATGAGTTTTAAATGAGTTTTCGGTCTAATAAACATAAATCTCTAAACATTTCCGAGTAGAGGAGCACAAATTGAGTAGCAGATTAGAGGTTTTAAAGGTGAAAATGAAGAAATTATGAAATTGATTTGAAATCCTATGTCAAGTAAAGTAAAATACATGATTAGGGCACTATGAATATTGTATTTATAGCGTGATAGCAATAGAAAATGAATCCAGATTCAATTCTTGCAAGCTTTCTTGACAAAAGAGCCTTGTGAAATTAGATACCAACGCCTTTTATACCCTTCTTTAACATTGAGTACTGAGAAATTTGATTGTATTAGGTTGGCAACTTAATAATGACGCGTCACTACTTAACATGTTTTTTGTAATTTCAAGCGCCGTTTCTTCCCTCTTTTTTGCATATATACAAAGTAAAAGATGTCTACATAAATAACATTTAGTGCTCCAAATTTCATCATTTGCTTTTTGGCAAAAAAAGAGGACAAAAAATTCCGCATTGTTCTACGATTGTTCTACGATTTTAAACAAGGAAAATCACCAGCTGAATCTCATCGCACGATCATCACTGTTTTTCGAGAGGAAAGTATACACATTCGTCAATGTCAACGATGGTTTCAAAGATTCCAAGGCGGCGATGAAAGCCTCGTAGACGAGCCACACCAAGGACATCCTCCAGAAGTGGTCGACGATGACTTGCTCGCCTTAATTGAAGATTGCCCAACACTCACCGTTCGTGAGTTGGCAGAAATATTTGAAGTATCCCATATGACAATCAAAAACTATTTACACAAACTTGGGAAAAGAATCGAGTTGGAAAATGGGCTCCTCACGAGCTGACCCAGAGCAACAAAATGTCGCCTCAATTTTGCTACAAAAATACAAATCAAACGACTTTTTTCACAGGGTTTTGACTTCTGACGAAACGTGGATCAACTACGAGAACGTTAAACGCAAAAATCGATGGCTATCTGCTGGGCAGACCCCTCAAACCACTCCCAAATCTGATGTCCATGGGAAGAAGATAATGCTCTGTTGCTGGTGGAACCTCAAGGGATTGGTACATTATGAAGTGCTGAAACCTGGCCAAACCGTCGATGCTGATCTTTATTCGAAGCAATTAATGAGAGTTAACGAGTCTCTGAAGAAATTGGGGCTCAAACCGGAGAGAGTCAGATTTTGACACGACAACGCAAAACCTCACACTGCAAAGATCACTTATAAGAAAATCGAGGAACTTGGCTGGAAAGTTTCCTCGCGTCTTATTCACCTGATCTGGCTCCTTCAGATTACTTTTTGTTTCGGTCGGTGAAGCACTTTTTGGAGGGAGAAAAGTTCGATGATCATGTTCAGGTCATAAAAGCAGTGAATGACTACTTCGCCTCAAAAACTCCCAAGTTCTTCGAGGATGGGATCCGGGATTTGCGCAGAAGATGGGAAGGAGTCATAGATACTAATGGAGAATACCTTTCGAATTGAAAGCTCTTCTTTTGTGTTTTTTTGAAATAAATGATTTGTTACATAAACGCGTCATTATTAAGTTGCCAACCTAATAGATGTAATAGCTGTAATAAAGAAATGAAAGAATTGAGAAGAAACCTTCGATCTTTTGCTTTGCAATTGCTCTAACCACTGATCTATCTGGTGCCTTAACTTGGCAAGAAAAAGAAGGAGCAAGAAGAAAGGGAGAAAGAAATATCTTCTTCAGATGTTACTCTCCTACATGCGCGCCTCTTATTACATCTTATTACAGTACTATTTGATCCTGTTGAAACTTAGAACATCAAGGATACGATGACTTTCCCTAACTAGGGAAAAGGGATGCTATTCAATTTACACCTGGTTTTTGAGCTTTTCAGCCTTTTGAGCCTGGTACAGCTTTTTGCGCTGATTCCGAATATCTAGATGGTTTGGATGATGTGTTGAAATTCGCAAGCTTTACACGTCCAAAGTTTCACGTTTCCCGTCACCTCCAAAGTTTACACAGATTTTTTTGAGCCTGGCTTTTTTCGACCACGGATAGTGAAATGACTTTTGTTGGTCGTGCGGGCGTGAGGTCATAGCCTACTGGTTAGTGTGCTTGCCTTCAGTCCTTTACCTCCCTGGTTCAAACCCAAATTTTATCGATGATCGTTCACTTCACTCCTGGTTCAAGATCAAGAAAAAAAAAAGCCTCTATTCATCTTAATATCATCTTAAAAACAATGTAATTTGATTTCTCTAAAAAAGCAAAAAAAAAAAAATTCTCATTTGACTACAAATCCCGGGATTAATTTATTAGAGAAATGGGGGGAAAAAAAAAGGAAAATTTTTCTCTATTTACCCCACTCAAGTGCCATTTCCGTCGATTAACACAGAAAAAAGCTTTAAAAAAAGTAATTTTTCGGATTTTTTTTTTGATGAGATTAAGTAAAGTAGAGGGTGGGATTGAGCAAAATTGAATAAGAAAAAAAGGGTATTCAGTGAACTCTTTGTGATTTGGATTAAGTCTAGATGAATAGAGATGGATAGAGATGGATAGAGATGGATAGAGATGGATAGGAATGAATAGAAATGAATAGAAATGGCTGGAAATTGAATAGAGATTGAATAGAAATGAATAAAACTTCTGTAAACGAAGATAAAAGGGATATTTGTGTGTGTTAAAGAGTGAAAATTCGCCACGTGATTCGCAAATTTGCGGATTTTCTGTATCACAAAATGGTATCATTGGAAAAACATCATTTCTAGATGAACTAGATGCGATGTGTTGACAGTTTTTGAGTATAAAGTACACTTGAAAAGGTGTAGGGCACTTGAAAATGGGCGAATTGTGAGGAGAAGTTTTGCTAGAGCATCTCAGCTTTGTACAATTATCGAATCACTTCATTTTTTTGCATCTTTCAATATACTTTTGCATAGAAAATCAAAGTTGATAGATTTGATAAAAACGAAACAAGATTACGATAGTTTATAGCACTTTTTAGAAAAAGCTTTATCTAAAAGAAGAATCTAAAATAGAAGACAAGCTTTGGCTGATTTTGGTGACCAGAAAACTTTTGCAATGACTCTTTAGATAGCTTTAGAAAAGCTCTTGAGAAAAGCTTTAGCTAAAAGAATAATCTAAAATAGAGGACAAGCTTTGACTGGTGGCCAGTAAACTCTTACAATAACTCTTTAGATCAACCATTTAACCCTGATTTAAGCTCGTTGAAACATTTTGAAGATCTAAGCATCTAAACATCTAAACATCTAAACGATCTAAACAATCTCTTTTTCAATCAAAGTTTGTTAAAAAGTATTTAAAAGAAGAATTTTCAGAAATCCGCAAGAACAGCATCTATGACCTGTCGCCAACTGTGGTCAAAGATGTGCTGAGTGCGCTATTGGCGAGAAAAGTTTGGCATCTATTGTAAGTGAGAATTTTCTTTTAATAGTTTCAGTTTCAGTTTCAATTTGACGATTAAATATTTGCAGAACTCCTTTGCAAACTCGTCGTTTAAATGGAGCGTTGAATCGGATGCCTGAGGGTTTCTATGATCGAGTTTGGGGCATTCTCGAGAGAGCTGATCACGGGATTTCGATTGCACATCAGCTTTTGCCACAGGTTTTTCTTTGAAAGAAGATTTTATTAGAGAAGATCTAGAGAATAGGAAATTGTATAAGAATTTGTGAAATTCTAAAATATCTTTATGTAAAATAAGAAGCAGAAAGTTTTTCAAGTGGGAGATTCGTTCCTTAGACAAGCATGGAGCGTTGACTACAAAAGAATCGTTCCTTAGACAAGCCCACTAGCCGCAACACTATGATTCCCCGTTGAAAGAGAAGCGTAAACTCAGCTCAAGAATGTAAGCTGTAAGCTGTAAGCAAAAGCTCATGCCAGAAATCTCGCGTTTGCAAGCTATTCAAGAGATTTCGATTACAGAATCGAATTCCGCATTCGATTTTCTATCGGATTTCTCGTTTCGAAATCCCACAGTGATCTAGTACTCTTCCCTAGTTAACTAGAAGATTTTCTATCGATTCCCGTATTCTCTCTAATAGAAGGTTTTGATAAGCGTAGGCACCCTGAGCGTTACCTAAATTCCTCGAAAACTCGAGAACCGCTTATCAGAACCTATTGATGTGGGGTCGGAAAATGTAGCTGACAATGAGATCTAGTCGGGGATTTGAGTGTTGAGCTTCTGCGAAAGCTTGGAAACCGTAAAATAGTCACCAACTCGGCTCTACTATTAGAGAGAATACAGTAAATCATTTCTAAACGATGGGCTTCTGGTTAGGAAAAGGTTACCGGTACTTACCCACTAAATAACTAAATAACCCATTCTAATAGTCGGTACTAGTCAACAATTTTAGAATTACCCCTACTAGCAGTATTGTAGACTAAATTCCTCGAAATCTCGAGAACCACGTATCAGAACCTATTGATGTGGGGTCGGAAAATGCAGCTGACGATGAGATCTAGTGAAAGATTAGAGTGTTGGGCTTCTGCAAAAGCTTGGAAACCGTAGTCATCAACATCATAAATAGTGATCAACTCGGCTCTACTATTAGAGAGAATACGGTAAATCTTTTGCTAAACGATGTGCTTCTGGTTAGGAAAAGGTTACCGGTACTTATCCACTAAAAACAAAGGAAATTTTCAGTCTGCGGTCCCTTTTAGTTTAGCTTTAGTTCTTACACACCAAATAAGAGCTGATTAGTCGAAGTGATTAGTAAAATTTGCATATTTTAAAGTGAGAATAGAAATTGTTGCCTTATCGGAATGTTTTCAGCAACCAACTCTCTCCGATATGACCAAATACGAGTTGACATTCGCATATCGAATCGAGCAAATGATGAGCCAAATCGCGCATCCAGAGTACCGGCAGATTTTGGTGGAGGTGAATAAAATAAATAAAATCGTTTCTGAATTGTTTTTAAATCAAGGATGGAATATGTGGATAGTTCGGAATTGTTCTGGCTTGGCTTGCAGGTTTTAGCAATTACTTGGAATAAGTAATTGCTAAAACCTGCAAGTCAAGCCAGAACAATTCCGAACTATCCACAAGGCTGGCCAGGCGATTCTAGAACTTTGTGAGCCAGGCCTATTTAAGAAAATCAGTTTAACAGTTTAACATTCGTGTTCTGGTTGGAGATTGGATCCTCTTGCTAATCCTTTTTTTCCTTTTTTCTAAAAGACATCTGTTTTAGATTACTCGAGATAAGCAGAGTCGTTTTTTTTTATTTGAAAACTCAAAAGGTAAATAGCCGGTGTAGAAACGAAGGATATGGACAAATACGAGTTGAATTTGCATCTCGAATCGAAAACACTTACAATTCAAGATCTAAATCGAGATTTCTAAGCACTCAATTCAAAGATCCGGGTTCAAACCCTCAGCAAAACCAAAAATCGGTCCTTAATTCCGCAAATTCCGTGAAAAAAGCTGTAATTGAAGGAAAATCCAGAAATTATCGAATATCGAATCGAAAACACTTACAATTCAACATCTAAATTGTTATTTGTTTAGTTGAACTGATTAGTAAAATTTGCATATTTTAAAGTGAGAACGGAAATGGTTGCCTTATTGGAATGGTTTATGGTTTATGCTTTGTTTTGCCTTATGTTTTCAGCAACCAATCCCCCTCCGACATAACCAAATACGAGTTGAATCGAAAACTTACCATTCAACATCTAAATTGTTATCGAAATCGAAATGTGACTTCTTTTTTGACTTCTCAATTTAAAGATCCGGTATCAAATCGTCAGCAAAACCAAAAATCGGTTCTTAATTCGGCAAATTCCGTGAAAAAAAAGCTGTGATTGGAGGAAAATCCTGAAAGCTTATGCTAAAAATAGTCAAATCTTTCTTGATTTTTTGACTTTTCAATTAAAAAGGCCAAGAAAATTAAGCTGATCATTCGTCAAAAAACGAAAAAAGAAAAGTGAAAAAGCAGCTTATTACGAGGGATCTTTTCAAGGATTCAGCGGATTTATTGCTCAAAAATAGCCTTTATTATTTGTTATTTTTCTCTCGAAAAATTCTGAAAGATTACAACAACGCAAGAGCTATTTTTAATTTAAACAATTTATGGATTCAGCTTTTTTCTCGCAATTGTCGGAGATGATCGGCGTAATTTGTAGAGTTGATCTCATTGAACTTAAGCAGCTTTTCTTTGTATCTTGTGCTCATTGAAATTTGAAACGCACCCTTTCTGGCGCACTGGTTTCCACATTTTCATTTGGAGATGCTTGAGTGCAAGAGAAGGAGTGTGTTTACAATATTGTGAGCGCAAAATGCTTGCTGAGCAAAGTTTGGTTTCTAATTTGAGTTCAATTCTTGACACTGGTCAAGTTTTGAAGCTCAAATTGAACAAACAGGCGGCAGACGTGCTGTAGCAGCAAGAATATTTCAAATAAACCTTAGAACCATGTAAGCGAGGCCAGAGACAGTCAATAGTCAGATCTAGCGACTTGCTTCTGGTGAGTTTAGCCTTGGTCAGAGGCTTCGGGCTTGACCCAATATTACAATGCTCTTGACTCAAGACGGCCATTAAGATTCATCAGGGTTACTGTAGACCCATCATAGGTCCAACAACAGTATTGTAAGCAGCTAGGGACTGGTCAGCTTGGCCAGAGATCAAGAATATTACAACCGGCTTAGGCTGGCTTCTGACCAGTCAATGCCTTGCTTCTGACCAGTCTATGCCTTGCGTGGAGGAAAGGCTTGTAAGTGAGGCTTATGTTCATTGACTTATGTTCAAAACTCATTCATTTAGCTACTTTGCATTGTTGCAACAATGCTTGAGAGAAACCCGGAAATCCATTTCGGTGAGCTGCTCGATTGTGATGAGGTGGGGCGAAAGAAATGAGTCAAAACACTAGAATCATCTTTCAGATGATCAAGAAAGCGTTTCTCATCTACGCCTCTTCGACGAACATCAAGAATACAGTGGGTCGAGTCTTTTGTTTGCAACTTGTTTCTTTTCAGGAAGATCTAACTCCATTCTATCAACTCGACAACATCGCGATGAACACGAGTACAGCCACGTTTTTAACAAAGGTAGAGTAATGGATGAAATTTAGTAGATAATTTTAAACTCAAACTCAAATGCAAATGAAATGGCTAAATGTTTAAAAAAAAGCATTTATTTGTCAAAGCTGTGGATAGTTTTTTTTCTACTCAGTGTATTTTGCAGAGGCTTACTATTCAGCCACTCCAAATAGACCATCCAGAAAACCGTTAGCATAAACTTCTAGCGCAATTCAGGCTTTGGATTTGTTTTTGGGCACCCATTGACGTTTCCTCAAGTCAAATCAGCCTAAACTAGAACCAGGAGAGTTTAGATTCCAGGATCAGACCTTAGTCTGAGTCCTGGAGTCTAAACTCTAAACCAAGGCCAAGTCAGGTCATGATAGAGCAACTTTAAAAGTACTAGAGCGTACTGGAGTGCACTAGAGCGTACTGAAGTGTACTAGAGCGTACTAGAGTGCACTAGAGCGTACTGAACTCTACTAGAGCGTACCATACCTGCAACTGGAAATTTCATATGACTAAAGATCCAATATTCAATAGTATCTGTGCTTTAAACCCGATTCCGAACTCTTGAATTGTTGCCTTAAATCCCCAACGTCATCCAGCCAAAGTTATCAATGTTCTGTTTATGTACTAAATGCATAATGAGGAAATCTTTTTCCTTTAGGTCTTCCTAAGAAGTTTCTCCAACTACATTTTTATAAAAGAGCCCCTTCATTGAAGGATTTCCGAATGACGGTGTCATTTTTTTTTCCTAGCTTCGTGATCAAAGAATGTTTCAGATCATAGAAAATTTCCTGAATTGAGAGATGTTTGTGGTCAAATTGTAAACGATTTTGAGTAAATGATTGGGGGAATGTGTTTTCGAAAAGCTACCGTACTCAATCCCGTCAAAAGGCTACCGTACTCTGGTTGCTTTAAGACTTTAAATGAAATTAAGGCTTAGAGACTAGCATCACTGGCTACAAAGTGGTAAAAGTAATGAATGATAGAGTCAAGCAAGAGTACTGCATGAGTACGATAGTACTAATAGTACAGTAGCTTTTGTAGCTAGAGTACAGTAGCTTTTTACAGGAGTGCGGTAGGTTTTGTTGAAGAGTACGGTGCTTAGAGTATAGTACTTAGAGTACAATGGCCTTTCATCTTGCTCATCCTTATTCTCTGGATGTACTTTGTGCTCAAGAACGCACCCCTTTTGGCCTCCTGAATTCCTCATTTTTCCTAGAGCAACAAATGCAAAACGACAAATTCATTGAGCCAGAAGAGATGTGTTTCCAGCACAAAGTACTAACGATCTTGCAAAATCCTTAAACCCGACACATTTCCGAGAATCCCTCAAAGTTGATTGACTCAAGAATTTGCTTTCCAGAGAAAATGGATTGGAGAAAAGCCTTGTGACGTCTTTTGCTTCAATCCATTTTCTTTTTTTCTCATTTCATCGCCCACAAAACATTTTTCCAAAAGCTTTACCGGATTAATTGTCATAAACCTCAAGAAATCCCCACTTATCTATGAGAAAAACATTATTTTTCAACGTAGACAAAAGCTTTCCCCGCATTTTTTTTTGCCCACAATCGATGACTTTTCGCCTTCTGATCCTTTGATTTGCAAATCTGTGAATAATGAAGACTTTTGGAGGGGGAAATGTCAGCGTTACGTAGCGTTGAGTCACAGAAGAGATCATTTTGCAAAGAGTAGTGTGGATTCGTATGTTTTATGAAGGGAAAAGGTAATGCTACAAACAGTTTCTCAGCTTGTTTCCCCGAAAATTTCAGTCTAGAAACCGCTTTTTCTTAAATACTTTGGAGGACTTATATAATTTATCTTAAAGACTTTTTCTTAAATACTTTGACTTTCTAAGCTACTGTACTCTAGCTATAAAAGCTACTGTACTATTACTATAAACTATCGTACTCATGCAGGAAAAGTTGCAATAACTTATATATTATAAAGTACTAAGGTCAGAGTACTCTCATAGTTAGATTTTAGGTGTTAGACTGAACTTTTCATTACCTCACAATGAGATTTATCATTAGAGAGTTGAACTTATAGGGATTTGTAAAATCTAATCATAATCTTAACATATTTAGTCTAATGCTTGCAGAGTTGAAACAATGAAAGTAAATGAAATGCACCTAAATGTCAGTAATAGTACAGTAGCTTTTGTAGCTAGAGTACAGTAGCTTTTTAGTGGAGTACGGTTGCTTTTGTTGAAGAGTACGGTGCTTAGGTACAGTGGCTTTTCACAGGAGTACGGTAGGTTTTGTTGAAGAGTACGGTGCTTAGAGTACAGTGGCTTTTCACAGGAGTACGGTTGCTTTTGTTGAAGAGTACGGTGCTTAGTGCTTAATGTAACACGATGTAATTTAAATATCACTTCAAAGGAATAAATGCGGATGTCTAAAAGGAAAATGAGAGAAAAGAAAGGTTATTGCCTGGTTGGTATTGCCCGGTAAGAACTCTATAGAGAATACAGAGAATCAACAAAGTTCTCAGCTTCAGAAAGAGACGCTGCAAAATGATTTTCTTTATACTTTGTAAGATTGTTCACTTTGTAGGCCGTTGTCGAGCATGTGCTTCAAGGCCGTCACCTCTCTCGTCCAATCGATATCTTTCAATCACCACGAAGACATGAGAGTTCTGCATCCACTAAGGAAACATTAGAAAGTCCGATAAATGAAGCAGAAAGATGTAAAGTTCAGTGAAATGGATGATATTAAGATATTAAGTTCATATCTAGAGTAGATTTAGTCTATTTCTTAGTCTAATTATTAGTCTAATCCTTAGTCTAATCCTTAGTCTAATTATTAGTCTAATTCTTAGTCTAATCCTTAGTCTAATTCTTAGTCTATTTCTTCTTCTTCTTCTTAGTCAACCTATTAACTCTTAGTGCTTGCTTATTCTTTATAAACTTTTGATTATTTTTTTAAAGCTACCGTAACCGAATTGCGATTTAAAATAGTGGTTTACTTGAGTGAGTTACGATGTAAAGAATCTATATTTGTTTTCCAAAGACTCTATATTTTAGAAAGGCTTCTAAAGTTTATTTAAAAGAGTTTGTTAAATGAAAATGCATAACAATTGCTCAAAAAAAGGAATTAAAAATGAAATTTTGGCATTTCCGTAAATTTCTGCTGATTTCTGTAAATATTCTGTAGTTTTATGGTTATAGATTTTAAAAAAATTGAATAAACTTTTTTTATTAACAAGATTTTCAAGTTGATAGAAGGAGAAAAAGCATAGAAAATGTTAATGAATTAATGAATGATAGAGTCAAGCAAGAGTAGCTTTTACTGCATGAGTACGATAGTTTATAGTAATAGTACAGTAGCTTTTGTGGCTAGAGTACAGCAGCTTTTTAGAGGAGTACGGTAGCTTTTGTTGGAGAGTACGGTGCTTAGAGTACAGTAGCTTTTTGCAGGAGTACAGTAGGTTTTGTTGGAGAGTACGGTGCTTAGAGTACAGTGGCCTTCCCTCTTGCTCATCCTTATTCTCTAGAAGTACTTTATGCTCAAGAACGCACCCCTTTTGGTCTCCTGAATTCTTCATTTTTCTTAGAGCAACAAACGCAAAACGACAAATTCATTGAGCCAGAAGAGATGTGTTTACGTGAGTGCTAGTACCGATTGTTTTTCCAAAGAATCTAGAAAGGTTTCTAAAGTGAATTTTGGCATTTCTGTAAATTTTGGTGCTGATTTCTGTAAATATTCTGTAGTTTTATGGCTTTAGATTTTTTAAAATTGAATAAACTTTTTTTATTAACAAGATTTTCAAGTTGAAAAAAGGAGAAAAAGCAGAAAAAGCATAGAAAATGTTGAAATGATCATATGCAAGTTGAGATTTGAATTTGAAAAGCGAATAGATGAATGATGAATGATGAATGATGAATGAAAAGGGAAAAGTTACCGTAATCCTTTTGTAATTTTATTTTTATTTTGAAAATCATTTAGATCTTCATAGGAAAAATAAAGAAAAAGACAAAAAAAGACAAAAAACTAATTTGATTAAAAAAAATTCATTAGAATCTAACTAAGAAATAAACTAAAGGATTACGGTAATTAGAGCAATCTTTAGAATAGTTAAACAAAAAGAAACTCGACAAACAATTACAGTAAACTGTAGCTACAGTACGCTACAGTACACTACACTTAAGTTACACATTTTGTTTACTCTGTGAACTTGCATTGATCACTGTAAAGGGATTCTATCAACTAGATATTACAAAGATAAAGATCTTCATTAAGCAGACTAGACTAGAATTGACTAGGAGAAATTCTTGATTAGACTACGATCAATTCCGACTTGACTACAATCAATTCTTGACTTGACTACGATCAATTCCGTGTCAAATAAGAGTCAACACTTGTAAGTCCGTTTTTTCAGGACTCTACTTTAATCATCATCATCTACTGTAATCATTTTCAATTTTACTCACTTAAACTTTATTGTTTAGAAAGAGTGAAAGGAATTCGAATGATAAATGAAAAAGAAAAGAATAAATCAATCAAACTCAAAATGAAAAATCGAAAAATTGGATCCCCATGGGGGATACAGTAGTTGATATCCGTGGGTTGAATCCATGACGAGGATCACCGCGAAGGATAGGGAATGAAGGGGATTTGTTGAATGAGGAAATCAAGCCTGGAGAGAGGAAAGTTGTTGGAGGAGAAGGGTTCGTTGAAGTGAGAAGAGGAGATCGTTTCCATGGATCGGCATCTGGAAAGATCAAGTGATTAGGATTTGAGTCACGATTTGGCAAACCTCAAACACTTGGCTTATTAGTTACTAGCCTAACTAATAAGCTTACTAGCCTACTGGTACTAGATTGGTGTGGCTAAGCAAGCAGGGTTCTATCCAAGTACTACTGTATTGCATCGTATTCTGTTTACAGCACTCTTGGCTTAACTTCAGTCCCACAGTACCAGTTCATTACAGTACTCTTTCCTACAGTCTATTGCCTACAGTCTATTGCCTACAGTAAGACTATTGTCTTCAGTATAATTCCAGTACAGTACTCTTTGATTACAATACTATTATTGTGTCATATCATTTTCGATGCTCACCTGCATGAAAGCCGGTTGTGGTTGCACGGGGACAAAGGCTGATGGGAGAATGGAAAAGCAGCTGGATGAGAGCATCAATTGGTTCAAATAATCTTGCAGAAGATCTGAAGAATGTTGAGTGAGTGGAGGTGATGGAGTGAGTGAAGAAGTGGGTGATGTGGTGCCCGACGAGGAGACCGAGGACGGCAGAGAGATCGACACGTTACGCTGGGTGCCGTTCGACGAGTAGTGCACCTCAGTGGAAGCGTTATCTGGAAGCAATCGTTGTACTGTGTTCAGTGTACTGTAGCTACAGTATGCCTTGTTACCGTCTTAGTATTGTCTACTATGCGTACAGTATGCCTTGTTCTCTAATCTGTCTACAATCTACAGTATGCCTTGTCCTCTAATCTGTCTACAATCTACAGTATGCTTGTCCAAGTGCAGCAGATCACCAACTTAGCTGTTTTAATACAATGATACTATCGTTATCCTACCGTACCCCCTCAAAAATTAGCATAACAAGTTGAATTCCTATTTCCGTAATCGTAAACAGCTTCTTACATCTATTTACAATATTTCCAGTTTTCTATTTTTATTCTTTTCCAATCGAATAAACAACCCTTTTGCTTACATATATGCAAATCCCTTTTTGAATTATATTTATCATTTCTATTTGTGAAATAATCGTCATTGAGAAGCCGACCCATGGATTATCGGCTATGAGCTATGATGAGAATTTAAAGCTGCATTTAATCCATAAAAGCTTAAGATGACAAATGGGCAGAGTTGAGGCTAGGTAAAGAGCTTGACTACGTGTGATGAGATCATGGGCGAAATAACAAAAAGGGTTCGGGTGACGTTTAAAAGATGTGGAAAGGTATCGTATTCCAACTCCTCTAAAGTTACTTTACTCCAGGAGAATGGTCGTGGATTATTGTAAGAAATAGTTGCAAGCTACGGTTGTAACATTTTTTTGAAAGACGCGGAAAGCTACCGTATCTCACTCCTACAATACCGTATGCCAAGACTGCAGACTAGCTTTCAAAGTCCGTTTCAAAGTCAGTGTCAAAGTCAAAGTTCAAAGTCATGTTCAGAAATCTCCCAAATTCCATTTCTAACCTAGAAGCTTCAGCTTTCAATTCTCACCTTGTGCCGGTGCTTCTCCTTTCGGAATGATTCTCAAGCGAGTGTTTCCATTTTTCGATTTCACCGTCTGCAGCAGAGCATTCGACTGATCCGGGCGACGGTGCCGGAAGCGGCGAATGAGCGCAGACGCCCGCATCGACATCACCGCCGAGCACTAGAATTCAGATAGGTAAGCTTTGATCTGACAATGTTAATATCCTAGTACCTGTAATCTCCTCTACCATTATTACAATAAACTGTCTCTACATTTCCCCTTTCACTCACCGTCTCGCAGCGGCACTCGTTGAACGGGCAGAAGGGCGCGTGTCCTTTGAGGATCACCTGCAGTCCGTGACCCTCGCATTTTCGGCAAGTCAAGCGTTTCACTAAAATTCAAATTGCCATAATAAGTAATCAAATCGTATAGTTTAACAATAATACAGTAATATCTCATCGTTTACTTACTGGCTTTTCTCCTTGCAACTGCGTCTTCCAAAGTCGTTTCGCCAACAATGTTCAAGAAAGATTTCATCGTAATTTTTTACCTGAAATGAAATTGTTGAAATCAAAAGATACAGTATTCAAAATGTGGAAAAGTTGTAATCTTGAAAAATCTTTTCAAAAGTGTGATCCCATTTCCTATCAGAAAAGCTTTTATATATCTGATTTTAAGAGAGAAAAAAAAAGGTTATTTCGTTAAAGGGGCGGTGCCAGGACGTAAAAATCTATTTGCCATTATAATCTCACAAATCAAGAAAAGAAGAAGAAAGAAAGAAAGAAGAAAAAAGATGGAGATGGATGTTTTTTTTTGGGATCACAGAAAAGATTAGGCCGATTTCCGGAGATGAGGAGAATCACAAAATCACAGGATCTACACCATATAGGGGGGAGATTACGGTAATCTTTTTGCCTCAAGAGAGAGAGAGTGGGGGGATATTTGGCCCGCCCGGGCCTCGCCTCACAAAGGATTATGACGATCGACGGATTGAGGCCTCAATTTCCTTCGGATTTTGTGACTTTCCACAAAAATGTCTGAATATCTTGAATATCTCTGAATCAAAATGATGTGGGGGTTAAGCCAGATGAAAGATGAAAGAGGAAAAGTGATAAACAATTGCTAAAGAAGATGATTCACATGCCTTTGAGAAGCCCATTCAAGTCGCAGTTTATTCTCTCAAAGTCGAAAGGTAAAACTGAAACTCTGCTCTCAAAATTTTTCCGTCTTGGCCCTTAAGAAAGAGTCTATATAATCTTGTGGGGCCTCTCGTGGGCCCGTGGCCCTGAACCATATCCATTTTCCCTAAGGGACCGCCCAAACTGGTGCCTGGCGCTATCACAATCAATTCAACACTTCGGAAAAAGGAAAAAAAAGGGGAACAAACCACCAAAGCAAAGCTAAAAGGGTTTTAGTATAAGCACAACAAACCCCGAAACCTGGCGACCGCTACGGTAGTTTATCCTCACTTTGAACCACTTGTGAATCTTCCCTACACAGGCGACGCCGGTCCCGTAGGCTCGTTGAGGTTCTTAATCCAACCACAAATGCTCAATTCAATTCAAAATTTCTCACAATCAGCCAGAGTCTGTCCGCGAAATTTCTCCTTGTCTCATTGTCAAACTTGATCCCAGAATTTGCTTTTAAAATTTTCTAAAAACTAAATAACTAGTTTCGATTTTTTTTCTCATAAAGAACTTTGATTTTCATTTCATTTCGCAAGTTAAATAATCCGAGAAAAAGTCAAAGAATTTCCTGAATGAATGTTTCATTAAACAATGGCCGTTAACATTTCCAAAATCAAGTCTAAGCCATACAAATGAGGAAAAAAGACGATAGAATCCCATCTACCATTTGAAAGAGGGATTATGACGATCACCCCTCATCCGCCCCCCAGATTTTGTTATTACAAAACGCGAAAAGGGCAATTTCTCTAGAGACTTGTGACTTTTCGAATCATCTTTTCGTATGAATGAAAAGGAATTAATATTGAAACCATACAATTGGGGTGGATCTGTTTTTTTCTCTCAAATTGATCTTGTTGCTGATGTGCAAAGGAGGAGATCAGAAAATGATCATTCAACTGACCATTTAATTAGTAAAAGGTCTAGTTTTCATTGTTCAAGTCATGGCTTCTTTTAGCTATGAAAATACCTAGGTGATTGTTAAAGAGTCAGATGAACCATCATCCAAGTTCCACTTACTCAAAATATTCCAGGAAAAAGGTTAGTAAGGTTAAACTTTTAAACCAAAACAACGAAGCTCAATGGTTATTTATTCGCCAGACACAAATTAGGCACACAAAAAGTCGATTTGGCTACTCTTTTTTAATGGTTTTCCGGTGGCGATGATTTCTCTAGATGGCCGTCTGTCCAGTCTGCGGGACGTCGAGGGCCGTCGATTTCTCCTAAAACAAAAAATAAAATATGAAAACAATTCTAAATTCGTGTTCGAGCTCTATAGAATGCGAATAAACAAACCAGGAGTGGGGTCTGAAGTTCCTTCGTTGGCTGTGTTGGTTTGGTGCCGGTCCTGTCCTTTGTCCTCCTCTTCTTTTTCAAGCTAAAAATAAAAAGTGCACAGGTCTAAATGCAACAAATTACCAAAACAGCCAAACACTAGCTCCGATGCTACTGGCAATGAGAAGGATAATGAAGCAAAGAACCACAAGACAGGCAAGCACGACTAAAAAATATTTTAAAATAGAAAGACAAAACCCACTTAGCAGAATCGCCCACCACATCAAGCTGCTGGTTTCTTGGAAATTTTGGCGCGTGTTGTTCGCATTTGAATTTGGAGTTGTTGGAGGAGAACGGCAGAACTAAATGAAAATAACATTTAAACATTATTTCAAACAAACAGTCTCTTTGGAATCGAATGTACACATTGATGCTTTTGCGAGTTTGATCTTGTCGCCGTATTTCTTGTAGAACGGGTTTCTATTCGTCGAGAGCCAGTAGTTGGATTCAATATCTGCGTAATCTTCCTCCTAAATGGAAAGCATTAGTTTACGAGCAGCTATAAAAATAACTAACATTCACAGTTTCCAAATCAATAGGACGGCTATAATAACGAGTGGGAGTGGCTAAATTTGCAGCAGCACCACGCCTGGCAGGTTGCGCTTTCTCAGTGGTGACTTCATGTAGATTGAGCGTCTTGTTGCGTCCAGTCGAACCTAAACAGAAGTGAATTGACTATTATATCACAAATCGCTTACCAGATTTACGCCTCTAAAGATTATCGGCAAGGGTTGCAAACTTGGCATATGGTGGACTGTTCTGGCGATCAAGTGGTAAATGTTCGATGTCCAAGATACGACATTGATTATCGCGCGTCGGCTCCCTAAACGTAAATGCTAACTGGTAATTCAAAAGGTTCAACTCACTCCCAAGCTTCGCATGCCCTTTCGCACTCGGATTTTCCTTGCTCAACAGAGTAGCCGTCATTTGGATTCAAAAGGCTCTTCATTCTGATGATGTATGTGATGAAATGCTTTCCATCATCACATATTGGAAGCGGCAGACAGTTTTCCGTATTCTCTGCATATTTTTTGCAATTCTAAAAAGAAAATTTATAAGAACAGCTACATAAGTTGTGTTAAAATCAGTAAATCAAATTACCTTTGTTCCTTGACCGTGTCGATGTGCCAAAAACGGTGAGCTCTTGTTGGTGACGATGTCAAAAGGGAAGCCGGTGTATTCCCATACAGTTTTCATTGACCCCATGTTTTCCTTTTTATTTTTCACGTGTTCGGCAAACCATCTAAAGCACTACAATTAGGTTTGCTATAAAAAAAATCTTTAAAAGTCTACTGTTGTAAGCTATTATTGACTGCCAAAATCTTATTCTTTAAAGCCAAATGCTTTACATCAAATGCTAAGATCTTCATAGCAATTAAAACACTCACTTCGGGCTTTCACCTCCCAGTGGCGATTCGACAATTGTACAAATGTCTTTTATGTCATTCCAAGGCAGATACTCATGTGCGATGTATTGTACACTCGTTTCCGTGATGGTGCAAAAATGTCCACTCGTCAATGCCATGCAATCTTTCTCCGTGTCCTCTCGGCGACAAATCGGGAGCACAATTGTCTAAAAGTGTAAATATGGTAACAAAAAAACAAAAAAAATCCAACCTGAATTTCGACCAGGTCAGGCACAAATGAATCGCCGTCGCTTGGAGCGGGTGCAGGTGGCGCTTCCGTTTCTGTTGTATTATCCTCAAGATGAGCCCGTTTATGCGGAGCTAAAACCCAAACTAACTATTTACAAAAGTCCACTCACCAAGTTGCCGGCTGTCGTTTTTCTTTGCTGGTGGCGTTGATGGCGGTTCTTGTGTTGTTGTCTTGGCTTCGTCCGAATCCGTACTCGTTGTCTCAATCGGTTTTTGGGGTGCGGGTTTGGGTTGAGAGCCCTTTTCAGACAATCGGTACACCTTTCTAATCGGGATGCACTCTACTTTCTTCTTTTCGCTCTAAAAACATAAATATTCACAGATTGAAAACCAATAATTTTAAAAAAAACCAACGCAAAAAAGTTTCTTCGGGTTGCACTTGAATACCAAACCCTTGTTCCTGACATCAGTTTTGTTGACTTTTGTTAGTGTAGTGGGACAATCCGTATTGCATTTCTCCACATCTTTGCACTAAATAAAGGAAAAACTTCTTACTTTTCCTGTCAAAGAATAGTTTACTGGTTAAACATCTAGAAGTGTAAACATTTTAAAACTCAGTAAAGCTTACATGGGCATCGAAGAACGCTTCAGTGTTGAAAGCGTGGACGAACTCTTTTCCAGCGTTAGTTTCCTTTTCCCATAGATGAACAAAGCAGGCGAACGGAAATCCTTTTGTGCACTCCTAAATTAAAAAGGTAAAAACATGAAATATTTGCCAACACTTTAGAATAACACCATAAATACTTACATCCTCAGCACGAGCTTCATTTGCTGTCAAGATCAACAGCACTCCGAGGAAGAGCAATTGACAAACTCTCTGTAAAGAAAACTTTAATAAGAGAGTCCGTTAAAGTTACACAACGTTATAAATCCACACAAATGCGTCAATTTAGTTGCTTTAAGCTTTAAGTAAAAGATTCTCGCGATCAAATTTGGGCAGAAAAACTGCTATTTTGCACCTACACGACAAATGGCGGTTAAATTCCGAGAGAACAGTAAGTAACGTTGTTTTTCAGCAACTACAAGTACTTCTAACAAAATAGAAAACAAAATACACTTATTTCATACAAGGCAAACGGCCAAAACCAATTTATAAGGCAACTGCCAAAATGACAAAATAAGAAGAATATAAACAACCAACCATGTTTAGAGTGACGACGACAGCATTTGAATACTACGAATACTCCGAGGTTCAGTGGTTCCTTTTTATTTGATCGTTAAATTCAAATTTTCTCATTCCAGTGTAAATTTTCATACCAATTGATCTATGATAACTCTCATTTGAACATAGTTGAGCTACATGAGTTGACCTGTTGCATTGTCAGTTATGGTCGTGAAAAGAAGGATTCACAAAGCGATTTTGAGGTTTATGAAGTGTTTAAAAAGAGTCACCAAAAATCTTCGAGTATTGAAGCCTCCCCCCACCCTCGAACTAATAGGTTTCGGAATTCACTACAGCTCAAACTATGATCACTAGAGGTGAGCCGATTTGGAAAACTAAAGCCAATTGTGCCTGTAAACGTTGATAGCGTTTCAAAGAGAAAACTCGTCGGTTAACTTGGGATGTAGAGGGTCTTGAAAATCTCCGCAATGAAAATTTTTGAAGGACAAAGATTGCCACGCAATTCAACCAAGTAAATCCACCATTTTGCTGTTTAGTCTCAAGACCGGTGGCACTTCCAAAACACCTAAGAATCAAGACACCGCTATATTATCACAAGTTTTAGCACAAGCTAATTCCATGATCTTTATTCTGGAAATATGGAAAATCATAAACATACAGTGCAAAAGCTAAGCCAGCGAATGAACAAACAGATAGAATGCAAATATAACCAACAAGCTCTAGAAATTTACAAAAATAAAGCAAGAACATTAGGATGTTTCTAACAACCGCTTAACCCAACTGACGATGTCGGAAAGCGCTTCTTGTGCGATGAACAATTCGTTATGAAAGTTGAGCATTGCATGAAATCCATGATCATAGTGTTTCCACTCCACCGGCACACCAGCTTCTCGCATTCTTTTGGCATAAAGAACACCTAAATTTAAAGAACATTTACCACCAGAAAAACTTTAAATACCTTCATCGCGTAGAATATCAAATTGACACGTCATGACAAAAGAAGGTGGCAGGTCAGTGAGATTTCTTTGGATCAAAGGTGCAAATGATGGATCCATAAGCCGCTGCTCAAGAAGCTTCTAAAAATGACACTTTCATAAGCCTCAACAATAAGACCAACTATAGCCTTAGAATTTTCCTTTGGTTCCAATATGGCCGGCAGGTTATCATGTTGCAACGACGATGGAATTGAAGTGAAGTCTAGTAGATCATCAACAGCATCGTGGACTTTTGGTGAAACATGTCCATTCGATATAGCAGACAAGGCCAACTCCGGGTGTTTATTGACATCAATTCCAGCATACCACATGTAGTAAAAGGCTAGCGAGTATGGATCTAAATAGAAACATTAAACTTTTTACAAAATGTTTACTAGTTACTTACCAACAAGTGCAAATCCCATAAAATCTCGATAGTAGTGCCGAAACGATTCCGTTTGCAAGTTGTGGAATTGAAGCAATGGATAGAGAAGAACCTAACAAGTAGAAATTACCAATTGAAATTTAAAATAAACCTGTCCAGCCAAATCAACGCCTTTCACCGTGCGCATCCGTTGTGTAACGGCAGCAACGAGATTTCCACCAGCAGAATCACCCATAAGCACGATCTTTGTTGGGTCAAGGCCAAACACGGCAGCGTTGTTGATGAGATACGTGAGCGCACGCTCCACATCATGAAGACCACCAGGATATGTTGCTTCGGGAGCTAGTCGATAATCGATTGAAACAACCATCATGTTTAGCCTAAAATTATGCAATTATCTGCGAGATTAATTAAACAAACATTTTTGTCATCCTCCGCATAAGTCCTTCGTAAATTTCCGTGCTTCCCATGACAAAGCCGCCACCATGAATGAAGACTACCGCTCCATCAGACGTCTTATTTCCCTTTGGTTGATAGACACGTACCTAAAGCATCACATAAGGAATAAAGGAAGATAACACTCACTCGAACACCGTCAAAATATTCGGTGCTCAGCTGCATTGTGGGATGCCGATCAAAAAGATTTCGTGGATCGATGACTTTTGAAAGTGTGCTCAAAACTGCTCTTGTCAACGTCAGACGACATCCAGCATTTGGGCACAAGTACTCGGCTGGCCAGTAGTACGTAATCCGCAAGATTGGCTCGATCAAATGCATCGAAAATCGATCCATCACCCCATCCGTGAATCCCTTGGGTAGCGGTCGATGTACGAATGATGTGATGATGAACCAAATCGTCACTAAAAAGATTAAATGTTAAGTCGAATAAAATAATGGTTGAGGATAGTTGAGTGAGTAGGTCCTGTTTGTTTGGAACGGAATGAGTCGACTTTTTAACCGCTTCTAACAATCTATTCGACTCGGTACTACTAGGCAATGTGCAAAGATTCCCGTATCAGTCTTAGAACAAAATGTTTGTCCAATGTCTCAACGTCTTCGATCACTGCCCAATTCAAGTCTAGGTGTTAAATTTCCAAGCCTAAGTAAACGCTACACAATAAAACAAGGCTAAAGTTGTACCTCCGATCAGAAGCTTGCTCGGCTGATTTCCTGAGGCTTTCTGCATTCTTTTCTTGCTGCAACTTGGTTGCTCTTCTAGTAGTAGAGGTTGGTTCGTTTAGAACGAAAGAAGGACGCCTAAATAAAAACGGTATTAGTTTATATGTCGTAGCCGATTCGCCTTCAAAGCAAATCGACTATGACATATAGAAAGAAAACGAAAACAAGAGACTGTAAAACCCGTGCGGCTTGCAACCAACAAATGATTATTCGCCAACTTTTTTCGCTAAGTTGTGATTCGAAATGCGACAAAAACTTCAGCCAATTGGTTGAATATTTTTTAATTTGTGTATGCAAGTACATCAGCGAATGCAACGTCTACAGTTTGCTTTGGAGCATTAACGGGTCGACGGATTGGAGAAACGTCTTATGGAGCGATAAAGTTTCAACCTTTTCAACTCCAATGGCTATTACGTGATCAAAAGACCATTTGGTGCATAATACTAGTTGAAATATACTATTTCGATTTCAATGGAGGGAGAATCATGTGTTGGGGATGCTCAGCCCAGTCAATCGAGCCTATTGAATTTATCGACCGAATAATGGATGGGCTCAAGTATTCTAAAATATTAAAGGAATTCAATCTTTAGCGGCTAGGGGCTAAAGATTGAATCATAATCGGCTAGCCGCTAAAGATGCAGCTACGGTGGCTGAAAATCCTAATCGTCTACGACATATAAAAACAACACCGTTTACAATGATACTATAAGTTTGTATTATTCAGCAGTATTCGAATCTCTTTGAAAATGAGCGATTGAATTTCTGTTTCCTAGTTTATAATATTAAGAATGTATCGTACTTGGGCCTCACTGGGGCTTTCTTTGAAAAGTGACTAGGAGGTTTAGTTTTTGTTTTTGCTTAGTAGCATCCTTTAAAGCACTGTAATTTCGTTTGATCAGAGAACGCACACAAATGCGAGAAAAAGGGACTCTTTCTCTCTGTCATTCGCTCAGTCAGCCGGGCATATCCATTCAATCGCATTTCTTTGCCACTCTTTTTTTTTTGTCTCAAAAATCTCTCCCGTTTTTCTCGATTTTGAGACACAGAGGGAAAAAATTTTTCCTGTGCCGATCATCGCCCTTTTGATATGACCACCTATCACTCACATAGCAGTTGATGGATTTTGCGCAAAAATTTCTTTTTTAAAATCACTGATTCGTGGTTTTACGCATCATTTCCTCAAGTGCTTTTTTTTAATCCGTTTTTTAAAAGTTTATTTGTTGAAAATTCTATTGTAAAAATATCAAAAGATTGGTTTAATTACTCAATCAGACAAAGCTTTTTGTTAAAAGGACAACTATTTCCTGAGCAATTCTCTATTTGATTAGCACTTAACTTTTTGTTTCTTTTAAAAGCTCGTCCGATTTTTAAAGATTGATCTCGCCGGTCTTTTTCCCCAAAAAAACATCAGTTTGCCCAGTTCTCTCAGGAAACTCGTTAAAAATAAAAAAAAAGGGCTCAAGCAGCTGCTCCAAATGATCACCGAGGAAAGTCAAAAATACTCACAATCAGTTGAAAACTTGTTGCCAGTTGAAAGTCATTAGAGAACTCTTTCTTTATCTGTTTCCGTTTTTTGCTTCAACAAGGCTCTCTACTTTAGTTTTTGACATTTAATTAACATTAGATAATTACCAAAAACACAAAACTTAAAACCGTTTTCAAAATTGACTCATCGATTTCCTAACACAACCGCTTTATCAATAAGCAAGCCAACTAAAAGCCCAATTTCTCTATTTGCCCATCATTGTTAATTCAAAAGTTTTCAGTTTCTCCTTTTTTTTGTGTCGACTATTTGATTATTTGTCTATTCCAAAGGGAAAAGCGCTCAAAGTTGGCCCTTTTTGACTTCAAAATATCATTCATTTGCAGCTGTGTTTCCGATATTTGAAAATCACCTAGCGACCATATTTTGGACTTCGCCCTGGCCCGTTTTTGGAGCGGCTTTTGAAAATCATTTGAAAATTCGTTTGTTTCTTTGTTGGAATGTGTATTGTTCCTAGGATTTTGAGTGCAACAAGTCCAGTATTATGTTGGGTTGATTTTTTCAAATTTTTCAATTTTCATAATTAAATTTCATACACTAATGATTGATTTAAAATTGTCAGCATTTCGATTTTCATGTAATCCTTTTGAACTATCGATTTGTTTATCGAAAAAGAGTCGAATTAGTGCAAAAATATTTTGTTTTCAGTTTTTGTTTTGCAATCCTAGTCTATTCTTGGGCTGGTTTGAGGTTTGAAAAATGGAGACACATCTGAATTCTTCATTATGTTTGCTCGCCAAACTCTGCGAGTTTTTACTCGCTATAAACATAATATAATTTTTCTCATAAGCTTTTCCGATATTGTCCATCAATTTTGAGGTTGGACAATTTATTCAAAAACTCTAAACTAAATTACACTATTCAAAAATTGTGCAGAATGAAAATTTGTCAAAAATTTCTCAAGATCCAATTGCTTAACAGAAGCCTGTCAGATCTGAGC